CTGAATCAGAACAAGAGGTTGGCCTTTCAAAGCATTCTCTTTTGAACTACAGATTTCATCGAGTTAGGGTCTTTCTTAACCTTTAACTATATTTTCAGCCTGAAACGAGTAAGCCGGAGACAGTCTCCAAGAAAACAGGTAAAAACTTATATAGTTGGATCCTACCTGTGCCGGTGAAAATATATCTAACCACTGTAAAACTCTCGTGCCATTTGAAACCTCAGAAGAGGAACCTGCTCTCGACATTGATCTGTCTTGCTTCTCGGGTAATCTAAAACACGATGATAATGAAAATGCCCGTAACTGCTGGAGGATTTCTGATGGGAACAACTTCAAAGTCCGTGGCAAGAGTTTCTGTGACGATAAAAGAAAGGTTAGTAACATTTTCACCTGATGAAAAATTGAAAGATGCACATTTACTTACCTCTTCGATTCTGATCACTCATTCAACGTTTTTACTGAAGAATCCTGCTGGGAAGCATCTAATGGATCTCGTCGCCGTCGATTGGTACAAAGACACTAAAAGAATGGATCATGTGGTTAGACGCAAGGGCTGTGCAGCACAAGTAAGAGAGACAAATCACCTTAATTCGTCTTGCTTAAGTTCCTATAGTTAGTCTTAAGGGAGATATTATATTTATATCCCATCTTTGAGGTATCTTCTTCATCACTTGATAATTTGTTCAGGTTGCTGCAGAGAAGGGTCTTTTCTCATTGGTAGTAAATGTTCAAGTAAGTTTTTCCCGCGAACTACAATGTAGAAAAGCAACTTATTATCGATGTTTAAAAACCGGAATTTTTGGTAGGTTCCTGGATCAACACACTACAGTATGGTGTTTTATTTCGTGGCGAAAGAACTCGTGCCTGGATCCCTCTTCCAACGATTTGTTGATGGTGATGACGAGTTTCGGAATAGTAGGCTCAAGCTTATACCTCAAGTCCCCAAGGTCTCTCTCTTTCTGATTTCTCTCTTTCTTCTTCTCTTCCTCTATGTATAAAGTGATTCACATAATGCCGAATCATGCAGGGGTCATGGATCGTAAGGCAAAGCGTGGGAAGCACACCGTGTCTCCTTGGGAAAGCAGTGGATTGCAACTACATCCGCGGTCCAACATATTTAGAAGTAAGTCCACTTTTTGTTCTTAAAGAATAATAATGTAACTTGAAAGAAACGTTTTCGTATTCATGTAGATTGATGTTGATATCGGATCATCCACCGTTGCAAATGGAGTTCTCGGTCTTGTCATTGGGGTAATCACATCTTTGGTTGTCGAAATGGCTTTCCTTGTACAGGTAAATCAATTTAAACAAAATTGAATCTTTAAAGATTTTGCTTCTTCTTCTCTTCTTGAAACCTTTTTTGGATGATCGTTTTTGTAGGCGAATACACCGGAAGAATTGCCGGAGCGGCTTATCGGGGCGGTGAGGGTTTCTCATATAGAGCTATCATCGGCTATAGTCCCAAAATTGGATTCAGAGTAAAAGCTTTTTTTACATCCACGTCCTGCTTGGACTTGTCTCGTTCTTATATTCTTTTCTTTCCCATTCTCACTTTTCTTTCAATGTTACATTATAGTGAGAAAGAAAGAAAGAAACGACGAGGAAAGTAAAAGTGATTAATTGTTTTACTCATACAAAACTTAAGAAACACGAAAGCATGATATACCCCTGTTTTCTATTGTGTCCCACTTCTCTTTGCTTCAGTTCGATTTTGTCTTCTTTTTTTTTCTTTTTTCTTTTTGTAAATTAGTTTTGTAGATATACCTTGCCTCTGAATATTGAGAATTTCGTTGGATCTTAGTAAAGTTAGGTGATGATTGGTTCTCCCGCTACCACCCGCAAACGCAGCGTTTGCGGTTCGTAGCGGTTCTTAGCGTTTTATAACAATCACGACAACCGCTTTCAACCGCTCTATACCACTCTGTACCGCTCTATATCGCTGAAAATCAAAAGCTCCTTTCCGCAAGCGTTTGCGGTTGCGGGCGGTTGCGGTTTGAAAAAAAAAAAAAAAAAACATAATATCTCCAAATTTGGAATAAGGGTATATTTTTTTGAAAAATACCATAATTATGTTTAAAAATTTCGAAAATACCCTAAATTTTTTCTGTTTTGAAAAATACACTTTTAAAATGTAAAAAGTATGTTTTGACGTGATTTAAACAAAAAAATAATAAATAATTACAAATTATAAACGAAAATTTAAAAAAATAATAAACTAATAAGTTTTTTTTCAAATAAATATAGTATATGTTAAACTGAAACAAATTTTAATATTTTGGATCTTTATATAAACAACTTAACCTCATACACATTCAAACCAAATGAAACTTTAAATAAATTAAAACTTTACATATATTTAAAGTTTATAAATTATTAAAAATTTAAAAGTGGAGAAATATATCTTTCATTTTTAATGTTTATCTTTTGAAAAATTTAAATATTTTTGAAACTTTGCATAAACAACTTTAATCTCACCCCATTTAAACTTTATATAAACAATCTTATATTTTTATTAAATTGTTTAAAAAAAACTAAACAGGTAATTAGGATGTTAAAATGATACAAAATTATTATCAAATATTAATATTTTATATTTCTTATTTGAATTTCGTTTTTATTAAATTAGGAATAATCATTTTACATATAAAAAGTGTATTTTTCAAAACCAAAAAAAAAGGGTAGTTTTCAAATTAAAAATTCATCAAAAAATATATTTCAAAAAAAAAATTATTAATATGGTTATAAATGTTTTGAATAATTATATATTATTTTTATTTTAGTAACTTTTGGTTAAACCGCTCTTGCACCCGCTGGCTAACCAGTCAAAAATATCCCGCAAACGCAACCGCTATGAATTGCTATACCAGTCGTACAAACAGCTTTTAATCGCAAACTCCCGCTTCCGCAAACTCCCGCAGCCGCAAACTCCCGCAACCGCAACCGCAGCGGTTAAACCAGTCAGACCCTTAGTCCCGTTTAGCAATAATCACCAATTACTAGAAGATCTTTCTAATGCCCATGTGTGAAAGATATAATACGTAATTTAGAGAAAAAAATTAGATTAAGGGCGTGATTGGTAACTGCTCTGAGTGCTCTGCAGAGCAATAATTATTTCTAGAGCACCAATCATGCTTTGATTTCATTTTTTAAGTTAATAGCCATAATTTTAAATATGAAAATATTTTGGCTCTACAGAGCAGATTTTCCAGAGCACAAATTTAAAGGCTTTGAGAATTTTCTCTCTTCTCATTCCTTAATCTCACTCTCTATATTCCTTTTTTATTGTTTTTTTCCTATATCTCTTTTATTTATTTTTAATGCTACATTTATGATATTTTAATATAAATTATTTATAATAAAAATTCTACAGCATTAGAATCTATAGCCACAGCAAAAAACTCTACAACCTAAATTCTACAACAAACAATTTAAAGCTACAGACACAACCAATCAGACCCTAAACACAAGTGGCATGATTAGCATCAACAGCATTATCTCTTACAACAAATATAATAGTTTCTGATGGATAAAAGACCAAAATCTAAAATTAAAAAAAATAAAAATAATAATATTATCTATTAGAAGACTCATAAAACACCCCATTTAAGTAAAAAAAAAAAACCAAAAAAAACATTAATAAACTAAAACCACTTAAATAAATAGTAGAAAAGCTCTTTGATATCTCAGAAGACAACTAATATCGGACTATCTTGTGGAGCAAGAATCTTTCATTGCTTTGATCCCACATGAGTCCAATTTCATCGTCTGTTTGGTAATAGTTGTCTCTAGCAAAAGGGCCCAATCCTCCCCTTAAATAGTATTTGTCATCACCGACTCTAACTAACCTCCATGTATAGTCATTAACTTGATTACCTTCCTCTATAACATGAACCCTCACTTCAACACTGTTTGGCGTTCCCATCTGCTGAACCATAACTTGTCTCATATGTGGAATAATAGAATCTACTCCTTCTCGCGATAGATAAAGTGTACCATGATTCGAAGTATCATATTGAGATAACTTCTTTTTTATAATTCATGGATCATATTGAGATAATCTCAAATTTAAATCCATCTTCTAGCTAATATAAATATTTTTAAAACTATGAAAGATGATGATAGCAAAATTTTGAATGAGAAATTAAGCTCATTCACTTATGTTTATATAACTTTCAATCAAATAAGATTTCCTTTTTTTCTATTGTTACGATATAGTATTTTAAGAAGATTCTTTTTGTCATATTACTACATATATTGTAAACATTTTTGTCAAAGTAGACAATTCTTTTTCTGTTTTAGTAAGAAAAATTACATCTTTGTATAGGAAAACTGTAATTCATAACTGGTGACCATGGAATGAAAGGGAATAAGAAAATTCCCTCTTATTCTCTAAGAATTACACCATTTAAAAAGAATGTGCATTTCATATTATTCTTTCTCATTCCATATTGGTTAAGGAATTTTAGTGTTAAATGATTCTTTATAAAATATGGGAAAGAATAAGTTTCATATTTTTTGTTCCTCTTCATTCCTTTCATTCCTATTCCTTTAAGCATTACCAGTTAGCCTAGGTGTACTTTACATTTTACTAATTGTTATTAATGATTTGTTTTTTTTTTATTCTTTTAAAATTTATAACCTTTTTCCTTTACGAAAGTTTACATTTTATCTATTATTCAATTTTTTTCTTGTAAAAAAAATGTTATGTATGATTCTTGTGGAAATTTTACATTTTCTTACCAGTCTAAGAAAGAATATGCACAATAATAACTCACAAAAAAAGTAGAGAATAACGCAAAACAACAAATTATGGCCCATAGCCCCATACAGCCCCATACAGCCCCAAACCCAATCATATTCCGATTATTTTGTATTAATTCTTTTTTTTTCAAGTGGTCAGATTTCAAAGAAGTTTTGATATTTGACTAAACAACATGAAACCAATGTGTAACATTCTTTCTATAACCAAAAAAATATAAAGAAAGAGTCTCCTTTACCACCTATTGATGTCTATCTGCAATCACATTTGGCTTCATTTCAATCCCATAGTTCCCAGAATTCAAGAGATCAAACCCGTTTTTGGAGTTTAAATCGAAGTTGACAAACCCGGATTCAGGTTTAACACCAACATCTCCGGTTTCTTCTTTCTCACGTTCACCACATAATCGAAAACCTTGAGAAGAACCACCATTAATGTGTGAGATATCAGTGACCAAACCCGCCTTTCCGTTGGCAAGATTGAAATCCGAGAATTGTCGTCCCTTCTCTCCTTCTGCTCCATTACCACAGGGCATGCTCTTTTGTGCTTTCTCTAGTAATGTCAACAAATACTTTCCTTGTGCCTCCATTCTCATCTGCAGTTTTTTCTGCACCTATAACACCAAAATGAAAGAAAAAGAATCGATTTAGATTGCTTTCTTGGGAGGACAAAGAAGCGATTGTTCTTTTCTTGTTACCTCAAGCTGTTCTTGAAACCGCTGTTGCGCATCGACCTGATGTCTCAATGTGTCTGCAAAAGGTACATTCCCACTTTGTCTGCGAGTGTTCAAGAAAACAATTTGTCAAAACCATATGCATGCATATACAAAACTTATCTAAAAGACGCATATACCGTTGACAAAGAAAAAAAAAAGAGACGCATATACAAACCTATGATGACTATCAAATCTTGATTCATTCGATATTACTCCTTGCGAACAATTGTCAAAATGCACATATGAACTTCCTGTGAAAAAAAGATAATATATTTGTTTTTTCAATTGTCCTCTGCATATATATTCCTTAGATCCATCATATGTATATATATAAAGATTGTGTAATTGATATGATCACATATTTACATACATACATGCAAACGTACCAGCATTTTCCTTGTTTTGTTCTGCTCGATTTTGTTTTTTGCCTTGTTGTTGCTGACCAAGTCTATACTTCTACACTTACAAACACCATCATAGAGAATTATTTTTAAAAAGCCACAAATATGTAGAAGATTATACGTTATTAATAATATTATATATTGAAACTTCATACAGTATGTTTATGTGTGTTTGTGAGTGGAAATGATACCTGTAAATGGCTCTTGAGATGGTAAAGTGTTAAGCCTTTTAATCCCATCAGCTTCAAAACCGATTTAGGAGTTGCTTCTGCCGAACAAATCAAGAACAAATGTCATTAAATCAACCACATAATTAAGAAATTTTCTCATTCTATGATACTAATGTCCAATTGAAATCTTTTAAAGAGGCGATGCTTTTTTTACACGGCGGTTTAAACTTAACCAAGCAAACCGGATTAAACCGGAATCATTATTTGAAACCGGTTATATCAGTTGAAAAAAGAAAGAAAAAGAAAATGAAGGAGAGGAGCTTACTGTCTGCGCCACCAAGCTTTGCGACGGCGTCGACGAAGCGATCGTGGAGATCGGCGGTCCACCTCAGCCTCGGCTTAGGATCTCTCGTCATCATCACTCCGCCATTTTCGTACCCTAAGCCTCCCAGATTTACCCTCTCCATTTTAATTTTTTTTTCTTCTCCGATCAAAATAAATAATGGCGGGAAAATCAGCGGCTGTACGCAGAAGGAATCTAACTTCGAATTTCCTCTTCCGCGACGAGATCTGGAGAAGGAAGCATAACCTTGAAGATTAAAAATGGCGATTGAGCTGCAAAATTTTGGATGGAGGAGAGATCTCAGCGGTATATGTTTTTGAATTTGCTCGAGAGGGGAATGCTCGTGGAATTGAAAGAAATTGCCGAAATCAGCGTCGATGACGAGAGAAAAACAAACAGAGAGAGTGGGTGATGAAGAGAGAGATCAGAAAAGTTTTTCAGGAAAATCTGAGAGAGAAGATGAAGAGAGAGAGAGAATAAAAAGTCGTCGCGGTGATGATGGTGGAGGAGGAGAAGTGGAGATATGATACGTCATCTAACGTCAACCTTCGCATTTTTATTTAATACTATATAGTATTTTATAAAACATTATACTTTATAACAACACGAATTATAAGATATTAAAAAGCGACTATCCATTTTTTTGTTTTTTGTTGGCTCACTCAATTTTGCCGGCCGCTTTTCCGCCGTGGAAGTGGCCAAGCGGCAACGAGACGGCGTATGTATATAAAAATTGTCTCGATTTTATTTTTAGTTTCTTAAAATATCCTACCCCAAACTTCTTTCTATTTGCTAAAGAGAAATTTCTTAAAGTTCACTCAGTAGTTCTGTAAAATTTAGCTTAACTCATTTTGAATCTTCAAAAACTTATAAAATTTTGAAATGTATCCAAATTTAAATAATCTATTCGATATATTTCATATGTAAGAGTTCGAATGGTTACATTGGAAGATAGTGGTCATGACCAGTGTAGGTTATGCTAGTTAATGAAAGATTAATATATTGAAACATAACGTTATAGATTTATTTAAATAGCACATATACATATAACATATGTTCGAGCAGATTTTGGTTGATCTTGACAAATACTCTAACTCTGAGAAACTTAACAGAATTATATCAAGGTAGAGTAAAAAATAGATGAATAGGTACAATATTATTACTTGAGGTCTTGATTGGTAGAGCATTTAGAAGATCATTAAGCTCTTTCTAATTCAATCAACTTTTTTTTTTAAGTATTAGGAAAACATTTAGAAACTGCTACTGCTCCCAAACTGCTCATTCCCTACATGCTCTGAAATGGAGCATTTCCAAAGCATTGAACTCATCAATATTTATAAAATCTTAAATAAATTATATGTAGTTTATTTATTTTGGTATATTAAATATTTTCACAAAAAAATTATAATAAAAAGAGTCACAGCTCTATCAATCATAATTGTTTTTGAACATACAACTTAAAGAGTTTACTGTTCTTCTAAATACTCATCCTGCTTATGCTCCTTAAGCCTAATGTTCTTCTAACTGCTTTGCCAATCAAGTCTTTATATGTTTTTAATTTAAAATTGTGACTAACATGGGAGAGAGGAACATGACCCGCATCATGCATATTTTGTTTACCACTAGATTATAATGTCCAAAGAATATATAGTTTTTGGAAATTATAAATTTGAAAATTGAATGCTAGATTTAGGTATTTTTAAAGTCAAATAACTTATGACTAAAGTTTTTGTCTCATTCCCATACAATTAAATCTCTCTCCATGTTGGTCCTTTGTTTAGGTATCATACAGATTTATATATTTTTGTGTTGTCGGGCTCGGATATATGGCATCGACATTATTTTTTTCAACTTGCTAAAACTAAAATGTAGAAAATAGTTGAACCAATTCGTAGTTACTTATTCAGCATCGAACGAATCCGAATACCAAAATGGCTTGTTGTTTTTAAATGAAATTTAAATTGTTGACGTCCAAAAAGAAAGAAATAGATCGATTGTTTTATTCGACGAGGATCAATAGATTCCATACATCAAACATGTTGAGAGGCGTCAAGAGTCTCCAACGAGAGCGACATAACACTTATTTTTTTTCTGCGTTTGGTTATAATAACTGAATAGTGTTAGAAAAATAAGAAATTATAAAATGATTACGAGAATAAAGTGCATGGAGCGAGCATGTCACGTAGACTGCCAGCTTGGAATATTCGCCGGTGGACAAGGAGAATAGAATAATATGAAAGTCACATGTTCGACGGTGGGATATAATCGTAAGTTTGTAAAACAGAATACGTGGACGGGCTCTTTTGTCTTTACGTTTGTTGGATTGGGACCCACATGTACACGTGGATCAATGGTCGTTACGAAATAAGATTTAGTATTGTATTTTCATTTTATCATAAACCAGCATAATACAAAGACTCTTCATTCCATAATTCTTTCAAGAAAGTGCAAAACGCTGAACAACTAGCTAGAACAATAGTTGTGACACCACCGTGTTGGAAGAGACCAAAACGCTGAACAACCATAATTCTAATACAAAGACTCTTCATTCCATAATTCTTCCAAGTCTTTACTATTAGCTGTGACACCAAGAACACATACCCACTCACTCGCTACAACATACATTCCCTTTTGAATCAAGATATGTTCCCGCATGAAAAATCTTCACTCTTGGAAAAATGTTTCAGCATCTTCAAAGGTTTCTGGTGATTGATCATTTCTCATAACTTCATAAGCACCTGGATAGCCTCTGCTCGCCATCTCAATGTGAGAGCACTGTAGGTTCAAACTTCCAGCCTAGTTGGACCAACTTCTTGGATTCGATATTTGGCTTGTTGGTTTCAATTTTTCAGATCCGTGGTTTGTAATTATTTGTGAAATTCACTGATTTTAAAATGATGTTTATTTATCTTATAAAATTGAATCTTTTTATATTATTTTGCAACAATTTCAAATTAGCTAAAATCTACAATGAAATCAAATGCTGAGCAACATCAAAATTTAACCAATATTTTGGATCTTCATTAATTGGTACATTCTGTTGGAATTAATTGAGTTTAGGTCATGAGATGTCTAAGTTAGTAAGTGTGTATTAAACGGTGGTTGTGACGGTTGGTGTAGGTTGTGTTTAAGACACAAGCAAAAGACACAACTCTTGTGTTCTTGTCACAAAAACTATTTAACACGTTGAAACACAATCATGTAACTAATCAAGTTTCATATCAATAAAGATTCACTTCTGTTCTTCGTTCTTTTTCATAAGAGAAGAGATGAGTTATCTCTTGCTCTGATTTTGTCTTTTTCTTCTTACTTTGTTTTCGTAAATACAAAATCAACATGGTATCAGAGATTTCATGGTCATGGGAACCTGTTTAAGCACATCAGAGAAAAAGAAGAATCCGCTGCAATAAGGAGAGAGATGGAGACTAAACCGGAGAGAAGAAGGAGAAGAAGAAATAGAAAGGTGGAAGTGGTGACGGGAGCACCATCAACCTTCACAAGCACAACCACATGCCGTATCTTCAAGAGAGGGAGGCTCCAAAAGCAATGAAGGAGATAGGAGATCTTTTCAAGGCTACGGAGCAAAACGGATGTAAAAGTTGGAGTTGTGGAAGAATTCTGAAACTTGATGGAGAAGCCGCCTGTTGAGAGAAACAGAGCAAGGCACATTGAAGCGGTTACACATAATCGAAAAAGACGTGGATAATGAGATCCACACACACATGGTGGATAATGAGATCCACACATGCAACGGTTATGGAGACGACCGCAAAAAGAGGTGGATAATGAGATCCACACATGGTGGATAATGAGATCCACACATGGAGGCGGTTACGGAGATGACCGGAGAAGACGTGGAGAGAGGATTCACGCACGGAACGTCGAGGAGACGTGATGGTGATTAAAGGGAGTCACCAAGCAACAAAAGAGGATGCTTACCTCGGAGAAAAATGGAGCAAAGAAGACGTGAAAAAGAGTCACGCAAAAGACGTCTAGGAGACGTGATGGTGATCAAAGGGAGTCACCAAGCAACACAAAAATTGGTTAGAGAGATAACCAAAGAAGATGTGAAGAAGATTTCACACATGAAAAAGGGAGCATGAGACGTCAAGAAAACGTGATAAGAGCTCACAAGTGATTTGAAGGAGACATGGAGAAGACTTGCGGGTAAGAGAAAGCGGAGAGTTCTAATGTCTTGATGCTCACGCAAGAGTTGTGTGAAGCATGATGAAGAAGACGTGACTTTGATGAAGATGATGGTTCACGCAAAAGACACACGAGGAAAGTCTCACAAGGTCTGAAGAACCAAGGAGGTGTTTTGGTTGCAGACTGAAACTCAATTAAGAGGGAGTGTTGGAATTAATTGAGTTTAGGTTATGAGATGTCTAAGTTAGTAAGTGTGTATTAAACGGTGTCTTGTAAAGAGTTGTGACGGTTGGTGTAGGTTGTGTTTAAGACACAAGCAAAAGACACAACTCTTGTGTTCTTGTCACAAAAACTATTTAACACGTTGAAACACAATCATGTAACTAATCAAGTTTCATATCAATAAAGATTCACTTCTGTTCTTCGTTCTTTTTCATAAGAGAAGAGATGAGTTATCTCTTGCTCTGTTTTTGTCTTTTTCTTCTTACTTTGTTTTCGTAAACACAAAATCAACACATTCATCCAAAAGAAAGAGTAAAAAACAAAAAGTTTCATCAGATTTCTCAAAACTCTGAGGAAAAGGACGAAAATGTCAAATTTATTACCTGGATAAGGTTAAGACTGAAACAAACAAAAAAGGAACTAAACTGTTTATCTGGGTACAAGTGAGCAAGTTTATCTGGAAAAAAATTGGAAGAGACTGAACTGTTTCTTTGTCTATCTCTCAATTACAGAAATTGAGTTTCTTCATGACTTTGGCATATGCTGCTGGTACTAGTGCAGGCTGTCTCAATCTACGCTTCGATTTCTTTGACTGCATCATCAAGTAACAAATTCACTACACTCAACATTGACACAACATGTTCCACATTATAGACAGTGAAACCCCCAAAGAAATTAAACAACAGGGACGGTATTGTAAATTCTTTGCATACCAATTATCTATCTAGCTAAACAACGAATCACCTAGAGATTCAAAGTTAGAACTAGTTGAATCAAAATCTCCATGTTTAGCAAGTTCTTACCATTCAGATTCCTAGTTATTATCATATACTGTTCTTCCAGAGAGATTGGCCAAACGAAAATACACATAAACTCAGAGATTCGTATTATAGAGTAAGGAATAAAGTCTAGTTTACCTTTAAGTGTGCGTTGTGGCGCTTGCCTTCTTTCCAGCGACGGATGGTACCATCTTTCAGTGGTCTAAACCTGTCTTTGTATGACCTGAGATGTAGATTCGACAAAAATACTACGAGTTGAGAGAGAGAGAGAGACACACACACACACACACACACAAATTTCCACTAAAAACACTATGATGATATCTAAATCACGGAATCAGAACGTACGAATAAAACTTGATCTTGACTTTCTTGACTTTTGATGTGATTGGAGTCCTAAGTCCCCACTTCTTCTTCCTTTTCGCCGTTTTTTCCTTAGTAGTGATGTTCCGCACTTGAACAAACTGAAAATGCAGAGAGGATCAACGTCACAAGTACATAAAATAATATAGGCCATCAGAGATATTAAACTGATGCTGCACACTAGGATAAACATATCATAGTTGTTTTCTTTACTGTGAATGGCTACTTAAGAGCCACAAGGGACGCAAGATTCAAGAACTTCACAAAACAATCGAAAGTTAAAAAATTTAACAAACAATCAGAGCCAGGGAGATTCTGTTTCCGATGATCAAGCAAAAATTCAAAAGCTTCACACAACAAATCGAAAGTGTAGATTCTACAGAAGCGACTAATAAAATTAAATCCATTTAGCTGGATTACTATCAAGCACTTACAGCTAAATCCTAACCTAATTGAAACGAAATCACCAAAATGTGAAAAACTCTCGTTTCGTTTCCCACCAAACTCACTAACTCGGGAACCAAAACAGTTACGGAAACTTACATGATGAGGAACGAAGGTAGACCCCATGGAGCTAGGCGAAACTCCGGGAAGCGCGGCGGAGGGAATGAAGCTCCATTTGCTCGTGGTGGCGAAACCTAGGGCTAACTGAGAAGACGGAGAATGGTGGATCAGACGATGAGGAGCACCGATAAGAGAGAGGTTCCGATTTGATTGGACGGAAATGGAACGCAGCTTAGTGCAAAACCTCTGCATTGTCGTCTGCAATGAAGACGAATTTTGATAAATCTAATCCCTTTTTCCGATTGCAGAGAGATTAAAGAGTCTGGGTTTTTGGAACTGCGATTTCGTGAAATGGTACAGGGACTGTTTGGGCGTCAGGATAAATCTATTCTTCTGTTAATATTTATCTCAAACGCGTATTATTAACACGATTTAACTTACCCCCCCTCAGTAAAAAAGAGTTGGTAAAAGAAGAAAAACAAAACTGGGCCTTTGAAATTGCATTGGGCCTTAAACATGTGTCGATTAGTTACACGAAAATTAAATAGAAAATAAAAAACCTAAACGAAACTGGGGAAAGAAATTGTCTTATTCAGTTGAGAGATATCGCCGTTTCCGTTTTTATGATTCCATCGGAATAAAAAAGAGACAGATCTGAGGAGATAACCGAACTGAAGCTGAAGCAGTTGGTATCGTTTTTTTTCTTTCCGTAAAATGATTCTTACATATATAGTTGAGTCTTTTTAGATCAGTACGAGGAAGAAGAAGACACTTTTTTCTTTCGCGAATTTTCCATTCTTCTTCGCCTTAATTAATTTTCGAATGATATCCTTAATTCCCCACAAGAAATGACGAGTAGCTCGAAACAAGCCCAAGATCAGCCTGAAACCAGCGAACCCACTCTGAAATCGCTGAGAACCAAGATGAGTAAATCCGACGAAAAGGTGTGTTACTGTTGTCTTCGATTTTCAATTTCTTTTATTGATCGAAACAAATTAAAACACGTAAGAGAATATCACTTCAATTTTAGTGGGTGAGATCGTCGCCATTGCTGAGGAATTAATTAATCATGAGTACTAAAAAAAGCTCTCCTTTTTGGTTTAATCAGCAGAAGAAGCTTAAAGACATAGAAATAAGCGTTCCACTAGTGTATGGTAATATTGCATTCTGGCTTGGCAAGAAGGCTAGCGAGTAAGTCTTTTTACCATTTGTTTTTATTTTTTTCAAAACTCAATTTTGGAAAAATAACTAACCTTTTGATTTATCAAAAACAGCAACCTTTTCAAACTCTTGTGACTACTTTTCAAAAATTTCCATTTGTGTTTAATTGGTTACTGGCTTTCTGTTTGTGTTTGTACTTCTTTCGAATACCTCTTTAGAAGTTCAGATTTTTTGACAAGTTTTCATGAATTCTTGCCTTCATGTCTGTGCAGGTATCAATCTCACAAATGGTCAGTATATGTTCGTGGGGCAACAAACGAAGACATCAGCGTCGTAGTTAAAAAAGTCGTCTTCCAGCTTCACTCCAGCTTCAACAACCCGACGAGAGTCATCGAGGAGCCTCCGTTCGAGGTAACCGAATCCGGTTGGGGAGAATTCGAGATCGCAATGACATTGCATTTCCACAGCGACGTCTGTGACAAGCCTTTGAGTTTGTAAGCATCCCCCACAACAACATCTTTAATACCAATGTTTTGTTTGTTCATATAAAGAAAACAAACACTGGCATGCAGGTACCATCATTTAAAGCTATACCCTGAGGATGAATCAGGTCCTCTAACAATGAAGAAGCCTGTGGTTGTTGAATCTTACGACGAGATTGTGTTTCCTGATCCTTGTGATGGTTTCTTAGCGAGAGTTCAGAATCACCCGGCTTTGACGTTTCCTAGATTGCCTTCCGGTTACAATTTGCCTCCTCCTGGTATGATGTTCTCTCTTCTCATACTTAAGCTCTTTGCATCATTATTTAGCTGATGACTCTCACTCACACGCTACCTAAATTTGTATTTGGATAGTGCAAGGAGAAGATAGTGGGAAGAAGAAGAGAGGTGATACTAAAGATCATAGTTTGGGACAGTGGTTCACGAGCTTCTCTGAAGCAGATGAGTTGTTACAGCTCGCGGCTGCTCGTCAACAGGTAACTAAAGATGGTTTAAAGGTTGTATGTGAATTTTCCTTTTTTTGTGTATGTTTTTGATGATTTTGAATCGCTTTTCTTCATAGGTTCAAGCTCATATTGCGAAACTCAGGCGGCAAATAAGTTTGCTTGAGGGACAGAATCAGACCATCAAAACAGGGTCTGATCCTTGAGTCTGAATCTTGTAGCCACATCTTCCATGTGAGTGTGAGATTGGCTTTGTTGTAACATTACTTTGTATCAGTATTAGCTTTAGAGTTAAGTTTTTTTTTTTTTTCATTTTCTTGTATTGATATTTGATAAAACATTAGTATCTTTGAAGGAAATTCACACGCACACACTTATAACGTTCGATAAAATGATTAAAGATTCTCATTCAACTCCGGAGCTTAACTAAACTGGTGTCCGGTCGATAGTAACCGGTTTTCGGATCGGGTAACCACGATGGCTTCTCTGCGTTCGTTCTCGCGGCTTTCTTAGCGGTTGTATTCTTCAACTCTTCTGCTTTAATCACTTTAGCTATCCTCTTCTTCTACGATCATAACACAAATACCATCATAATTATCGATAAAAAGATGTATAGTTTAATCTTGAAGAGATAGTAATCATCACGAAATGGTTTGACAATCAATAAAACATCATTATTATTCATGTACTGTTGAATATGATGTTTTATTGATTGTCGAACAAATAAGAGGAGCTTACCGTGAAATAGTGTTTGAGATGAAACAAGAGAGACGTCTAGAAAGAGAGAGCGATTGAGCCATTTTAGAAAGCAAAAAAATGTTAGTAGAGAAGAAACTTAGGAGTTAGGAATGAATTGGCATAACCGGAGGAGAGTTTTATTTATAGCTAAGACATGCCAAATGTTCGTAAAAAGTATAATTTAATTTAGCAATAATAGAACCAATTATAATTTATAAATGATAAACAAGGTCAAAATATCTGACACGATCTTAATGCTGATACGATCTTTGTGTGGAATAAAGTTTAAATAAAATAGAGAGAGAGAGTTTAAGCTGAGTGTTTGTTAGGCTTCATCTGTCGGCTGTAATGTTTTTCATGGAATGGAAAGGTGGACGTGTCATGATCGTACCTCAGAAGTCACAAAACATAAAAATGAATTCCGAATTTTTCTTTCTCAAATGATTTGATACCACGTCTTGCTTTTCTTCTCTTACAGTCTTACGAAATTACAAATAAATATTACATTCTGACTTTTGTCATCGAGTGTTATGTTCTAGCTTTTTTTTTTTATTGTGTTTTTTCTTTCCCGTTATTGACTTCGTTTTCTTTTTTAGCTTCTTGTGACCATTTTTATTCAAAGAAAAGCATGATTCGATTTAAACCGGCCATCTCTCTGTTAACTTATTAAGCCGACGTAACCAAGAGCTGGCTTTTGCCGTGAAATCTAGCAAATAAAGAGAGTATTTTAGTCATTCGAAACCTATTCCTCACCTTATAACAAGAAAAACCTTTTGCTCACAAATTTACTTAGCGGTTAAAATTTGGAATCATGTTTTCTTGAACAGAATCAGAGATGAGTGTGTATACTCCGTTCCAACTTCCAAGCATCATCTTCTCTTGATCTACTTTATCATGTTTGCTCTGCTTTTGTTGGAAGTCATCGTTTGCTTTTAATACTTCTAAAGCAGTACACTTGAGAGCCTAGTTATACAAGTGTTTCAATTGATTCCAAAATATCTCTAAGAATATTCAGATTGAGGAATTAAGAAGTTGATTCAATTCATCAACCAAAGATAAAAATTGATCCACTAGACAGATAATCAAGAACCATAGCTATTTAGTGATTGTGTGTGATCAAAAAGTGAACCCAACAAATAATAACCAAAAAAACTCATCACTTGTAATATTACCTAAAGGCGCTTCCTCGATCAAAATTTGCAGCTATACTATACATATGCTCACAGAATAAACGAAACTGAATGCTACCAACACCGATGATGAGATTCTATGAAGTACCATCACCTAAGAAGGCGAAAACACGTCTCTTGAAAATGCGTGCTAGATCCAAGATCTCCGTTTCCCTCATTCTCTGAACACTGCTTTCCGGTTCTCCAATCAAGCTTTTCTTACGTGATAACCTGGTCGCTGCATCAACTGTTAGGCTCGCCATGTCTCTGCTCTTTGTTAACTCCCTTAGAATCGTTGAAGAGCTTGAAGAGCCAGAGACTAGTCTGTTTAGTAATATCAATATCTCTCTCATCAGTAGCGTCCTGTACCAATGATGAAAAACATAACATATTTTAAAAGTGTTAGAAAGTCATATCAAACCTTTGTTTGTAAATCAATTCGAATCAATACCTTGCTTTGAAGATCTCATCGTTTGGATGAGCCTCGGTTGATTCTGACTCTAATTCTGCTGCTAAAATATGAAGAATCAACATTAAATAGTTGGCGTCTTGAGGTAGTTTGTGATTCGAGAGTAGCTCATAGCCAGAGTTTCCTGAAGAAGCTGCTAAAGCCAAGATCTTTATCACATTTCGACAGAGCTCCAGATCCTGAAATTCAAATCAACCAAAAGCTGTGTTTATCCAATCGCTGTAAACTTCTTTGACATTTGGAGTTTTCATTCTGTTCTTTTTGTACCTCTGATGTCTTTCTTGGAAAAGTCAGACAATCTGCTAGACCTTCAAATATCAAACCAAATGCTTCCAAAGCAAAGAGATTTCCTTCACTGTGGTTTCCAGAATCTGATGACTTCTTTTCATCGTGAAGAGAAGAATCAAAGCTAGCTAGTACTTTAGGGCCTTTGAACAGAAAATAAAGAAAGTCAGCTTCAATAAATAGTCAGCTTCAAACTTATTCTGTACTTACAGTTGAGCAGCAAGTAGAAAAGATGAATAGCTTCTCTCCGCACACGTAAGCCAGCTTCCTTTTTCAAAAGTAATGCAATGCTCTCAAACACTTCCTTTGAGACAAAACTGGTCAACGGATACAAATCATTGTTATCTGAATGCATGTATATGTTAGCAGAGACCAGAAAAAGAAGAAATGGTTAAGAGTGCTTACTTTTCTCTCATGGTATAAGCATCAGTTCTCATCACAACAATGTTCATTATCGACACTGCTTCCAGTTTCACATTCTCTTCGGTTCTTTTACTAGCGATTTGATTCATCAATTCAAACAGAGAATGCCAGTTTGGATCCCAACTTGGCAGAGCCTTATCAGTATCTCCTTGACTCCTCCTGCTTGACTCTGCATCTAATTTTCCGCTGGCTTCAAATTTCTTCTCAAAACCACATATGTGTTCCAACAGCACATGTAGCACACGAAGAGATCTATCAACAAGAACTGCCTGCAAAACAGATGAATGAAGATAAAATAAAAGTGATCCAAATAGCAGATAAAGCCTTGAATCGAAAACTGACTTACATTTTCCGCTTTACAAAGATCAAGTAGTGGCTCAAACAAGGTCTTCAAATCTACAAAACCATAGCTGATCTGTAACATAAATAGCCAGTTCAATTAATATGGTGTTGACCTATATTTTACACACCGAAGAGTCTCATGTTTGAACTAAAAACGTTACCTTTGTTACAGCAGAATGCAGTTGATGCACTTTTTCAGATTCTAATGCTTCAGAAGATTGCATATTCGACAAGGTTTTGGCTCCCTGTCTGTCTTTTCCTTGGGGAGGCCCATTGGTTTTCATAAAACTGTAAAGAATCTGGAGATCTGTTGAACAAGCCAATAGTAGCTCTGAGATGAGATTTTTCCTTGGATCCTGATAATTCGAGGCTCCCCAGATATCTTGCAGTTTCTTTGAGAGGTCAGCATGATTGTCCATATCCGCCTGCACACCAGTGGTCTTGAAACCTGACTAATGCAAAAGCAACACAAATGAATCGCAAAACCAAAAAGACTTGATAATTTAATCCACACAACAGAAGACCTCAAAAATCTCTCAAACTCATTATTGTCAATACTACAAGTTACATACTTCTTTTATCACCCACCCCTGTTGTAGAATTGGTTTCTCGATCATTCAGTGAAGTTGTTGCAACATCTGGTTCCCTGTTTCACAATACCTTTTCATTAGACCATTGTTGGTGATTTATAAGAGAATAAAAAAAGCACAATGCTAATGACCGGTTAGCTCTGATCAATCACTAATTCTTCAAAGAGTGTATGGTAAAAAGTCCAACAAACCAATATCAACATGACAAACTATTTAACCTCCCACCATTGCAGTTCACTACTTAAACTTTTGTCAAACTGATGAGAATGCAAGAAACTCTAAATGATTGAACACTAACACGCTATATTCAACAAGAATGGATACTTAAAGGCAATGATCCGGAGAACAATAGTCACTCACAAGTTTGTTCTTTTAGAAGCATGAACTGTAGTAGCACCTTGCCCTTTCATCTCAGTATGTGAGTTTTTGGTTTGTGTTTCTTTGCTTTTGCTTTTCCCCTTTTTAAGCTTAGAACATTCTTGTTCCTGGAACAATGTGGTAACAACCATCAAAGCGATTTTAGCATCTTTTAAGATTGAAATAGAAATTTAAAATTGAAAACTCAGAAGATTATAATCGAACCATATCCAGCAACTTCTTCGAGGCACGTTCCAGCTCCTTCTGTTATCATATAACCACAGCAACAACAATGAGAAACTACAAACCAGAGAACAATCTCGTGATCACAGAGACGCCGAAAGAAACGAAACCCTAACCTTTAGCCGATCAATTTCGAGATCTTTCTCGCTATCATAGCGACGAGTCGAAGAGTTCGTTCTAGCAGCAGCCACCGAAGAGCCAGAGTAATCCACTGACGCGTCATTGTAGACGCTTACTCTTTGCGAGAGTACTCTCGGTGGAGAAAAGCCCGAAGGATCATGGAATGGGATTTGTTTCCGATGTCCTGCTGATTGTAACTGCACGGCGTGAGGTAAAGGCGGTGAAATCGTTGTCATCGACGGCGCCGGAGCTGAAACCGGCTCAGGTCGCTGAGTAAAGCCGGACAGTGCCTCTTCCAGAAACTCCGCATTCCAACCATCAAGGTCTTCTTCTTCCATTGATGTGAGAATTAAGAGGTTTCAGATGAAAAAACTATGAGGACCAAATTGAGAAGAGAAGAGAAATGAGTCAGTGTGATGTGAATAATTTTAATGTTATATATGAAGAAATTTATTTAAGGAAAAGTCCTTTAACTCTTGTACCTTTAGCTAACGGCCCCGATAGTTTTCTTTTGAAAATTAGATTATCTATTTAGCAAAATAGAAGCGAAGGGTTTTTAGGATTCTTTTACGACCCAGCTCTGATTATAGAGATCGAGAATTCGCGACTCGTCTCTTCCGTCATCTTCGTCGAGGAACAAATCCCGCCATGGCTGCTCTTCAGTACTTGGAATCTCTGAAAAATGCGCATCCGGAGCTTGGTGAATGGTACAATTCCCTCGCAGATCTGTATCAGAAAAAGCTCTGGCATCAGCTCACCCTTAAGCTCGAGCAGTTCATCGCTCTCTCTGTCTTCCAGGTATTGTTTCTCCTTCCTAGTAGCGGTGTACAGATTTACACTTGATTGTTTCTGGTTTGGTGATGGCCCTTGGGGATTTAGGGTTTATAGATCTCGAGAAAGTTGGTAGAAGCTGTTTTTTACTTTGGATTGACAGATCCCAGATATCCGTCTGGACGATGATAGGGTTTTTCTCGAGTTAGGCTCGTAGAAGATATCTTCGAGTTAGGGTTTTTGGATTAGCTGAAATTCGTGAGTGTTCAAAGTTCAGCTGTCGATGAATTCCGTGACGTGATCGAGCTTGAATCCTTGGGCTCAAACATATCTAAAATCTTCATTCTCTGAGGTTTGGAGACCTTTTTTAGTCTGATTTTGGCTTGTTTTTATCCTGGTTTTGCTCTTTTCTGGTGTCTACTAATTGATATGCTCTCGAAAGAGTTTGTGGGTCGTGAGTCGTGACTTGCTTATATACGAGGATTGATTTACTTTCGATTGCTTCCAAGTTTGTGTGTCAATCTTATAATGTAATTGTTATTGCATTTCAGGCTGGCGATGCGTTGATACAGTTCTATAACAATTTCATCACTGACTTTGAGACGAGGATCAATCTTCTGAAGCTTGCGCACTTTGCTGTGGTAGTCTCCCGTCAGTACGCTGAGAAAGAAGCTGCGGTTAGCTATCTTGAAGGAGTGATTGAGAAACTTAGAGCTACTAAAGAGCCTCGGATAACTGAACCAATCATTTATATAGAAACACAAAAGGCTTTGTTCAAGCTCGAGCAAGGTGATCAAAAGGAGTGCAAGAAAATCTTGGACGATGGGAAAAGCTCTCTTGATAGTATGACTGACATTGATCCATCGGTCTATGCCAATTTCTACTGGGTGTCTTCTCAGTACCATAAGTTTCGTCAAGAGTTCTCTGATTTCTACAAGAGCGCTCTACTTTATCTCGCATATACATCTGTGGAGGAGCTCTCAGAATCGTTTAAGCTGGTATGTCCTTGTAATTTTGCTTATCAAGTTTCCTATTAGCTATAATGGATAAGAAGATTGGTCAAAAATAGAGGAAACGTGAGAAAATAAGTGCTAACGACTGTAGCTTCCCTGTATTCGCCGATCTAATTGCTAATATCATATAATTTCTGTGTCATTCAGGATTTGGCTTTCGATTTGTCACTTTCAGCTCTACTTGGAGAAAACATCTACAACTTTGGAGAACTGTTGGCTCATCCCATTGTAAGTTCTTCTTTACCTCAAGATAAACTGCTACAAACTTTTCCTGTGTAGATTAGAGGTTTCTAGTTGATCTTCTGTTGCTCAGGGAACATGGAGAATAGCTTCTAACTCTCATGTTATAGTTCTTCTAAGAATGTAATAGGGCTCTCTGACATGTAGTATTCTTCTCTGATGACAGTTGAAAAGTCTCCTGGGAACAAATGTGGAGTGGCTTTACCACATTCTCCAGGCATTCAACCATGGTGATTTAGTTCAGTATCAAGAACTGTGCCGTGTGCACCATGCATCCCTGATCGCCCAACCAGCATTGGTTGAGAATGAGAAGAAACTATTGGAGAAAATCAACATTCTCTGCCTTATCGAGATCATCTTCAGGTAACTATCTCTCTAGGCAATAGTATCTCACACCGTTACATATAATTAAAAACTCTTTTGCTAACTCGGTTACTCTTATAAACCATACTGCAGCCGACCTGCTGAAGATAGGACCATTCCTTTGAGTGTCATTGCTGAGCGCACTAAACTTTCCATTGAAGATGTTGAACACCTTCTCATGAAGAGTCTTTCTGTAAGTAGTTTTCTCGTTGCTTCCTCCTCGTTTTTGCAGCTACCATCTGCATTGCTTGATTAGGAGCAACATAGAAAACATCACTATATGCATTATTGCTTTTGTAATGCATGTCTATCGGTGTATGCATCTGCTAGATGTCTTTCAAATATTGATCAGAGAGCTCGAACATTCTTGACTCGATTTGTTCCTGACTTGGACCGTAGAATGATGGTGTTTTGTGTATGCCTATGATTCTACGGAATCTAAAAAGTTGCAATGAATGCTGCAGGTGCATCTGATTGAGGGCATAATAGATCAAGTGAATGGGACAGTTTACGTGTCATGGGCACAACCGAGAGTACTGGGGATTCCACAGATAAAGTCTTTGAGGGATCAATTGGACAGTTGGGTCGACAAAGTTCACACCACTTTGCTATCTGTGGAAGCCGAGACACCAGATCTTGTTGCAGCTTAAGAACCCTTCTTTTTTCTTCTTCTTCCTCTTCCTCTTCCTTTTGAAGCTACTGACTGTAACTTTCTATGGGGATTAAATGCAAGTTTTATTATTATTTCAGTGGTAGAATTTACAATTGCTTTGGGACCTTAATGCTCACTGAAAAATGGATTTTCTCTCTGGTTCCATTTCAAGATTCTCTTCTTAACCCGTTTCTTGCCCATTATTATGTGCAAATATGAGTCAAATCTCTTTTCCCTCATCTCTTGTGATACCTACCCACTGATTTGTGTTATCAAATCGAATCAGAAGTTATCGAGCAAAACCCAGATAAATTCATGGAAAAAGAAAAAATCAATTGACCACACAGTATGTGAACCAACCACGACCTAGTTCAGTAGTCGGTACAATAAGGCTAAAAAGTAAACCACTTTACTCACTAGACCGAGCGAGAGGCCCTAAACCAAAGCAAGAGAGAGTGAGGGATTTGTGAGCGATTTGTGCTTTCATTTCTCCTTCTCTCTGTTTTGTTGATTTGAGCCTAAATCGAGTCATCATCTCTCCTCTCCCTCTATCTCTTATGACAATCTCATTTATCCCTCTATTTTCTTGTATTTTGTGAGCCATTTATTTTTAATTCGAAAAACGAGTAAAAGACAACAATATCCGGGAAAGTTGTGATAATTACAGATCCGACCACCAATTATCCGGATCCAACGGGTTATATCCATCTGAAATCGGATAACCCTAAATCCCTAAAATCGCGTTCTCCTTTCTCGCTTCACCGTTTCAGCTTCTTTCGCGTTTCTGAGAAAGAATTCAAAATTCGAAAAGAGAATCAAAGAGAGTGAGAGTTTGAAGAGTGAGTTTGAACGAGAATTTCGAAATTGAAGATGGTACTCACGAGAAATCTCGAGAAGGTGTTGGGGAAGAAGAAAAAGAAAGAATGTCGAAAGAAAAAGAAAGGAGATGTCGAATCAGCGTCACCCGAGATCGGCGCGGAAAAGCAACGGGCTCGACCTGAGGAAGAGAACGAGAACTCAGAGGAAACTAGGAGTGAAAGAGAACTCAGAGGAGAGGACAGAAGGAGCAGAAGATGGAGTCGGGAGCGACGGAGGGAGTCAAAGTTTGAGAGACCCTCCGACTGGAGAAGGAGCTCGTGACGGGAGCGACGGAGGGAGGAGACAAAGTGAGAGTGACCCCGATTCAAGCGTAAGTACTCTGACAATCAAGAGCAACTGAATTAGGGAAAAATGTTGTTGAATTGGATTTTGGTTGTTAGTATATGATCGTTAGTTTATCTCTGATTCCGGGTTTGTTTAACTCGCATTTCCTGTGAGATTGTTGAGGATTGAAGAGGAGAGTGTCAGGATTGATTAGGAGTTTCCTCGTTTAACTCTCATTTCGTTTTTGTTGGTTATGAAAGAGTAATACTGGTATAACTTGGTAAAACTATATTTAGATATGAAAGTACAACTAGGTAATACTTGGTACATGTGTTTTGCAGTACTCGGGCGAGGAAGAGGAAGAGGAAGTGGAACCAATGAGACCTTTGAGGATGTATTTTCCGCCGACGGAGTACACTAAGAAAGTGAAGATATCGACGAGATGTTATTTGCATGACTTGTTCGAGACCTTCCGCGATTTACGGCCTAAGCTTACAGACAAGGAGAAGAATTGGTTTGAGACTCACCCGCAGTTCAAACACATCTTCCACATGTCAAGGGACCGAAACCACAAGCTTCAGGGAATTTGGACGCTGCTTCTTCGAACCGCATGCATTGAGAAGAAAAAAGAAGTTTGGTTCATTGTAAATGGCGTGCCTATCCGTTATGGTCTAAGGGAACACGCCTTGATATCGGGATTGTATTCCCATAACTATCCAAGCGGTTTTGCGGAAAATAAATCTGGGAAAATGGCATTTGTGGAGAAGTATTTTAAGCTGGGTTCAACAGTAAGATATCAAGATCTTAAGCCAATGTTAGAGAAGATGAAGCCTCTCCGAATTCTGATGACAGGCTGAGGATGCTGATATTGTACTTTTTAGCTAGCATTATCAAAGGGCAGACGAAGACTGGAAAAAAAGCTAGTTCCGTGGACCCATTCTTGTTAAGAGCCGTGGGTGATCTGAGTTTGTGTAGGACATTTCCTTGGGGGAGATTGTCCTATGATCACATGTTAGAAGGGATCTCCAAGACAATGACCCATTTCAATGGGGCTGTTCCAGGACTGAAAAGCAGACCAACCATGGCCGATTCCAGGTTTCATTTTACCTCTTGAGGTAATATTTATTTCCAATTTCGTATTGTCTAAACTTTTAATATTTTAAGTCTAATGCTTTCTAACTGTACCTCATTGTTCTCTGTGTAGTTCTTAGCTTTCGAGGCTATTCCACAGTTAGGTGAACGATTTCTACAACCTTTTCCAGGCGCAGATGAGGAATGTCCGAAGATGTGCAAGTCAATGTTCAAAAAATGCGACATGAAAGGAATTCCTTTCGAGAGAATAAGTGCACAACTTGGTACAACTAAGGTCAGTTATACTTTTGCATATAAGCCTATAAATTTTACTGTAAATTATTAACCTAGTAATCTTTACTCGTTTATTGTATTTGCAGGACATTGATAATATCCTAACTGCAAACGCTAGTGAGAAGCGTCTTCTGGAAAGAATCACAGAACCTGAGGACGACGTTGATGAGCATTGTGTCGTTGTCGAGAGTTGGATGAAGCTCGCAAAGCGATCGCAGGTCGTATTTTTGAAGGATATGTACGACGAAGATGTGGCAAGATTAGCAGAAGCTCCTCCTCAGAACCATGAAGCGGTGAACACCGAAGCGGTGAACCCGGAAGCTGTTAACACGCCATCCTCAGAATTGATAGAGCTTATCCAGAGCATGAAGAAGGAGATGGAAGAGCGTATGACGACAATTGAGAAGAAAGTTGATCGGTTGGAGGTAAGGATAGCTCCGATTGAAGCTTATGTGAATGAGCAAACTGCTCATATGAGGATGGAGGATGACAACATTTGCCATGACATCTCACAGGTAACAAACTATGTGTTTTCAGATTTTAGAACAAAAGTAACACTTGGTGAAACTGAGTATAACTATTTTTTATTGTAGGGTTCAAAAGAGAGAGACGGTAATGAAAGTGGTGACAGGGATCTCGAAGACGTGGCAGAGGGACTTCGAGACCCGCCACAGGTCAGAGACCCTTCGCAGGACAAGGGTTTAGAAGAACCGCCACAGGTCAGAGACCCTTTGCAGGACAAGGGAGAGGAAGAACCGCCACATGCCGATGAAACTCGAGAAGAAGCCATGGAGGGAGCCATGGCCGATGAAAGTAGAGAAGAAGCCATGGAAAGTCGAGAAGAAGCCATGGCCGATGAAAGTCGAGAAGAAGCCATGGAGGAAGAAGATGGCAGAGATAAATCGCAGGAAAAGGAAGTTGATGATGTCTCTGGCAAAGAGAAAGAAAGCGAGCCCGAAAAGGTAATAGTTGCAATTCTTTTAGTATATTTTTGCTTAATATTATTTTTAATATTTTTTCTTTGTTGGATTATAGGAGAAAGAAGGAGGTGAAAGTCTCGACAGTGTGGTCGCTTCTCCTGAAGGCAATGTGGAGAAAGAAGGAGGTGAAAGTCTCGGCAGTGTGGTCGCTTCTCCTAAACGACCAATTTCTCATCGCCCTAAGCTGAAAGTCCATCTAAAACGGGATCGAGATGGAATGAACGAGAAGCGGGACGAGGGTAAAAGGCAGAAGCGGGAGAAGCTCTTGGAGGAGGCTAACCAGCCGAGGGTGTCTACAAGGGTAGCTGGGAAGATAGAGAAGAAGGCAGCAGAAAAGGTAGAGAAGGAAAGGAAGAATGCAGAAGAAAAGCTAGAGAAGGAAAGGAAGAAGGCAGAAGAAAAGGCTGAGAAAGAAAGGAAGAAGGCAGAAGAAAAGGCTGAGAAAGAAAGGAAGAAGGCAGAAGTGAAGGCTGAGAAAGAAAAGAAGAAGGCTGAGATGGAAAAGAAGAAGGCGAAAAAGGGAGAGGTTTCGAGAGAGGATGAGAAGAACTAAGTTTGTTTTGTGTCTTCTATGTCAAACTGGGAGTTTTTGTATTACAATGATTAAGTTTGTTTTGTGTCTTCTATGTCAAACTATGTCAAACTGAATATTGTCAAACTAAATGTTTTTTATTTTGTATTACTAGTAAAACTATGTCAAACTGAGTGTTTTCAACTTTGTATTACTAGTAAAACTAAGTAAAACTAAGTTGTTTCATTTGTATTACTAGTAAAACTAAGTAAAACTAAGTTGTTTCAGTTTGTATTACTAGTACAACAAAAAAATAGATAATGATGACGATGATGATAATAGATAATAATCTTACATAGGTTTATGTCTCATGAAACAAACACACTGACAAAGAAGTTTTGAGAACACACTTGAAATAAGAGAATAGGTTATCGATGTTTATTACTCCAATGAACTACCATCCGTCAAAGATGGTCTTCACCACATGGTCAACTAAGTCCTTCAGTTTTTCAAGCATTCCACGGTGTTTTTTCAGCTCCTCACTCATTCGCTTCACTTGTGCTTCAAGATCCGACAGTTTTTGACTCTGTTTATCCTTCTGCTCCTCTATCTCTTCCCTTAACTTGTCGAACTCTTCCTCAACTCCGTGAAACCAAGGGATGCGCCAGTGGAAGCGGTCATTCTGCATATATCATCACGAATGAGAACTCAGAACTCAGACACTCATAAAGCTCAAATAATCTGGAGTGAAATCCTCGTATAACTCATAACTCTTACCTTATATGCCGAGCATGTAAAGTATCTGTTTCCCAAGTCTCCTTCGATTTTCGAAATCTCGTGAACGATGCGTGCACCACATGGACATTCCTTTGGGATCCCACGTTGACCATCAGCGACGAGAGTGATGTAGTCCATCTCCCTCATCATTGCCTTCATCGTAGCTTTGTCTGGTGATCCCCACATAACTCCGAAATTCAAAAGAACAAAAGGAGAAAGCACTAAAATTAGTAAGACTGAAATTCCATCCCAGATTCGTTACAGCTACTAAAACCCAAATACAATCGAGCCCAGATTCGCTACAACTACTAAAACCCATATGCAATCGATCTCAGATTCGCTACAACTACTAAAACGAAACCCATATGCAATTCGAATATACAAGAAAGAGCGAATCGGAAGAAGAAGAGAAATTAGTTGTACTTACTTAAGTCGGATATACAAGGAAGAGCGAATCGGAATAGGAAGAGAAATTATTGAGAATTTGCAGATCTGGTCTCGGAGACTCGGGCTCAGATCTAGGGTTCGAAGGAAGAAGGGGAGGAGCGTCGGGAGGAGAGAGGACAAGAGGAGAGAGAACGAAAATGGAAAAATGAGAAGAGAGAGAAAATAAGGTCCTTTTATATTTGTATAAATTTTTCGTAAATTTTTTTCTTTTCCTGAACCACACACGAAACACGTGCGTGGCGCCGTCGCGCCGTCTTTCATACAAAATTAGCGCCGTTTTTCATTCAGAAAAATACACTTAGTTATACCAAGGTTCTAGTTGTACCACCACTGCAAATAGTTGTACTTTGGCTGGTTTTTATATTAAATCAGTATTACTTAACCTTGTATGTATTTTTTCTAGTTTTACAGAAGATTTTAACGGATTAACATATGATGTTTATCACTTTATCCATTAATATGTCCACACAATTGATTTCTGCGAATCTCGCATCCGGAATTGCTTGTTCTTAGCAAAGTGACCTTAGAAGTATATGGTTGACATAGTGTCCAATACTTGCAAACAAACTATTTTCTTCTAATTGTGTTATTTTTTCCCAGAGACACAAATTATATTTAAAAGTTGTGGATTTCAGAAGTTATAACTATTCTCTTTTCATATATTTTCAATTTCGTACTGTTAAACCAGTTTTACATATACCAGTTTTACATATGATTGTGAAACCTAACAAGCTAAGTAATACAAAGTACATAGTTTTACCCAACAAAAAACCAGTTTTACATATGATTGTGAAACCTGAAACAAGCTAAGTAATACAAAGTACATAGTTTTACCCAACAAAAAACCAGTTTTACATATGATTGTGAAACCTGAAACAAGCTAAGTAATACAAAGTACATAGTTTTACACAACAAAAAACCAGTTTTACATAGTTATCCAAACCTGAAACAAACTAATTAATACAAAGTACATAGGTTCCGGATCTGGACCTGAAACAAAAACCAGTTTTACACAACTTCCGGATCTGGACTTGGCTGAGAACCTTTCTCTAGGTCCCCCCACACGATTCCTTGTCTTTTCCGCCTTTTGTTTGCTGTCCTTGGACGCCGGTATTCTCCGGGACCAAAAAGTCTCTTCGTTCTCTTTCTTCCCTTTTTCGGGATAGGTTGCAACGGTATGATTTTCTTTGCCTTCACGTCTTCAGGGACCTTCCATTCCGATTCATGAGGCACGAGAAAAATCGTCCTCCAATACGCCAATTGCCACACCTCGATCAAGTAATAATGTGAGACCAGCTCAATCAATTGCATAGGATATCGAGAACTATCTACATTGCTGGTGTTGAATTCCATGAAAGCGGCTAGTGCGTGGACACAAGGAATCTTCTCAAAATCAAACACCCTGCAACTGCAACTTTTCCTGATTAAGTCCACACTGTAATTCTTACTCTCTGGGTCAGCGGTGCCGTCGGATTTCTTAGCTACTACATCATAAAGAAGCTCGAAACTGTTTAACTCCGTCGCATGTAATTTCTCAGCCTCCTTCCACATATCGTGCATTAGGTTTTCCACCAGAGGTACCAACTTATGCGCTTCTGATCCAGCAGCGGCCTCCTTCCGATGTTCATTAAACCATTTAGAAATTTGTGCAATAATCGCATCAAGCATGGGTATCAAGGCGTATCTCCTTGCAGGCCTAAAAGTACTGTTTAAAGACTCCACACAGTTGCTTGTGTCTAGGTTGTACCTTACTCCCGGAAAATGAACCCTTGCCCAAGTTTCCTTCCTATTGTTCGTAGTCTTTACTAGATACGCAGCTGCAGAAGGAAATCTCGCTTCAAATGAACTGTAAGCCGCCTCAAACGCAGCCACCGTGTAATGCCTGCTCATCTCCCTGAAATAAAATGAAACCACGCCTTTGTTGACATTAAAGGCATGATCCTTCACATTTTGAGACAAATGCCATACACAATACCCATGATGAGCCCTTGGATACACATAAGCTACGGCATTGATGAGGCTCTCATTTCTGTCAGTCATAAACACCAATTCGGACGAGTCTGGTATAACAGATTTCAGCAACTCGAAAAACCAATTCCAGCTATCATTGTTCTCACTATCAAGTACACCAAACCAGGGGATAGTTGTGCCTATTAGGATCTTGAGCTGAAGCAAAGACTAGCACACCACGATACCCATTCTTCAGATGCGTTGCATCCACAGTTATCACCTTCCTCATACATTGAAACCCTTCAATGGTAGCTCCCAAAGCAATGAATAGGTACAGAATTTTCCGGCTTCATCCAATTTCACACTTGTCTTTGTACCTTCGTTCACCTTCTCTAGCATATGCAAATAACAATACAATTTCTTGTAGCTCTCTCCTGGATCACCACGCAGATCATAAGCATGACGATTTTTCCCTCTCAACGCCGTGGAGTAGGATATCTTCACACCAAATCTGGTCTGAACAAGCTTCTGGATAGTTCCAGGATTTGGTGTCTCCATTGATCCTGGATAATCTCCATGCAATAAACATGCAACTAAATCTGGAGTGCCTTTCCTCTTCTTTACTGTACTCTGACTAGCCCGGGAGCATGTATGCATCTTGTGGTGCGTTCTAATTGAGAAACAAAACCGTGTATTTAGTACCTTTGCAGCTCGTAATTTCCACTCACACCTTTTATCTTGACATTTCACCACATATCGTTCCTTATCTGATTTCACTAGCACAAAACCAAAAGAGTTCTCAAATGCAGCTTTATCCACCATTCTCTGCACTGCCTTCTTATTTGGAAACTCTTGAAGTAATCTGACATTCAAACCATCTTCCCATGGCTCTGTATACTGACTAGCTAGTACAACAGGTGGTTCATCATATTCGTTGTGCCTATATTCGCCTGTAACATCATCCTCATCCATCTCCTGAGCTTCTTTTTCTCCTTCCTCTTCATGCTCTGCATTCTCCTCCTCTTCATGCTCTGCATTCTCCTCCTCTTCTTGTTCTGCCTCCTCTTCTTGTTCTGCTTCGACGTTGTTGCCTACATATAGAGCCACGGCATTACCTCCAATTTCATCATCATTATAGTTCACACCAACAGAACTTTCCTTCTCTGCTCTAGATACTTGCGCTGTGGGCTGTGTTGAGGAAGCCGTGACCTCTACATGCAACATACATCTACAGCCTTGGGGATCAACTGAACTTAGATAGCACCTGAGATCGTCATCAGAAGCTACGGTCGTGTATTCGTCGCATCTCACAATCAGGGGAATGTATCTCAATTTCAATTCCACCATTTTTTCATCCCACCCAAACTTCTTGCATATCAAAGCTTTTACCATCAATAGTGTTATCTCGTTCGTTGATGTCTTCACCAATAAACTGTACAAGATACCTTTGCATTTGAAATGTAAGCTGACGTCGTCACCCATCATATCCTACCAAAACAAAGTCAAAACTTTATCAGTATTACTAGTTTTACACAGTTATGCATTTTTACATCACATAGTTATACCAGTTCTACCAAGTTTCACGATTTTGGGCTAAACCAATTCTGATAAATCAATGCAATTATTTGCCAAATATAACTTTTAATTATCCAAAAACTGTGATATAAAAGAGTAAAACACAAGATATGATTTTTGAAGCTGCAAATTCATCGTAGTTATACTTAGTTTACCTAGTTATACTATCACAATTAGTTATACGAGTTATACTCAGTTGTACTATCGGCGGAGATTCCCAAAACTAGCTCACTCTTCTACTTACGGTTCGCTTCGATTCAAGCCCTGCATTACGTTCTTTGCTAATGCAGAGTACTAATCGAACAAAAAAGCATTGCTAAACACCTAATTGTCTGATTTATTCGAGTTATTCAAGAGAAAATGACGAATTCCAACTATGAACAACTGAACATACCTGAGTTGTTTTTTTCTCCCTGCGGCTGCGAATTACGCCGACTACGGTACCGAAGCAACGAGATTATGATTGACAGGGAAAAGAAGGAGCTTGGGACGACCGGGATAAGCTTCAGAGAGCTCGATTTGGAAGATGGAGGAGAGCCCGAGGAGAGAGGAGCGGGAGACTCGAGAGGAGAGAGAGAGTAAAGGCGGGAGGAAAGAGGAGAGAGAGAGAAAGCAAACGCGGGTTCTGAAATCCCGATGCCAAACGCCAATTCAACCAAAACGCCAAACTTGTTTTTGTTTTTCCAATTTTGAATTAATTTTTCAGAATTCATTAAGTATTTTCGTCAAGTCAATGCACAAGGAGAAGGATAAAAGATTAAGTTGGGAGATTTGTGATTGTCATTAAGAGATATTAAGAGATGGAGGGAGGGAAGAGATGATGACTCGCCTAAATTAGGGTTTTGCGATTTCCTCTCAGTCTCTCTCTTCCAGGCTAAAATCATGGATTTGTGCTTTCCTCTTTCGGAACTTGCAGATGAAATCGTGGAGGATATCATAGCTCGTGTGCCGAGATTCGATTACCCAAGCCTCTCTCTCGTTTCGAGGCGTTTCCGGTCAATCGTAGCGTCGCCGGAGCTCTACGCGAGACGATCGTCGCTGGGCTGCACCGAACACTGTCTCTATGCCGTTCCATTCAACCCACAAACACACGATTACCGTTGGTACATTCTCCTCCGGAAACCCAATAGCAATCGGTTGGTCCCTATCCCGTCGCTTCCTCTAATGCGTTCCCGTGGAAGATATGTCCCGGTGGGCTCGAGCATTTACGCGGTGGGTGAAGACGACTTTGGAGTTACCGATTCGAGTGCGTTAAGCATCCGCATCGACTGTACATGTCATACAGAGCAGCCCATTTCCGACTGCCCTAAGCCTATCGATGGTACGGTCGCTGATATGGACGACGATAAGGTTTATATAATAGATGGTAAGAGAGATGATGATGATAACTGGGTTAAGAGGATCAAGGTGGTGAATAGAAAAACACAAATGTTGGAGATGACAAAGCCAGAGGAGTTGCTAGGTCGAATGTGGTATGACTCTGTGGTGAAGGCGGGTAAGGTCCACATGTCGGATCATAATTTCCATAGGATTTTCGCGTTGAATCGTAAGAGTTTGGATGACATTCACATGGAGTGGAAGAATGCGTGTGTCATTGACCAGATATTGTACTACTATGACTGTCATGAGAACAAGCTAAGAAGCTTTGATTCAAAGGAGAGGTGTTGGGGAGTGGTGAATGGTGTGGGAAGACTGTTACCTGAGCGGGTTGCGTCGGTGTGGTCACAAACTGTTAGTTACGGTGGTAATCTGGCTGTGTTCTTTTCTGATATAGAGACCGAGAGTGGGAAGAGAGAGATTTGGTGTGCAGAAATTTCACTAGAAAGAGGCCAAGGAGGAGAGGTTTTGGGTAAAGTTGAGTGGTGTCACGTTGTATTTGTTGGACATCTTGTCCTTCAAAAAGCTCTAGCTGTTATGGTTTGATTCACAGACTCTCTCCTTGTAACCCATTCATATAACTTGTGACTTGTGACTTGTGACTTTGTTGATTTCTTTCATGTAGATTTAAAAGTATTGAAGTTTTTGCTTGATTCTTGGTTTGTACTCAAATCGATTCAGAAATCTGTAACTCTGTGTGATTCGATCAATGGTGTGATAATTTTAACAGCTGAAGTTTAGAGAGCACAAGAAACATTACTATGTACGAACAAGACTCATTTCTTGAAACTTGCAGAGGGATTTGTGATCAAGAACAAATGTACAGGTTTTGATGTCGTTTTTGTTGTGCTTCGGTTCCACATGTTCAGTTACGATTTAGTGTTGGGTAGATTTTTATTTGCCATCATCTGCTGATCTTGACAGAGATTCTGCCACGTCATCTTCTCTTTTATAACTAAACAAGTAAACAGCATTGGCAAGTCGAAGCTAAAGTCAAACATTTTCGTAGGGAACCAATTTACTTTTCATGGTATGCAAATTTACAACTGATATTCACTAGGGATTAAAGCCCCGCGTAAGCGCGGGGTTGTTTACGATAATTTTTCTGCTTGATTTTATTTATATTCATTGATTTGAAATTTTAAATTACAATGGTTACAAGGTGGTTGTCCCGCACCTTGTGCGGGTACAATATTTTTTAAATACAATTATTAATTAAAGATTTAAATAATATAAGTAGTACAACTTTTTATTGTATTCATCGTTTTTGTTTTCGCAAACTTCTTATTTTTGTAATCTTGAGGTGTCTTATTTTTATCTTCTCTTTCTTGTTCTTCTACGTAATATTCTTCATTTGTTTTGGAATTTTCTTCACATTCCATTATTTCTTCTTTCCTTTCTTTTTCCTCATGTTCGACTTTTCTTTTTCTTTTCTAAATTTTTCATCTTCTTTTTCACTGTTTTCTTTTCTTTTACTTATGTATCTATTATGTCTTGTTTGTGTCTTGTATATCACCTACCAATTCATTTCGATAGTTAAAATTTTCAATATTTTTGAAATAGATTCTATCTTTATATAGTTGAGTCTTTTAAAAATTTATTAGTTTTGTTATCTTTCAATTCTGGATTTTCTTTAGTTGTTTTAGTTTTTTTTTCTATTTGTGAATGTAATTTTGAAAGTAGATATAAATTTCAAATAAATGATTTTTTTATTATGAAATTCTTCTGTAATAATTCAAGTTTTTTTAAAATACACCAAAAACTAAACCCTACCCCATCAATATAAACCCTACACCCTAAACCCAAACCCACAGTGTAACACCACCCCCTAAATAACCCAAACACCACATTATTAATGATTAAGCAAATATTATGGATATTAAAAAAAAAAATCGTTATAGATTCGCCATTAGAATTAGGGTTTCATGAATATTAAGATGGTAATTAAAAGGATAGATGTTCATACCTTCTTTTGCTGGAGTTGAATATTTCTCGCTTGGGACCAAATCTGATCTTCTAGATTCCATTAGCTTGGAACTCACTGTTACAAAAGCGAGAGAAGAAGAAGTTAGAAGCGTATATGTAGATGATTGACAGTAGATAACAAATAATCAGTTAATCATTACAGTAAATAGAACTTAAATCAAAGTGAAACAATAAAGATACATGAGAAGAAGAAATATGAGACCTAAGAAGTAAGATTACGTATAGAAAGAAGATATGCAAATCGTAATGAGAATTGGGTTGATTTTGCTTGTAGCTATAACTATATATAAGAAAGAGTCGGCTAACAAACCTAGGTTTTCCAATTTTTAATTCTTTACAATTTTTTTGATTTCTTCCATATATGTGGCGCGAAAATATGTTAGTTATACGGTATATATCCAAAAATAATTTAGGAAGAAAGGAAAATTCGTTATCCATCGTCCAATAAAATAATTCGTTTTTAAATAAGATAATAAGCAAATTGAAAGATTTATTTCAAGATTTTCATTAAGGGTAGTTATGTAATTCCGAGGCTGAGAGTTAACGTGGTGCTCCATTCACGAAAATTGATTTGCAAATACTAATATGATATGTTAACTTTCATGTTTTGATTATATTTTGAGTTAACCCAACAATTAACACTAAAAATATGATCAATTTTTTTATTAAGATATTAACACCTTTCTTCATCTCGAGTTTTCTATTTCTAAAATTTAATATGCATTTGACTCAACGTTAAAATTTGTAAGCATGATGTAGAATCGCAATTGCACTCAAAATATGATGAAAAAGAAAAACATGTATAAGTTCTTACATATATGCTTTATTGTGGTAACATGTGAGAATTGATTATTTTATATTATGTTAGTTTTATAGATATAAATTATATTTTTGAAACAAACATATCACCATTCTTAAAATTTTCATTCTTTTCGTTACTCGATTTCTATTTTTTAATAAAATAAACTCTAACTCTAATTTTTTATTAGTTTTTTACTATGTTAAATAATTTATAATGTATCTTTTTTACTTGTAAGCACATTATAACATTTTTATAGGATAAATTCTTTGAATTATAACTTAACTATATACTATTATATTACAACTTTCTTTTAACTTTTAATATCAAGATATCACATACTTTATATTAATCAATTAAATTGTTTTGTGTATTTTTCTTAGTTTTGTTTATGTATAAAATAGGAATATATATAAATAAATATTAATACATATATATTAAATATCTTAAATACAATAATTTTTTTGTTGATGTGGATGACTTAGGAGGAGAGAGCAACTCTCCTGTTATATTAGATAATTTCAAATAGTGGACGCCGTTAGTATCAAGAAGTCATGAGGCCACGAATAAGTTGCATAATACAATGAATGCGACCAAAGACCAAAATCATAAGCCAAGTAACCAATTACTTCACAATCAAACCCAAAACCCAATTTAAGTGTTGAACATAAACATTATTATTATACTGTTGGGTTTGGCAAGCAAGTTGCATAATCCAATGTATTATGAATGCAACCAAAGACAAAACTCACAAGCCAAGAAACCAATGACTTCACAATCCAACCCAAAATCCAATTATGTAACATGAACGGTATTCCTCTTCTCACGTAACCAAATCAAACAATTTGACCAAAAAAATATTAGATATAAAAAAACATAATGAAATTGACTCAAAACATTAATATAAGTCAATTAGATATTACAAGCATCGGGGGATTCATCCAAAATTCCAAATACACACCCGGAAAAAAAAATCTCGACATAAAAGACCGGTCAATTAATTAAAATAGAGCAAACTGAACCGGCCGGTTGAGTAAATCAAGCTTCTATAAAACCGGTCATCTTAAGAATGGAGTCCCGGTGACGGCTCAAGTCTCTTCCTTTAAGAGTACCAACGGAAAACGCTATTTGCTCTTTCATTCTTCTTTCAATTATAATATGTGGAGGAGTCTTATCCTCTTCCTCCGCCATTTCCCATTCCTTGCACCCGAATTGTTTCGCCGGAATGTTCACCGGAGATGTTTTCTCCACCATCTTCTGCCGTCTTGTGCTCTTCTCCTCGTTTCTGGTGTTAGTTTCTGGGATTGTGGATTGGTCGGAAAATATAATGTCTGATTCTTCAAATTCTTCCGACATTGAAAAGAGTTTTTGTCCTAAGCAATCTCAAGTAAACACAAAGGATATAAAAATTTTAAAGGAGAGAAAAAAATAGTGTGTATTATCCCTGAGAAAATGAGAGAAAGTTAGAGAGATTATCGTCGAGGGTGGAGAATAAAATTATCAGAATGCAGAAAATGAAATTTATAGACTGAGATGTATGTATGCTGCAGAAGGGAATATTATGTCTTACACGTATATAAATGTGTATGTATATATACGTGTACGTATGACTAAATCTAGTGTTGCACATGATGATGTCATCACGGTACGATCTTTCTATGTGAAATACGTGGAAGCTTCATCTGAAGCTTCATCATCACTCATCTCATTGCCATGTATATACTGTTAATTAATTAATTACCCAAGAATTTAATTACTTTGATTTTATTGATTAATTGGTCATGATTTCCATTGTGTTCAGATTTTAGAAGGACAAATAGTCTAAGTCTACACCTTTTCTTTTACCATAATTAAGTATTCATGCATTGATTTACAGTTTACAAGGATGCTTTGATTCAATACTTCCCTGTGGATTTCCTAATAAGTGTTGTTTAGAAAGAAAAAAAACTGTCAACTACTGTAATTAACTAAAGAATTGTTATATAGACACATTAAGAAAGTAAGTGAATTTTTTTTTTTTTTTTTTGTGCGAACGGGATTACTTAAATATAAAGCAAGAGTTTAGCCTCTACTGAGAGAGGGATTATAAGAGAGGAGACTAGATTTAGCTAGTACATCGGCCTCCGAGTTTTGGGCTCGGGGAATAAAGACGAAATCAACATCACGAAACGAGCCTAAAAGGCAAGAGATATCCAAAAGAAGACCTTGAATTTCGTTTGAATGGCCACCGGACTTGAGAAGAAGAACGAGTTCTTTGCAGTCCGAGTAACAGACCAATCGTAAAATATCAGCAGCTCTCGCATCTAGGAGAGCAAGCTTGATTGCAACTGCTTCAGCAGCTAAGGCTGAAGGAAGGAAGGATTTAGACGCTGTCCCTTGGGAGATTACGGTGCCATGAGCATCCTTGAAAAGCCATCCCATACCACCGAACGCGCTATCAGAAGACCAAGCCGCATCTGAGAAGCAGCGCACTACGTCGACATCTGTCGCCGGCAGTGAGGATGGTGGAGAAATGGTAGTGGCGGAGCTTAAAACTGCTGCTTCCTGGGCTCCTTGCCACGCTTTGGCTTCTGAGATCGCCTTATGGATAGTGTCCTCCTCCGAGATGGATTTTGCCTCAAAAATCCGAAGATTTCGAGCTTTCCACAAGAACCACACTATCCAAGGGAACAGCGGGGTAAGGTAAATTCCGGTGGAGGGCAGGTTTAGCATTCTCCGGGCATTTGATAGGAGTAGCTTGACTGTAGTACAGCTGTCTCGGTCTGGTTTAAACAGAACAGGAGCTAGATGCCACACCTTTTGAGCGAACGGACAGTTGAGGAGGACGTGTAAAACGTCTTCAAGCGCTCCACACTTCCCACTGCGTCCGTCTGTATCAAACCCTTTGAGAATTAGAGCCGCACCTACAGATAGAGCATTTGCCGAGGCTTTCCACAAGAAGAATTTAAGCTTTGGAGAGGTTTTAACGCGCCATAGATTGGACTGCCAGTTAAACCCATCTGCAAAGCTTGGTTCTAGAATCTTCTTGGAGAGGGCATACCCTGTCTTGGTTGAGTAACGTCCAGATTTAACAGGGAGCCAACGGAGAGAGTCTTTGACCGGAACGGAGCTTAATTGCAGTTGGCGGATCTCAAGCTCATGGTGTGGGACATGTAGTCGAATAGCCTCAAGGTTCCAGAAATTTGTCTAACGGGTGAATTAGATCACTGACCTTCAGGAGTTGAGACGCCTCTGTCGGAGGTCCAAAAGGTTGCCTTGGCTCCGACGTAGAGAGCCACGGAGCAGACCAGAGTGGGATATGTTCTCCAATTCCCACTATCCATCCTAACCCTTGACGAAGAACATCCCTTCCTGCAATGATACTACGCCATCCATGAGACGCAGTAGCAGGAACATGAGCCTCCATAAAGGAGGAGGAGTGGCAATACTTGCCCAATAAGACTTGTGCAAGGAGGGAGTCTGGGTTTTGGATAATACGGGCTCCAATCTTTGCCAAGAGAGCATCGTTAAACACCTCTATCTCTCTAAAACCCAAACCACCTTCATTCTTTGGGATCGTAAGTCTATCCCATGAGACCCAGCTCATTTTGCGTTTATCCGGTTTATCATCCCACCAATATCTCGTAAGCACCGACTGAATTCGCTTACAAAGCGACTTTGGTAACTTAAAACAGGACATGGTATAAGACGGCATGACGGAGAGAACGGATTTAAGAAGAACCTGCTTTGCTGCTCCTGACAGGAATCTGTGAGTCCAATTGATAGATTTTTGGCAGATCTTATCAACGAGACCTGTGAAAATGTCCCGTTTCTTAATGCCAAAATTCTCCGGGAGTCCCAAATATTTGCCCACTCCGCCTTCTTTCTCTATACCAAGAGTAGATTTTACTCTAGCCCGGATATCCGGTGGCGTTTTGCCGGAGAAGGTGATGGAGGACTTGTTAGCGTTGATCCGCTGTCCCGATGCCTCTTCATACCTCCTGATATTTTTGAGTAAAGCCTGAACGCTAGAAGGATGAGTCTTCGTGAAGAACATGGTGTCGTCAGCGAATAGGAGGTGATTGACCGCTGGACTGCGTCTGGAGACACGGACACCCGGAAGAGCTCCTGATAATTGGGCTTTACTGCATAGGCCTGAGAGAACCTCTGTACAGAGAATGAAGAGGTAAGGGGAAAGAGGATCGCCTTGTCGGAGTCCTCTAGTCGGGGTTACATGTCCGTGCAGGGAGTTGTTGACGAGAAAGGAATATGACACCGTAGTCACACACTCCATAATTCAAGCAATCCAAACGTTGTGGAAGCCAAGTCGCTGCAACACCTCTTGTAAGAAGCTCCATTCTATCCGGTCGTACGCCTTGCTCATATCCGTCTTCACAGCCATTGAGCAATGCTTTTTGGCGCCTGAGAGACGGAGAGTGTGTAAGGTCTCGTGGGTGATGAGGACGTGTTCGGCTATCGCACGCTCCGGGACAAAGCCGACTGGTGCTTGGAGATAAGGGATCGGAGAAGGGGTTGAAGCCGCTTAGTGAGCAGCTTAGCTATGATCTTGTAGTGGATACTATACAGGGCTATGGGTCTAAAGTCAGCTACCTTCTTCGCTGTAGGGCTCTTCGGGATTAGACGGATGTGTGTCTCGTTGTATCTGGTATGTAGTGACTGTTGGGTGAAGAAGGACCGAATATCTCGGTAGACGTCTGGACAAATGATGTCCCAAAAGGTATGATAGAACCCTGCGGAGAAGCCGTCAGGTCCCGGTGCTTTATCCGGGTGAATAGCGAAGACCGCTGCTTTGATCTCTGCGTCATATGGGATCCTTGTGAGAGTTGTGTTCATTTGAGGAGTAATTCTGGCTTGGAGAGCCTCTTCGACTATAGTGGAGGAAGGCCGGACTTCCGACGTGAAGAGGAGTTGATAGTAATCAGAGATGGCCTTCCCAATTAGGGAGTCATCATGGTGCGCAACTCCCGTATCATCCTCTAAGACGGTGAGGTTGTTTTGGGCTCGTCGGCCTCTAGTGTCTGCGTGGAAGAAACCCGTGTTCTTATCGCCTAGTTGGAGCCACTAAATTCGACTCCGTTGCCGCCAAAATTCTTCCTCAGCTTTGTACTGTAGAGATAATTGCTCCTGAAGTTGACCAATGAGGGTCAGATCCGGGATTAGAGCAGAGAGCGCTAAGTCGAGGGCCTCCTGGTTCTCCTTCATAAGTCTGGTCTTGATCTCGTTTTGCTCCCTAGTCCAGAGGATAATGCTCCGGCGACACTCTCCCGACTTGACGTAGATAGGTGAGGAGGAAGAAGTTGTCCATGCTTCTTCAATAAGTGGGATCATCTCAGGGTTTTTGCGGAGCCTCCTGTCGAACCGGAAAATGCCTTTGCCTTTCCTTTTCGTCGTATCAAAGGTGGTGCAGAGGGGTCGGTGGTCTGATTCCTCAAAACGAAGATAATGGCTATGTCCTGAGGGGAATGTCTCGGACCAGGTACAATTAGATAACGCCCTATCGAGATGAGAGTGGACGAAGTGAGAGTGTCGTTGACCTCGCCAGGAGAAGCAGTTTCCTGAGTGTGGAACATTCCAGAGGCCATTCTGAGAGATGAAGCTTCGGAACGGAATGAAAGTGCCTTCACTCCTTTGGGGGCCTCCTTTCTTCTCTGAGTTGTCCTGAATTTCGTTGAAATCCCCGGTTAGAAGCCAAGCATTGTCACGTGACAAGCCAAAGGTGGATACAAGATCCCAAACATCCGCTCTGTCAATAAAGCAGATTTTGATGTAAGAGGACTCAGATTTGAAGCAGATTTTGGTGTCAATAAAGTTTTTATTAGCCGAAAGAACTTCCAGATGGACCTCAGAGGACCAACCAATGGCTAAGCCACCGCTGGATCCTTCCGGGGGTACAGAAAAGTGGTTATCAAAACCCAAATTGCGAAAAACAGGGAACACATAATCATCTTGGTTTTTGGTCTCCATTAGAAACATAATGTTAGGAGATACAAAGCTATGTATGTCCTTTAGTCTCCGAACTGTCTCGGTGTTCCCAGGGCCTTGACAGTTCCAGCTGACGACTACTAAGGAAGAGAACTTGGCGGGATTTGAAAATCCGCCTTGTTCTTTGACTTCGGCTTCCTGGTAGCTACTACTTTCTTCTTTGGTGCGATAGGTGGACCTTGAGAACCCGATGCACCATCAACTCTAGCCTGGGGAGCGTTATCCATGTTGAGACGCTTCTTTGAGAGGGTCTTGGGCTTAGCAAGGTTGCGTTTCTTGGAACAAGCTCCTTGTAGAGGACTCACTGCTATACGAGCTGGGCGGCCCACTTTTCTTTTCCCTGCGGCTCGAGATACTTGTTCCGGAGGAGGGAGAGTGACAGTAACGTGTTCCAGCGGTTGGACAAGTCTTGTCACTGCACTTCCCCGAGCCGGAGGTGATGTGAGAGGAGGAGCTTCCCCGCCCTCAGAGAGTCGATGGCTTAGCGTAGGATGCAGGGGGGGGGGTTACCAGAGTGGGAGAGGAAACCTCGAGAGTAAGAGGTCGCGGCTAGCGTTTGATTTGACTCTCCCATATATTGGATCTCCACATCCTGGAGTCTAAGGGAGGAGGAACTGGGAATTCCTCCGGATCGATCCAGGGAGCCTGGATTTAGACCCGAAAGTCTTTCTCTAGCTGGTCTTCTTTGGACTTGTGAGGGGTCCGAATTACGTTGGAGGGCCGTAGACAGCAGGGAGTTTGAGGTCCCTCCTTTAGCGGAGTCGTGGGTACGACCTGGAGAGCGCCTAGGATCGGGATGGGATCGTGAAACTCCATCATGGCGAGAAGAAGCAGAGTGTCTCTGTGCCGAGGACGAGTGGCGTCGCGGGGAAGCTTGGCCTCTGTTGGACCGACGAGGAGAAAGCCCAGAGAGTCGGGAATTCCGCGAGGGAGCTCGATCAGGAGAGGAGACCCCCCCCCGTGTCTTCTGGAAGAGACACCGGCACTCACAGGGAGGGTGGGGGAACGGCGAACAGAAGGATGATGACGATGGTATGAAGCAGAGTTGAAAGAGTTCCTGGGTGAGTATTCCCTGTGACGAGAAGGGATATCTCTGCTTCTATCCCGACTCCTTTCTCGAGAGGGAGCATGAGAGGAGTCACGGGTCCTCTGAGGAGAGAGCCGAGAGGATCGAGAGTAGTTGGGAAGAGGAGCAGGGGATCTCTCTCTCCTCTCCCGGTTCGTAGTCCGGTTGTACCTTCTATCTTCCTGTCGGAGTTTACCTTCCTCTATGCGGGTGAGAGTGCGCCTCTGGTTAGTGCCTAAGTCCCGGGTGGAGCCATCTCCACCAATTCTTGCGATAGGGCAGTCCCTTTCTTCATGTGAGAGGGAGAAGCAGGAGAAGCAGTGCTTTTCCAGTTTGTCATACACCAGGGTGACAGTGGTAACTTCTCCTGAAGGAAGTCGAATAGGGAGCTTCATCTCCAGCGGTTCGAGAGCGTTGATACGGACACGGATTCGGCCTCTATCCACGTCTCGTTCTTCAACAAAGCCTAGTTCGGCCCCAATAGTACGAAGGGTTTGATCATTCCAATGGTGTAGCGGAATACCTTGGATGTCTATCCAGAATGGGATGAAAGCCGGGAAATAATCTGAGACAATTGGTTCCCAGCGTTGTAAGATAAACATCCACCGTTTGAAATGATACGGGGTCTTGTTTAGAATCGCTAGCAGGTCGTCTTCGGACTGGAAACGGATAATGAAGAGGGAGGGACTAATCTCCTTTCCGGAAGCCCTAGCCTCCATATTCCAGTGCTCTATCATGAATTCCACCAGAGCTTTAGGTCGTTGAACAGTGGGATTGGTGACTCTGCCGATAAGAGTGAGCTTGTTGTCTTCGATGAGAGGCTGGTTGTTGCTAGGTGGGATTGGAATCGGGACACGATTCTTGGGCTTCGGTGTTCCGGGGATCCATTTCCCTTTCTCTTGACGGGAGTACTTAGACATGGCTCTTGAAGGATTGGGGGATTGAGGGTTCCCGAAGTGCAGAGATGAGAAGCAGAAGCGACGAGTCGGAGAGACTGTACCTGACAGTAAACCTCAGAGCTGAGTAGAGATGGAGAGAGTAGATTGGTAGAGACTGTACCCAAACAGTATAGCCTCAGAGATGAGTAGTGTCGGAGAGAGTAGGCCGGTGAAGACTGTACCCGACAGTATAGCCTCAGGAGGAGTAGGGGATGGGGACCTCAACGTCAGAGAGCGAGAGGAGCCAGCGGACTAGTAGATTTAGGCGACTGTGGAGATTTCCGAGAGGAGAGGCGTTCCATAGCTAATAGAGGCCTGGGGGGACCAGCCCGGGATGAAGTAGCCGAGGAAAATGGAAAGGATCGGAAGAAAACGGAAGAAGCGGGCCGGAAAAAGAAACTGAAGGGTCTTCTTCGGCGGAGATCAGACAGATCTAGGTCAAAACCACGGTGGTGGGGTGAGAGTGCTGAGATCGAGACGGTGGTTGGGCTTCCATCGAAAAACGTGCTTGGGAGCGTTTTGCATTTCAAGTGAATTTCTTATCTTTTGTATAATAATACGAGTAGTGAGACTTTTAAGAGACAAACCTTTCCAACACAAACTTATACTCCTTAAAGATTGGGAATTGTTAGACTAATAAAATAATGTTAGGAAGTCTTGACACGAAATTTTAATTTCGAAGAAGCTTTCTTGAAGTTTTGTATAACTATGGAGTATGACAGGGTCTTGTTTCCCCTAATCTTGGATTATTTTTGCCAAAATTTAATGATTCAAGCAAAAACATTATAAAGTGCATTGACAACTACAGTAAAATCTCTATAAAACAATAATGTTGGGACTTTGAAATTTTATTATCTTATAGAGTTATTATTTTATCGATAAAACAATAATTATTATTTTATAGAAATATTCTATCAAAAACAAGAAACTTTATAGAAAATATTTTTTCACTTTTTTATTCAAATTTTCCTTATACTTTGTTATTTACATATTTCATGCTCAGAAGTTCAAAATCTAGAAGAAATTATGTCTAATGTTCTTAATGGTGAAGATGAAGTTGAAGATGATGAGGAAGGACATGTGCAAGTAGTTAAGCAATTGTGGCTTCGAGAACTCTTCACAACTTTTGGCTGCATGTTGAGAATACACCACCAGAAATTGTAGATGCAATAAGAAAAATTCGAGATGAGCTCCAACGGGAATCCAACTTTCAGAAAAGACAAACTACATTGGAGTCATATTTTACTAAATTGTCTTAGATATATATGCCTTAGTTTTATAATTATTATCTTAGCTTATTGTTGGGACTATATTTTTACATAGGAGTTTCAAAAATATTATTGTCTTATCATCTTATCGCATTATGCTATTTTTTACATTGGCCCGAGTTGGGACCGGAGAAAATTATTATCTTATAGTGTTTATTATTTTATAGAGGTTCTACTGTAAATGAAATAAACCAAAATCTAAAGGCTAATGAGGTAAACTAAGATAGGAGATTCAAACCCTGTAAATACTTTTTGAACAAATATTATTTAACTTTTGTCAAGTTATTATATATTGAGATATTGAACAAAAAAAAGAAACTCAGACTTAAACTCATTTGATTAATAAATGAAATCTAATAACATTCTTTCTAATGAATCTGAATTTCAAAATGCTCTTGGATAATGCTTCTTTGTCAAAGAAAGAACACAAGAATCTAGAGAGTAGATTAGGCAAAAATATGAGTTTTTGCCTCTAAACTTGACCCAATAAAATGCGAGACTACTAAAACCACCCTAAAAATACAAAACCACTAAAATCCAGAAAAAACAAAAGCAAATAAAACATTCAAACCAAGGAAACAGCAATTGGGCTCCTCACAACATGATGTCCATCGGTCCAACTAAACCATCCAAACCGATACCGATCCCTCCGAGCCTCACCTGTATACTCGTATCTCTGTGTTTCAAGAACGATATTAAACTGCTTCTTCTGACCAACCCGATCGAAAACCAACACATCCGGTTCAGCCCTAACCGAGACACCAAACGGCGGTTCAACATTAAAATTATATGTGCTTAATGCTGAATCACCGGTTAGTCCAACACATGTGACCGTCCTCGTAACAGTCACTGCCCCATTGAGATAAGGGATTGAGATTGACGGGTAATTTAAGTTATAAGCAGGAGGAACTTTGCTAGGACACTGGAATGTAGGGTCAATTTCGTTTAACCCAAGTGAGCAGCAGTAGAGAAGGTAAGATTGGTATGATGCATCGTAGACTAAACCGGGATCTGCAGCTTTTGTTGGTCTAAAATGTCCTGAACCAAGTGCAAATGGGTCTGCCGGGTAACCATCATAGTCTTTTATCGGTTCGTTGTCCTCGTTGGTCATCGAAGCTACAATTAGAGAGAAGAAAACCATATTAATTATCAAAAAAATTCACCGGTTTGGACACCTCTAATCAATGTAATTTGGTATAGCTATTTTGAGCCAACTAAATAACCGGAAATTGAATTTACCGGTAGTCATGAGAGCGGATCTTATAGCAGCACTACTCCAAGTGGGATGAGTACTTTTGAGAAGGGCTATTGCACCAGCAACATGAGGACAAGACATTGAAGTTCCTGAGTCAATATTATAATCCGTAACTCGTCGGTCTATTGAAACTTTAGTAGCCGAATCTGCCCCGCTCCATGCGGCCAGAATGTTCAAACCCGGCGCAGTAATATCCGGCTTTAAAAACCACAAAAATCTGGTTAATTTTCGGTTATGTTTATGTCCATTGAATTTTAGTTGAAGGTAAGAAATAGTTTACCTTTAAAATGTAAGGATCTACCCAATTTGGGCCACGGCTAGAAAAACCGGTCATAAAAGGAGCCGGTTGGTATGCTGGGTAAACCGAATCTTCCGTTTGGTATGGGTAAACTACGGTTCTTGCCGGTTTAATAAAAGCAACCGGTTCGTCATCATTGTAAATGTAGTTTAGAATCCTGTCGACAGCGGACGAGAGAACCAATGCGGTCGGTACGAAATGTGGATCGGCATGAATTCCATCGTCGCTAACCCGAGAATTTCCTAAAATCATACCGACTCCTCCAGCTCGTTTTACTTCAAGGCTCTTACCGATTCTTGAACCGTGACCTCTCAAACATAATACCACTTTACCTTTCACAAGCTCCGGTGAAAGCGAATTCGGTAAACATAGCCTTCACACACACACAAAATGGTTAGTTTTCAAACAATATTTTCATAATTTTGTAGTAAAAATCTTACGATGCATAGTTCATTGAAACGCCGGGAACAACAACATCAGCAGCATACACAAGTGGAGCAAATTTGTCCATCTTCAATGTCGTCAACGAGTCCGACTAAGAAAATAAATGAGAACTATATATTATACATTTAACGTATAACATTTAATGTTTCATCTTAAATGATATGTTCACCAATTTTTTTGAAGTATATACACTTATAATTTTTTAAAATAATTTGGAGTTATTACCTCGTATTTATAGCCATCGCCAAGTTCAAGACGGCCGATGAAATACCGATCAAGACTACTAGCACCGACGGTAATAATCCATGGAGCTGCATTCGACAAAGTTTCAGCTCCCGGTCCATCATTACCGGCACTAGCCGTGACCACGATATCTCTTTTAACCGCATGCAACGCTCCAATCGCGATTCCGTCTTTCAAATACGAGTGGGGTACAGTTGTGCCTATCGAAATACTGATGACGTGAACGCCATCAGCAATCGCGTCGTCAAACGCAGCTAACATATCTTCGTCGAAACAAGTGTTTCCGTGGCTTTTGTCAACGTTTGGAACGGCCCAACAAGCTTTGTACACGGCTAGGTGAGCTAATGAGGCGCCTCCTGAAGCTGTGCCTCTAGCTATGCCGTCAAATGCAGAAACGCCGTCTACTCTGCGACCAACGGCGGTTGAAGATGTGTGTGAGCCATGTCCGTCGGCGTCTCGTGGAGACAAGAAGTCTTGGTTAGCTGCCGCATTGAACGGTCCGTAATATCTCTCGTAACCTCTTGCGTAATACCTTGCTCCTATAATTTTCCTGTAATTAATATTCGAAATTGATGATTAACTAAACCGATAACCATACTGTTACAGTATACCACTCGACAAAAGATAATAATGAAATAAGCCGCGAACTGGAAAAACTTTATTCACTTTACTATTTAAAATTAGTTTTAGTTATGATAATGAAATGAAAATATTTGTAAATGTTTTTTTAAAAAGAGAGAGATATCATACAATAGGTTCTATATATGTGGATGTACATGCTATGTTATAAAATATCAGTGATTATATTACATGAAAAAAGTGGCTTCTTGATATATATATATATATATATATATATATATAAAATCCGGTGAAAATGTTCTTGTGGAAAACATGATTTATCTTGAAGAACTGCAAGAATTTATCTTTACCGATTGCAGTGGGAGGAGTTGAAGGCAACTCCGGTTTGGCAGATTCCTCTCCATGATTCTGGAATAGGTCCCATTCCTTTGTCACTGAAACTCCTTGATTCTGGCCACACCCCTTATATTCCCCAAGAAAATAAAAAAGTATATAATTAAAATACACCAAATGATTTGAAAATAATTACAAAATTTCCTTGAATCTTTTTTTGTTGAAAAATTTCCTTGAATCTTGATCATGAGACAATTCTTTTTTTTCTAGTTACCTAAAATCCACTTTAAGCTATTATTTCGGCATCCTATTCAACAAATTAAATCTTCTAATTAAGATATGTTAACAGAAAGATTTGCATAATATGTATGTATGTTTGGTTTAGAGGGATAACACGAAAATTCACATGAAAAAACACATTTGTACCTCATCCAAGTTTCATTCATAAACAGAAGCTTCTAGATAGCTCAACAATAAGAATGTCAGTGGCAACTCGAAACATTTTTAGAAACCTAATTTTCAAATTTATAATGATAGGAAAAAACCCTAGTAGAGAAACTTACCACTGTCGATAACACCGACTATGACTCCATCACCATGTTTTGCCTTTTTCAAAAACTTTCTTCCAACACGAAACCGATCATCATTCACTTCATAATTATGAAGTCCATCATCGCCATCGCCACCACGATAATCGCCGCCTTCTTCTTCCTTTAACCCTACAAATTCCCATGATCTTGTCGTATGGGTCTTATACTTTCTCGGATTGCTCTTGAATACCGATACAACTCCTTTCAACTCTATCTCCAATAAAAGAACATCATTTAGTTTAACCAACACCCATTTTCAATCATAGCAAAATATGAATCTGGTTTCATTTCCTTAAAGAATTTTTACGTACTTTCAAGTCTAGATGCTTCATCGTGTGTTAGCTCAGCAGCGAAGCCATTGATGCTGTGTTTGTAGCTATACACTAGCGATGATTTGGCTTCTACTGTAGATGCTTTAACCGATAGAAGATAAGAGTGATGATGATCTTCGATTTCATGTAAGGCTTTATCACCTTTATGTTCTCCAAAATAGACAATATACACCTATAAAAACCCCCAAAAAGTGTTAATGTGAAGAACTAATACGAAACTATGAATTTGAATATCTAAATTGGAAATGATATGGGAGTTGAACATTTTAGGCTAACATCTCAATGCATGTTTGGAATTTGAGACAGATGACTGCAAATCAAAGTGTGGAGCAAATAAATAAATTTCAACAGAAAACATAATAACCTGTTTCTCTTTAGCGCATGAAGTTAAGAGAGGGACGAGAAAGAGGAGAAGGGAGAGACAAATGAGTCTCATGGCCTTAGTTTTCATTGTGTTTTCTTTTTTGGCTTTGGCGAAATGTTGTAACCCTAATGCTTTATAGGTGTTTTGCTATCTATATTAGACAAAGATAGACGAATTTAAAATGGTTAAAGCAAATTATAGGAGTTCGAGATACGGTTTTTATGATAGTTAACATTTTATCATACGACTGAGAATATACTATTTAACGATTTTTTTCATCGTGTTAGTTTAAAAATCCATTTACCTCTATTGTGTACATAGTTAGATAGGGACTGTATTCGTATGAGTACTAGAATATTCTAAGACATTTCGGCATATTATTTTATAGAAAAGAATTAAAAAAGTAAAGTAAAGTAAATTTAGGCAATCGACGATCTTAGATAATTTGTTACGAGAATCTAGATAGGGATTCGATTGGGATATATCTAACTTCATCGTATGACAAAATGTTTATATAGTTAACTGTTCAATTTTGTACAACGTACAAGTGTGTGATCATAGAGGCTGGGCTTCTTGATTAACTCAAACTAGGTCCATATCCAATTCATGGATACGCTCCAATAACTGCACTTGCTGATTTCTTCTTCCCATTTTCATAAATATAATAACGATGAGAATACTTAATTATAAGATTTAAACACTAGGAAAAGTTTTCTATTTCTTTCACTTTTACCGCTTTAAGAATACCAAACAAGCTATTACCATCCCAAATAAGTAAACAACAAATCAAGCTAAGGAAACAGCAATTGGACTCCTCACAACATGGTACCCATCTGCCCAACTAAACCATCCAAATTGGTATTGACCCTTTTCAGTCGCATTCAACATCTTGTCCTTTCCTGCCGTGACCACGATTTTAAACCGCTTCTTTTCACCAATCCGGTTAAATGTCAGCACACTCGGTTTAGCCTTGACAGAAACACCAAGGGGTGCTTTAGCGCTGAATACATACGTGCTTGTTGAGTTACCATCTCCAACATTTGTAACCGTTCTTTTAACTGTCACTGTCTTGTTGAGATTCGGGATAGAGACTGACGGGTAATTGAGGTTATAACCGGGAGGGATTTTAGTTGGACATATGAATGTCTGGTCAATACCGGTAAAACCAACTGAACAACTATAGAGAAGGTAATCTCGGTATGATGCATCGTAGACTAAACCGGGATCTGCAGCTTTTGTTGGCCTAAAATGTCCTGATCCAAACGCAAATGGGTTCGCGGGTAAGCCGTTTGTGTCTTGGATCGGTTTCTTCTCATCGTTGGTCATCCAAGCTATCACAGTTTTAAAAATAAAACACATAAGTAAATTTCAAAGACTATTCATTAACAAATTCTGGATTATCCAAACCGAACCAACTAAAGAACCGGAAATGTTTTAGTTTACCAGTGGTCATAAGAGCAGATCTTATCGCAGCACTACTCCATTTGGGATGAATGGCTTTGAGAAGAGCAATTGCACCAGCAACATGAGGACAAGACATTGAAGTTCCTGTCTCGAAATTATAATCAGCAACTCTTTTATCTATTGACATTTTGCTCGGTGAATCTGCTCCGCTCCATGCAGCTAGTATGTTTAGTCCCGGCGCGGTTATATCTGGCTGTAAAAACCAGGGAAAAAAAAGTTAAGCGGTTGATTTTGGTTATGAATAGTTTTGGTTTTGTTTTGAAGTTAAGAAGAACCAACAAAAATTACCTTTAGAATGTTGGGATCTACCATGCTTGGACCGCGACTAGAAAACCCGGTCATGGAAGGAGCTGGTTGGTTTTTGTAAACCGTTTTTCCCGGTTTGATGAACGCTATCGGGTTTTTATCGGTTTTGATGTAGTCAAGAATTTTCTCGACCACGGTGGGGGGAACTGCCACTGTTGCAACGAAATGAGGGTCCGGCACAGTGTCATTGCCAATAGCCGGAGTATTTCCAAGAATCATACCGACTCCTCCGGCTCGTTTAACCTCTATACCTTTACCAATTCTTGAACCGGCTCCTCTTAAACATAAAACCACTTTACCATTCACAAGCTCCGGTCTTAGTGAATTCGGTAAACATTGCCTTCACCCAAACCAAAAAAAAAAAAACATTAATTCAACTATACAATTACAAAAAAAAAAAAAAAAAAAAATGCAAGTAGGGAACAAATCTTACGCTGAATTGTTCAATGCAACAATGCCAGGAACAACCACGTTAGCAGCATAAACAAGAGGGGCAAATTTGTCTATTTTGATTGCCGTAATCGACTCAGTCTAAATACAAAAGAAAAACTATATGTTATACAAAAATGTAACGTATATATTCGAATGATTTAATTAATTGTGGGCTAGTTACCTTGAGTGTATAGCCATTTCCAAGAACAAGACCGCCGACGAAAGCCCGATCAAGAGTACTAGCTCCGACGGTAATAATCCACGGTGCTGTATTCGACAAAGTCCCCGGTTTTGGCCCGTAGTTCCCCGCACTAGCCGCAACCACAATATTTCTTCTCATCGCATGCAATGCTCCTATCGCGATTCCGTCTTTTGAAAACGGCACCAAAGGATCAGTCATCCCAATCGAAATGCTGATAACGTGAACGCCATCAGCGATCGCATCATCGATTGCTGCAAGCATGTCTACTTCGGCACATGCGTTTATGTCAGTTTTCTCAGCGTTGGGCTTGATCCAACAGGCTTTGTAGATGGCTAGACGTGCTAACGGTGCACCGCCCGAGGCCGAGCCCATGGCAAAACCGCCGAGTGCTGATACACCGTTGACTCGGCGACCAACTGCGGTGGAGGCTGTGTGGGACCCATGTCCTGCGGGGTCTCGTGGAGACAAGAAGTCTCTGTTTGCTGTAGCGTTGAACGGTCCGTAATAACTTTCGTACCCTTTCACGTAGTACCTCGCTCCAATAATTTTCCTGTGACAGAAGAAAATTGAAGGTAATCAGCGGCTAATCATCTAATATAATAACTAAGCATGGAATAATCATACCATGACTCGTTTACTAATTATTTTGTTTCAAGTGTCAACTCTAAAAAGTGGAAATCAACATGACACAACAAAAGTTAGCTAGCATCAAATGTTTTTTTATAATATAAGTAGTTATGTTTTCAATTAGCATGCACAAGCAGAAAATAGTGAACACTTGAACAACTAATACATATGTTGCTGAGGTCACAATAATAATACGGAAACGTGGTAATATAATCTAATTACTTTACTTATGTCTTTAAACACATTTGAGCTGCCTCTAAGAAAAACATATGTTAAACATATAGACACATAAACCTGGACAGATATTGATATTACAAACATGAGAATTGGTGGTATAGCAAACAAGGGAGAAGTCACGGGTGTACAAGTTTATCTAGAAAGAATCAAACAAGTTTTTGTCCCTTACATATAAAACCAAAGCTTGCATATATGAAAGTTTCAGTTGCATTAAAATAGCCAATATAAATGTCTTTTGTAAAATCAATTAATTTGTATAGTTTTGATGGCAGGCTTACATAAGTGAACAGTTTAGAGGGTCTGCAGAAAATCTAATTCGTTATATTGGTATTTAATAATTTTATACTAATAATATAGTAAAATAATAATGGAGACTCGTGAATAGGTGATAAGCTTAAAAGTTGGAGATCAATTATAGCAACCGAACAAAACACTGAGATTGTGACGTAATGTTTTGGACAGTGGAACTCACAAATTATGCCTTCTATGGGAAAATTTGAGAAAGAAAACAGATGTATGGTATTAGGGGTATTATAACTCGATCACATGACGTTTTAAAAACTTCATTGTAAAACAGTGTTGTAATATTTAGTTAAAATATTTCAATAATCATATTTACTATTCAAAGCCTATGTTTTTAAATGATACAATTGAAAATCGTGAAATATAAAATTTCATTTTCATGTCATTCCACAGATTATCAGTCAAAACTGACATTTTATTCTTTATATTGCATATACTTTTATTATATTATATAAAGGGTTTTGATGATCAGCATAGAACATCAAAATCCCATCATATTTAAAAAGAAGATTCTCGCAGGGAGCATATGGTTCTTTGGATCTATGCTAAAGAAGAAGAACCAAAGATGATATGGACGTGTAAGGATTTTAATAATCTATTTCAAACGTATAATAGAAATTTATTTATATACAGTACGTACTAGTGTGTATATTTGGCTAATTCTCTTCTTTCTTTTTTTTTACATATATTTCTCTCTTTTTCTTAATATGTTTTTGACCAACTTAAATCACAGAAGTTATTTTAAAATTGCCACAAATATATATGCCCATACTCTAGCTTAACACCAACAGAAACTACTATAAGGCTATTTGTTTGAGAATCAAAAGAATGAGACTGTAGATATGCAGGTTAACCAATCATTAACTAATCGGTTTAGTAAATCAATGAACTATATTTTAATTTTTTTTTTTTTTTATCAGAAAATGAAGATATTTTGGTTAGAAAAAAAAGTATGATTAACTCTCTTACCGGTTGCAGTGAGAAGAGTTAAAGGCAACTCCGGTTTGGCAGATTCCTTTCCATGATTTTGGAATGGGTCCCATTCCTTTGTCACTGAAACTCCTTGATTCTGGCCACACCCCTTTTATTTTCCCAAAAATATACAAATAAATACACAAGTTATTCTCTACATTATATAGCAACAAATTAGCAATAATTGATTTATATTATAATGATGTATGAAACTAAATATAAAATCACAAAATTTCCTTGAATCTTGAATTTCTTAATCATAACGCAACTCTTTTTCTAGTCACGTAATAATTCAACTGTCAACATTGAAGTTAGGTCCGTTTAAGTTTGGTATACGTTTTCATCAAAAAGTAACAGTGATTATTCTCAGAATTCAAAACATTAAATTACTTAATATTGAAAGAAAAAAAAAAAATCAATCTTATGGCTTTTATCTCGGCGCTTATATGTGTGTGCGTGAGGAAACAGGAGACAATAGATTAAAATACAAAGTATTGTCCTTATCCTTATGTAAGGATAACACACATTAAGGTTCACAGAAATTACACAATTTTATCCTTTCCATTCATATGATCCAAATTCTATTTTAAATTGAAGTAAATATTTCATTTTTTTTTATTTGCAAATAAAACTTAGCTATGAAGATAGTATTTTATTAACTATTAAGTAACAAGTTATTTAGAGAAAAAAAACAGCTTGTTATTACCCGAAGTGGCATGTTTTTCAAAAGAAACAAAAGTTTATACTCTTAGCCTTTTAAAAATAATCTAATTTAATAATTTAACACCATAATGTATGAAATGCGGTTACCGAAATGGTTTTGATTACCCCGGAAAAATAATGACAACTTTTAAAAGACCTATTTTCGTATTTTATAACTAACTTAAAACAATAATATTCTAAATATTTAGAAGAGACCAGCTTAACTTACCATTGTCGACAAGACCGACGATGATTCCATCTCCATGCTTTGCCTTGTTCAGAAAATTTCTTCCGACACGAAACCGATCATCCACATCGTGCTTGTGACGTCGATCATCGCCGTCGGTTTCCTCTTCCTCCAATCCTACAAATTCCCATGACCTTGTCGTATGCGTTTCATATTTTCTTGGATGGCTCTCGAATACCGAAACAACCTCCTCTAATTCTGTTATAAAATACATGAAAAAAAAATCAGCAAAAATGGATTTTTGGTTAATACTTAATAACTCTTCCTCAAACAAAATATCAATTGAGTTTATATTGTTTTCTTTCGAGATTACTTACTTTCTAGTTTAGAAGCTTCGTCAGGGGTTAGCACAGCTGCAAAGCCATTGATGCTGTGTTTGTAGCTATACAATAGCGATGATCTGGCATCTTCTTCCGATTCTTTAACCGATTGAAGATAAGAATGATGATGTTCTTCAATCTCATGTAAAGCTTTATCACCTTTATGCTCTCCAAAATAGACTATATAAACCTACAAAACCACCCCCAAGAAAGATTTAATGAAAATGTGAGGAATTGATTAAGAACACATATATGGAATAGTGAAACCTTTTGGTAACAAAACAATGCAAACTTGGAATTGAGAATCACAGCTAATTAAAGTGTAGAATGATGGACTTTGAAAGTTAGAAGTTAATAAGAACCTGTTTCTTATCAGCGCATGAGGCTAAGAAGGGGACGAGAAAGAGGAGAGGGAAGAGAAAACTTAGCTTCATGGCCTCTAAGGACTTGTATTTTGTTTTGGTTTGGTGGAATGTTGTAGGCCTAATGATGTATAGGGGTCTGATGAGATATTTATACTAGACAAAGAGTAACAAATCTTAAACACTTTTTAATTAAGAAATTATGTAAAGAAAAAGTAAACAAAATCTTAGCAAAATAACGACTAACCGTGGTGGTCTAATGGTTGAAAACTTAGCATACTGGTCGAAGTCAAGGATAAGTCTTACTCAGCAAAACTCCATGTTGGCCACTAAAAGAAAGATTATAGGTGGAAAGAAAAATTCGACTTTTTTACTAGCTGGATTTATTTGAATATCACAATAATCATTAGATTTAATATATTTTACCAAATCTAATCGTCAAATATAGGATCAACATACCGAAAACGGATGTGGAAACCCATGAACAGTAGCTGGCAAAAAGAAAAACATGAACAGTAGTGGTAAGTTACAGAAAATGTAAGATTTCGTTCTTGTTTTGAACTTCTTACATGATTTAGCAACATCAATGCATATTTTCCAGCAGGAAAAAGTTGGATAAATTACAGCAAATTTAAGATTTCTTTCTTGTTTTGAACTTTTTACATGATTTAGCAACATCAATGCATATTTTCCAGCAGGAAAAAGTTGAATAAATTACAGCAAATTTAAGATTTCTTTCTTGTTTTGTACTTTTTACATAATTTAGCAAAATCAATGCATTTCTTACAGCAGAAAATCAATTCCATTTATAATACAGTAGAAAGTCTATAAATTAATAATGTCGGGACTTTGATATTTTATTAATTTTTATAGAGTTATTAATTTAAGAATTTTGACTAAAAATTTTAAAAATATAATAATGATAAGAAACTTCTCAGATTTATTTATAATAAATAAGAAATTTCTCTTTATAAGGTATATTTGCTTAACTTGTTTTTTCTATTTCTGTATTTACTTTACATTTTTCATACTTGTCATATTGTTATAACTAGGTTTAAAGCCCCGCGCAAGCGCGGGGTTGTTTGCGATAGTTTTTCTGTTTAATTTTATTTATACTCGTTGATTTGAATTATGATGGTTTTGTGTTAACTTTCATGTTTTTGTTATGTTTTGAGTTAACTCAACCACTAACACTAAAAAATATGAATAATTTGTTTTTTTTTAATTTATTAGGATATTAACACCCCGCTTTATCTCGAGTTTTCTATTTCTAAAATTTTATCATGTTATAAATATTATGTTTGTTTACTTTTTTTTACTTCTATTAGACTGTAAACATGTATATGTATTTGATTGAAGGTTAAAATTTATAAATATGTATATGCATTTGACTGAAGGTTAAAATTTGTAAACATATTCTTGTTTTTCACTACAATTAAATTTACATATAAAACTCCATTTCTATTTGTTTAGAAAAACAAACTCTAACTCTAATTTTTCATTAGCTTTCTATTATCTTAATTAATTTATATTCAACTTTTTAACTTGTAAACACATTATAACATTTTTAAATAGGATAAATCCTTTGAATAAAAAGTAAATATATACTATTTGAAGTTAAATATTTCTTTACTCCATCTCTATTTTATATTCCAACTTTTTGATAACTTTTAACATCAAATTATCACATACTTTCTATTAATTAATTAATTTATTTGTATATTTTTATTAAATATGAATAAATGTAAAGAAATATGAATAGTCATATATTTAATAAATATTTTAAATACAATTTAATGTTTTTGCTGATGTGGACACTCTAGATGGAGAGAGCAACTCCCTAATTATATATAAGATTCCTTTAGATGTAATTACGCGTAAAAGGATAATTATCATCTCTAGAATTCTTCATAATTTTTAGATGCATTTAGAGAGTATACTGTAAATTTTTGATCAGTAAGAAAAATTAGATACTAACTTTAAAATGAATTAAAATTTAAGAAAAAATAAACAATATTATATTTATATTTTAGTAGGTTAACGTAGTTATATATAAGTATTTATATGATAATTATTAATTATAATATTATTGGAACCATATTTTACATAGGAATTTTAAAAAGTTATTATCTTATTATTTTATTGAATTGTATTATATTTTACACTAGTCCCACTCGGGATCAAATAATTTTATTTATTTATCGTGATTATTAATTTATCGAGTATAATTAAATTAAAGAATAAGAAGAATAGATGAAAAAAAAACTACAGTTGAGAAGAAAATGGACGTATATAATTGGCTACGATAATGTAGCTAAGGGTTTGATTGGAGATTCATTTTCATCAAATGGCTTCTGTTTTCTTGGGAAGATCTCTTCTGGTCTGGCCGTTTTTTGTTTGCTATGACAACTCTCATAACAGAATTCAAAGTTTTATATCGGGAAAATTTCTGTTTCTTTATACTATATTTAGATAATTTTATTGATATGTTATCGTCTTGCGTTCTGGGAGGTGAGAATAGGATAGAACAAGAACTAGAGTTTGACGACAGCTAATCCTTATTCAGAGAATAATTCAGAACTTATAACCTTAGGTCATCTGTGATTTGTTTTTATACGTTTATTCTTGGAGTATAAGAAATTTCATTCGACCATACTCATTTGTCCTTGCCTTATAAATACTTTCTCTCTATAATTTTGTTCATTATATATGCTTTTTTTCTCTTTTCTCTATTGGTTTTTGTCATCGTCCAAGAATCACCACATCTTATTATCTGCCTCTTTTGGTCGAATTAGCAGCCTTCAGTACATTGAAAAACTTACAAACTATTGGTTCTTGCACAAAATGTAAGATTATTTTACCATTACTTATACAGTAATGTAAAAACAATTTACTTGTTCTAATTTTTCTTCACCATTACTTTACAGGAATGTTAAAACAAATTGCGTGTCCTAAATATATATAATCTTTCTTCACTAAATCATGCTTTTGGTTTTACCAAAAAAAAAAAAAAAATCATGCTTTTGATTCTGAATAGAACTAACATTATGTTCGGTGACATGTAAAATAGTTTATCTAAACTCTTAAAGTGTCTGTGTGTTTCATTTTACTTTTTTTTTTGTTAGTTCAATTCGAAAATGTATAATTGAAGATAAATGAGTTCATGGAACTAATCTTAGCTAGTTTTCATCGACTTTCTCTCTCTATCTCTTAATGGCATTTTTCAATCACAGGTTATTCCATTAGTTTTTGCAATTCTATTACTGAAATTCAGTGAAGTTCTTTTGTTAACGTGATTTTGAAGACGTTCTAACACGATAAGAACCTATATAACAAATTGAATGGTGGGGACATCATATGATCTTGATTGAGATCTTAGTGATATTTTTATTCTCTGAATTTGACCAAGAGAATTGATATATTTTATGCTTATATAGATGTTTTTATTCTACTAGGACTTGCCAAACCCTACATCGTCAAGGTCCCAAAGCCTAAGCCCCATGCTCGAGCATTTTATTAATTTTACTTGGTTTATAAAGAGATATATGGGCCTGATTGGATGTGGCTGTAGCTTTAGATTTTTGGCTGTAGAGTTTAGGCTGTAGGTTTTAGTGCTGTGGCTTTAGTTTTAAGTGCTGTAAGATTTTTTTTTGTAGATTGTGTATTAAATGAAATATCAAAACAAAAAAAGAAGATATAGAAATAAGAGATTAAAAAAAGAATATAGACAAAATAATAAGGAAAGAGAAGAGAGAGAATTTAGAGAGCACTAAATTTAGTGCTCTAGAAAAATTGCTTTCTACAACTACGGAACTTCCATAAATAAATAAAATTGCTCTATGTTTCAAAAATGGAAATAAATAAAATGAGAGCATGATTGGTAATTTTGGAGTGCTGCAAAAAGAGATATAGAGCCGTGGAGAGCAACCACAGCTCCCACCAATCGGATTTTGAAAAAAAAATCAAGTTTTTAAATATTTTTTTTACACAATGAAAGTATAATTGAATTTAGATAGCAAGTAAATATTTTCACTAAAACTAGAGAGTTTTTAATAATAAAAAATCAACTATGAAATTTACGAAGTTAAAATGAGCTATAAACATAATACAAACTACAAAAAATAAATATATAATGATGTAAATATGATTGCATCCAGTTTAATAAACTTTATCCTGTAACTTCTGAGTTCTAACTTCTCTCTTAACTAATTAAAAAAAAAACTAAAGATTTTATTTATTTTTGATTTTTGATGAAGGGCATCAAATTATAAGTTACGGTTTTGTTAAACATAAATTCTTACTCTCCCATTTTAAATTGATTGTTGTTCTAAAGTTAAATTTTTGTTTCATACTCTTTGTCCCATATTATAAGCAGTTGGGCAAAATGTATCTGAAAAAAAATGAATGTATCTAGATAGAGTATTACTTATCGTTTTGTATTTTCAATGCAGATTTATTACATTTTTTCACTATTATTTCTACTCTTTTAGCTTATTAATTATTTATATAAAATAAATCAAAATATTAAGTAGGAATAAAACAATAACTCTAATTATTTTTTTAATCTACGTACAAAACGACAACTAAAAAGAAATGGAGTGAGTAATAAATAATTCTAATGAGATTTTGCATAAATTTAATACACAAAAACTCTAAGAAAAAAAAACATATTAACAATAGTTGGATTTCCACACAAAAAAGTACAGCTCTTTAAGAAAACTAAATTAAATTAATGATTCGTCACGTAGATTAATGCATCGTTTAAGGTTTTCTATTGCAATTTCAACTATGGTTGGTACACTTAAATGATAAGAATACCCATCTCTTCCATATGCTTTGGAGACTATAGTAAGTTTCATTTTCATAACCTCAAATCCATCAACAATACGAAAATTAAATAATTTTTTTTTCTTTCATTCCATTATTTGCAAAATCAGCTATATATATCCAAAAGATCACTAGAACTAAAATTTCACTAAATTTGACTTTAAAATGTAGGACAAGTTTAAGACATACCAGTATACTACACAGTTAAAGTAAGCAAACAATAAACTTTTAATTTGACGATATATACAGAAGTGATTTTATATGTACGTGTTTGGTTAAATAAACCGCATAAAAAGTATGATGATTTGGTTAATCAATAATATACAATTTAACAAAATTAAGCTATCTCTAATATAGAGGAAAACGGGATTCAAAGAAGATCACCAAACTGAATAATCTTTTTCTGCCTTGTTTTAGCCAAGAGAAATGTGGTCTGTGTTGGGTGTGGTTTGTCAAAATAATCAGTAGGACAAAACCTTTATATCTTAAAAGCATGCATTGATTTTTTCCCTATTTCAGAAACTAATAATTTGATAAGTACAAAATACGATTCCTTTTTCTTAAAGGTTTGGGGGTGTGTTACGTTTGAAGAGTTTAGCTAGAGATTTTTGTATTCCCTATGATAGGAACCGCCACTTTGTATGGCTGATGTAGTTTTGCAAGTAATCTCTTCTGTAAGAAAAAAGTATTATCCTAATAACCATTTTGTTAGTATCATTCTGACAGTCGTTACATATATACATTCGAAATATCATTTCTGTAGTAGCAGAAAAACTTATGATCTTACCAACAGTAATGCAAAACTTGATCACTTTTTTATCAGTATACTTAAACAAATTGTTTAATCAGTATACTGTAACAAAAATACTGTACATATCAAAATTGTTTTTCTTTAATCCCACACTTGTGTGAAGTTTGTAACAGAATGAAAACGGGGCTTTAAATTGGATTAGATAGAGAGAATAGACGACTATGTTTGGTTCGGGCCAAGTTGTTAATGGTTGAAGATTGAGGGATGGCCCAATTTAGGTTATGACTTCCCAAAAGGTTAAATCTTTAGATTTAGATTGGTCCATTCTATTGACATACCCTATTTCTGAAATATATAATCAGAAAAAACATATTATAATGTTGACTTAGATAGTGTTTTTATTTTTGTTTTTATACATAAGCATAGTCCGTGCATTTAACTTTTTTTTTAACAAATGAAATTATATTAAACTTAAAACGCGGTTACAAGTAGAGTTGATGACTCGATGCTAAGGAGTCTGAACATGCGTGAAAAGAAAGTGAACGATGATAGCTCGAAATGCCGTCAAGGCCAAGGTTGAGCGTTTGAAGACTATCTCCATAAAGAAGAGGAGTGAGACTGGAGATACGTCGGTAGATGAGCAGTAATCCATAACCGCAAATGTAAGGTCAGAGATGCGTACTCTGTAACCTAACTCAGAGAAATCCGATAACCCGGTTGATGATCCGATAAATTAAACAAGAAACATACTTGATACATGTTGTCGACCGCTACTCAAATATAAAAGGAAAATGAACCTTGAGCGGAAATTGATGGGCTGCTGGATAGTTGAAAAGATAGGCCAAAGAAGAATGGACTACACCCAATGAATGAGTAATGGGCCACAAATTCGAATTCGAAGGTTGAAACTTTTTGGTTTATCAATTTATTTAATATGTAATGTCCCCTATATCTTAATCTACAACTACAAATTATTTAATTAATGATATCAATAGTCAAATTTAGTTTTGTATTAAAAGTCTAAAATAAATCTGAATACACGCAATATGAGTTTGACACATAGGGTTTTTAATCACCACCACGAAATCTTATATATAATGAGAGAATAACTCTCTCCAGATTTCTCTGCCACCTCAGTTTTATCCCATTTCCAATCAAGCTGCCACATGGCAGCATTTTTTTTTTTTTTTTTTTTCAGCATTTATCATTAAAAAAAAAATTAACACACAAACTCAAAACGAAATCAAACGATGGAAGACTAAACGCAACGCATCAACTAAACCAAAATCATCAACTAGACATCGATAACCGGCTCCACCAAAGCCTTGCTCATCTGATTCGAGAAAAGCATCCAAGAAAAGCATCGTTAGCACTTAGCAGAGTTAACTACTCCTCTTGTGAAAATTAGCAAATGGATCCAAAGTGGTTTACTCGGTTGTTGTTGTTGCTCCTCGGCGAAATCTCTGGAAGAAGAGGCGAAAAGGGAAAAGGAACTGATTAATGTTTCTTCATTCTAAATTTTTTAAATTAATCATATATTCTATAATGAGAAACAAATTGAGATGCTATGAATCAAAATTGGTTTTTTTTCTTATTATCAGTCAACAAATCAGCAGAATTGCAACTGTTACGATTGCAAATTTAAAGAAGGGAGGAAAAAAATAAGAGGAATTTGGTGGATGAAGGTGAGAGATGATAATACATGGGCTTGATCATATGGATCGGATGGAGCGAGAATGACTTTACCGTCTCTGCTCGTCAGACGGTTCTCACCAGAGGCGTGGTGAAAGCCAGAAGGTGTGCTGGTCTGATTTAAGCTATGTTGAGAAACGTGACTGACGCCGCCAGTGTGGTCTCCGCCGCTACGGTGAGAAACGTGAGTGACGAACATGTCACGAAATGGGCTAGAATCGAATTTAGGGTTACTGCTGAGAGTTCCGTGTTACAGGAATTGGTTTTCTCGGTTCTGTTTTCTCAATCTTTTGGTTTATTTGGTTTGTTAAGTCTTTATTTGTCTCTTAGTTTTCTGAAACGGTCAATCACTACAAGAAAGTGGTGTATTAATAGCACATTAAGATAGGTCAGTTTTCGTGAATGCTATTTTAGAAGTTTTCGGCGATTATGAAAAGAACAGGCCCTTCATTGTCTAAAATTCTGAGTATCTCCTCCTCTCCTTCCTTTCCGAGTCAATTTTGGGTAGATACTTCTCTGTTGTCGCCGGCTCTTTCTTGTCTAGCTCCACCACGATTTGGTAGCTAATCGAGTTATTCTGCTCCACCGCAAGGTACATTGCTCTTTCTATGTTTTCTGATGCTTAAGTTTGGAATCTGAGTTTGTGAAGAGTCATTTTGAACAATTGAGTCCCTTTTTCTTGCAGAGAACAATCGAGGGTTTCAGACTTTACTGTTTCTAGGTTAATTGCTTAATTGCATAAGAGGTCTCATAAGGTTAATAACAATAGGTTGGCTCTTGTTATGATTTATGAAGATTGGTTAATACACTTTTGGTTACAAGTCTGTCCTCAAATCCCTCTAAGGCTCCAAGGTAATTTAGTCGAACAGTTGGTGTGCATACTAATAGGTTTCAGCTGATTATTTTAGTTGATTCTGGTTTGTTTATATTGGCAGGGGAACTGATTCTCATCGCTTCGAATTGCCCACCGTTTATAAGATCAGAGACTGAGTTAGTGTTCACCACTACAATGAAAGTGAGTTAATTTCTTCTTCTGAAGAGCATTTTTAGCTTTTTTAGATCTGCAGATTCCTTTTCCCTTTGTTTATATTAAGTTTTCCTTAGTTATTTCGTAACTGAGGATGAAGTTGTAGTTTTAGAGATTCCTTCTCCCCTTCTATGGACCATTAGGCTGATGATGAAAGTATGATCCTTATTAAAGTATGTGTGTTTAAGTGTTGTTCTAGATTAATTATCCAACATTGTCACCTTTGGGAGAAGTCGGTGAGGGTTATTTTACGAACCTGTGTTGATGCATGCAGATATAAGATTGAAGTCAATTTGGAAATGTTATGCGATGAATCTTCTCTGTTTTATGTTTGTTTAAGAATTCTTAAAGTAAAGAAACTTAGTTTGCATTTCTCATTTCGGGAATCGGAGCAATCACGAAAATCATGGCATAACTTGATCCCCTTCTTTTTTCTCATTGGGCTTTTTTTTTTTTATTATCATTTCCTTAGAGTTTCTTTGTTATGGTTTTTTTAGTTGAATGATCTCTTAAGCATAGGTAAACATCCGATGTTTTAATCTCTATGCTTTTGCAGATTGAAAAATCACTGCAGAAACTGGTGGTAGGTGGGAAGATCTTAAGTAAATATATGCTTAGAAGTGCAAGTAAAGTGAGGAAGAAGCTTGTTACTCTTGTTGTGTAGGAGTAGCTTTTTATTTACAATTTGGTTTGGATTATAATGTGTACTTATGTGTACTTTATAATAGGGGTGTCAAAATGGGTCATTTTAAAAAAAAAATGGGTTTGGGTTGATCCTTTTTAGGGTTTAGAATTTAAGATTTATCATATAATTTTATTTGACATTTGTGATAAGTATTAACAAAATATATTCATTCTAGAAATATATGTAATCCTACGAAAAATATATGTTTTTAGATAAGTGTTATATTTCTTTTTCATGTAAGAGTTATATTTAAGGGTTTAGATATAAGGGTTTGGAATGACTTTTAATTTTTTTTGCTAATTCTGATTTAATGTTTTTAATTTGGAATAAAAATTTATGGTTTCTGGTTTAAGTTTAGAATTTTGGGGTTTTTTTTTTTTTTAATTTAGGATTTAGGATTAGGGTATAAGATTTTTCAATGTGCTACAATTAGTCATAATTAATTTTTAGCACATGAAAAATATTGTAAGTAATTTGATTTTAGAGGAAATAAGGAATAATGTACATTTATATTTCAACTACACGTTAATATATCTGAAAAAAAATATCTACAAAATTCAAATGACAATTAAAGTATAACTGTATAAGTAACAAAACTTTGTAATAGATATAACCCGTGTATCGCGTGGGCTTAACCCTAGTATAATTAAATTATCCAGTTTTAATACATTATTTTTTGGTAACTATCTGTTTGATTTTATGTGGTTTGAACTATCATTGAAAACTTAACAATAGTTAACAAGATATATCAAATACTATAAACAATAGTTAAATGTGAAAGATAAAGTAATTAAGGTTGATTTCTGTCTTAGGACTAATGTACTGCTGTCAGAAGTACATTCCGGAATTCAAAATATTGTAAAAAAATGTATTAGTACAAACACAAATATTGGTACTTTTTTTTTAACATCATTTTATTAAAAACATAATTCAAACTTCCGTCGTTACAAACAAAGCGAGAGCTGATTTTGCGATTGCATCGGCTCGAGAATTTTCGGATCTTGGTGTAAACACGAAGGAGATCGAAACAAAAGTAGATGCTAAGGTCTTGATGTCGCAGAGGACTCCAAGGATCTCAGCAATTTTGTCATTTGATCGGATAGCTCTCACGAGCGTTTGGGAGTCAGATTTGAGGCAGAGGCTGTTCCAATTCTTCATCTTCGCTTGGATCAGTGCTTCTCTGATTGCAATTGCCTCCGCTGCTAAAGCAGAGACAACCGGGGCTTCTGCGCCGCTTCCCTCTTCTAGGGTTAATTGATGTCCATCCGTGAAGCTCCACCCAAATCCCGCGACTTGAGTGTCACTTCTCCACGCTGCATCAACGAAAACCACTGTTGGTTGATGCCCGGCTTGGTGATTGGCAACTCTCTTTCCCTTCTTCTCCTGATTTGTTGCTGTTGCGTGCGCTCTTTCCCATTCTCTGGCATTAGCCATTGCTTTGGTGATTGTATCTCTAGGGGAGAAGCCTTTATCCTCGAAGATCTGATTGTTGCGATTTGTCCAGAGGTTTCAGCATATCCAAGGGAAACTCCACGCTCCGGTGATGCCCGTTGACGGAAGAGTAGTCCAAGATTTCGAGGTCTGGAGGGTCTCAAAGAACGATTGTTGTGGTGAGAACGGCTGACGGTTGCTCAGCGGCGCCATTTCCCAAACTTGCTGAGCGAAGTAGCAATGGAACAGGAGGTGTTCACGTGTCTCAAGCTCACCGCAACGATTACAAACGGCATTACACTCCAGTCCCCTACTGAGTAAGTTTTCTCCTAGTGCTATTGCCCCATTACATAGCTTCCATATGAATACCTTCAGTTTCTGCGATGTCTTCCCATTCCAAACGTCTCTATTCCAATTGATTGTTGTAGCCTCGTCATCGTCAAGTGGGTTTGCTCCTTCCTGCTGCTGTGTAGCTCGGGCTATATGATATCCCGATTTAACCGAGTAGTCACCAGATTCATTTGCTAGCCAGATGTGCTCGTCTTCGTTCTCAAACACACTCGATTTGATTCCCAAGATTGTATTCTCCAACAGTGGTAAGACTCTTCTTATTTTCGTCTTGTCCCACTTTTTGTTGTGAGGATCTATCAGGTCCAAGACCTTCCAATTCATTGTTTCCTCTGTTGCAGGTCCCATAGGCTTAGCTGGTACTTCAAGCGAGAGCCACAGATCTGTCCACAAGCATGTAGTCCTTCCGTTGCCTATTGCTTTCCCCAGGTTTTTCAATAGTAGATCTCTTCCAATCATAATTATGTGCCATCCATGGGAGGCTGAGGCTTTTCCTTTTGTTTCCAGGAAATTCTCTTGTCTGAAGTACTTTCCTGTCAGGACACGAGCCAGTAGACAGTTTGGATTCATTAGAATCCTCCAGCTAAGCTTGGCCAAGAGCGCATCGTTGAAAGTCTGAACATCACGAAACCCGAGACCCCCATCCCTTTTAGATTTGGTTAGTTTCCTCCACGCAACCGAACACATTTTCTTTTCCCCTACTTGTTCGTCCCACCAAAACCTAGTCAGGGCTGACTGGATTCTTTTGCAGAGGCTTAAAGGCAGTTTGAAGCAAGACATTGTGTATGTCGGTATAGCTGCAAGAACTGATTGGAGCATTGTCATCTTTCCTGCTCCAGAGAGGAACCGAGCTGACCAGCTGGATGCCTTGTTCACTATCCTTTCCACTATCAAGGCGAAAAGATCTTTCTTTTTCCGGCCAAAGTGTTCTGGCAACCCCAAGTATTTGCCTTGGCCTCCAAAAGTTGTTATTCCCAGTATCTCTTGTGCTTTCTCCTTTGTCTCTCTGTTTGTCTTTGCCGCAAAGGTGATTGAGGATTTGATGAGGTTTATCTTTTGTCCTGACGATGCTTCATAGGTCTTCAAGATCTGAGCCAGGGTTTCACAGTTTTGTTGGTTTGACTTGCAGAAGAACATGGTGTCATCGGTGAAAAGGAGGTGATTTATCGGAGGGCTTCCTCGAGCGACTTTTATCCCCGGAAGCTTTCTTTCTACCTGAGCTTTTCTACACAACCCCGAAAGCACCTCTCCACAGAGGATGAAGATGTAAGGAGAGAGGGGGTCCCATTTTTGATTTAAGTTTATAACTTAGTCTTATCATATAGTAACATACTAGAGGACCCGCACGGTGTGACGTTGCGATTTTGTGAAGAAAATCTAAATCCTAATCCCAAGCCCGACCCAAAAACCCTAATCAAAATTTTAAAAACCCCAAACTTTTTTAATACGTCTAAACCCGAAAATCCGAAATCCAAAAAATCCCGAAAACTCTGAACCGAATAAAAAAAAACTCAAAATATTTTTGACCTGAAACCTGAAACCGACCTAAAAACCCTAATCAAAAATTTAAAATACCCAAACTTTTTTAATATGTCTAAATCTGAAAATCCGAAATCCAAAAAATCCGGAAAACCCTGAATTGAACCCAAAAAACTCGAACCCAAGCCGAACATAAATTTTCAAAAAAAAAAACGGAACAATTTCTATATCTCTATAAAATTAGGTCTGGGATTTTCACCCGGTTTATTATGTTAATTTTTTTTTTGCAGATTTTTGAGAGTTGGAAAACGGAAGTTTTATAAACCATCGGTTTATTTTAATTTATTATTCTTGTATCCAAACAAATTTTTCCATTTATTCTTCTATCGAAATAGCTGTTTCTCTTATTCTTGTATCCAAACATTACAATATACTAAATTGACCCTCATTAAACATGTTGCCAAACATTTTTTCTCTATAATTAGATTGGTTTTTTTTGTCAGAAAAATTTCATGTACTTCTCAGTTAATAATATAAAGATGTTACTTATTAAAAAAAAATTGTGTTAAGAACTTAAAATTTTCAGTTTGGTGGCTTAAATTATTAGTAAAAAAAATGTGAGGTTTATAACGTAAGTGGCTGCCATTTAATGGATTGTTTAGGCAATTTTTCTAAAAGTAAAATTGGACACTTTTAATTTAGACAGAAAATAGTTGAGAGTTGTTAAAAGGGGAAAAAAAATTACGCAAATAACCGAAACTGGGAAAACTGACGTAATAGAACCGGGTTATAATTAAATCGAACCGGTACAAATCGACCGCAGCGATCACACCAACATCGTTTTCCCTAAACACCTTTTCTCTCTCGGATATGACATTTGACCAAAGTCAAACGGTCGTTCACCGGAATCAATGGCCGGGATAAATTCTTCGCCGGCGACGATTAAGCTCGTCTTCGTTCTATTCCTCTGTCTCGCAGTCTCACCCCCATCACCCAATTTCGTAAATGGCTTCTCTTTCCCTTTCTCCTTCTCACAGTACAAAGCCCTAATCTCAACCTCACGATCCCTCCTCCTCCGCGTCGCAAACCTACGCGACTCGCGAGGAGACGCGTCGGGATCTAATCGTGTACGAGCCATGGCCGACGAGATCGATCGTGGGCTAGGGATAGGATTTCTGAGCAGAGCGTGGTCTGTTGGGTGGGATTACATGTGGAACTACGCTTGGAGAAAAGGAGGAATTGACTACGGTGAGATGTACGGTGCGATTGGTGATCTCAATGAGCTTATGGGATTGGTTACTGAATTCAATCGAGCTGAATCGAATGCTGAGAAAGCAAGCTCTGTTGCTCGGAGTTATGGCAAAGCCCTCCGTGTTTCGAAACAATTGCTTCGTCGTCTTCTTAGAATCTTTGGTAAATCGGTACGGATCCAAAAACCCTAAGAGACTGATCTGTTTAGATTCACTACACTTAAAAATCCAAAATCTGCTTGAAGTATATGATTTAGAACTACAGTAAAAATGGGATTTTGTTGCTGCAAATCTTGAAATGTTCAGTTTCTGGTTCTCGTCGCTTATTGGTTGTTTGTTTCTGAGTGATCATTTGCTTCTTGCTCTGTAATTGGAGTTCTGTATTTGTGTATTGAGTAGAGTAGGTAAGCTTGAGAGTTGTCTGCTTTCAAATAGCTCAAGCTCATTTTGATTCTCCTAATGATGGTTATCTTAATTTCACATTGGAGACTTCGTTTTTTAGTGTTTGCTCAATCACAATAAGTTGTTCCTTGCTCTGCTTTGGACATTTTTGCTAATGGAGTTAGTCTTTGCCTAGAGTCGTTAGATCATGTTCGGTGCTCGTTCTATACGCTGGAATTACACGTTCATTGTTGTGTTTGTTGTGTAATGATTGTTTTAGGGAGCATTGAGGGAGTTTTGGGAGATGGTGCAAGCTGAAGTAGTAGATGGAGAGTTATTACAAGACTGTCTCGAAGTTGGGAGCTACGACGTTAAGAGTTTGCTTCAAATAGCTAAAGACATGGCTCTACAATACTTTTCTTCTGGAAGCAGTTCCTCAGATGAATTATAGCTGCAAATCAGACCTTTCACGTACGGTTTCTTCTCTCCGTTTTGTTTGGAATGTGACCCTTTTGGCACCTTGTACAATCTTATGCATTAGCCAAATCCTCTAGGAGATCCGCTTGTTACATGTTTTGCTAGATAAGTTTAAGAGATATGATATGTAGACTAGAAAACGATTTGTTTGTTCGTTGTATGAGTTTAAAATATTCATTCACTAGAAACTCGAGGTTTGTTCTTCATATTATCCATTTTAATATCATCAATCTAAGCCCTCGAGATCTTGGTTAAAATCTTTGAAAAACACAAGTCTACTAACTTCTACTATAACATTTTGTGTGATTGGTGAAATCTCTCCAATCATAGTTTAATATTTTATTGATGAAACAACTGAAGTTCTAAGTGTTTGATGTTGCTCTTTGCTGGATTCTTGACTCTATGGCATTGTGTCTAGACTCTTAGAGTTCATAAATACAACAACCATGTGGTTGGTGAACGGTGGGAATGATCTGAATTTTTTTTGTTTCTTTGTTTCTTTGTTTGAACATGTTTGCTTTCTTTAACTAATTTACTCTGACAAAACCAAATCAATTGATGAAATGGCATCAATGTTAATAGTAACTGAATTTATTGGGTTTCTCTTTTCCACTCTTTCTCTCATCTTATTAATCCTTATGGTAGCTTCTTGGATCAGAAAGTTTGAATCTTTTATAAATTAATTGGGTCCCAAGGTAGATTTACTTTTAAGAAACATATGTAAAAACAGAGCAAATGAGAATTTATTACTTTTCAAGTTTTTCAACTACTCACATTTAAGGTCATAAGGTAATGTCATGATACTCATCATCATCATGACATGGATCTCACTCTCTCATCTTTCATTTAATGTTTCTTCCTTCCAAACACATGGCAAAATCTCAACATCATCCTTCAACCGTTGATTTTTACAAAGCAATAATTTGATCTTAGCCGTTAGATTTGTATCATAGAGTAAAGGATCAATGTAATGTACTAATGCAAAGTGTGGACCCTTCGTTTCATGTTGTAATGTTTGTTTTGTTATGCCATTTCATTTCAAGGACTAGTCATTTTACTTACTTTTTCCACATGCATTGTACCAAAATAAGGCAAACAAGTTGAGATTTCTTCTCTTTTTTTTTACTGAAGTGGTTCTACTATATTGGTCGAGATTAAAGATTAAATTTTGTTTGGTCCACATACTTAATCGCTGTGACATTTATATGATCGAAAACAAAGAAACATTTGATCTTAACACATTTTGAAACTATTTTAAAACTTTGGAGAATATGAACAATGAAGATAAGCTTAAACTATAAATTACAAAAGAGTAGCCTCTAGGCCAGTTTCAATAAAAGAAAAAGATGTACATATAAACAATAGTGTTAATTGAACTTTCAATTGGAGTAAACAATAGTGTTAGTTGAACTTTCTAGAATTTTGAAACTAGAATTTTAGAATAATTTTGCCATTTTGCAAATTCTGCAATTGGAGTAAACAATAGTGTTAGTTGAACTTTCTCGAGACAATTTTTTTAGCTTTCTTGAGCTTTGGGTATTTATAAAAAAAAAGTCAACATGCTCGATTCCCGAAGCAAAGACATTAAAATCGAACCGTCACTTACAAGTTGATCACAGTAAAGAAAATTAAACAATATCGACAGAGTAGTATTAACTCTCTCCACCATCTTTCGTTATGGATCCACAAAAACCCTAAATTATTTCACATACATAAGCACAAACTCATTTACTTTTACATTTAAATATCCAAACATCAACGCCGCGTGAACATTTAATGCTTCTCCAACCGTTACGTTAACATTTTCTCATTTTCTTCAAAGTGTATTTATATAGGGGAACCTATTTTTCGATCTTTACATTCCCAAACCATCTCTCTTTCCTCTCACTTTCACAATCTTCTTCTTAGAGCGAGAGATGGCGAAAATGTGTTTAATGATGATGTCGATTATGGTTGGTATGACCATGAACATGGTTGCAAGTGCACAAATTGCACCATGTTACTTCATATTCGGTGACTCTTTGGTTGATAATGGCAACAATAATCAGCTCTCGTCATTAGCTAGAGCTAATTATTTTCCTTATGGTATTGATTTCCCTTCCGGTCCAACCGGTCGGTTTTGCAACGGCAAAACCACCGTCGATGTTATCAGTAAGTGAACTAACATTTTTTTCTTGTTTCCTCCTCTCTAGTATCAAAAGAAACTAATCTTCCTTGTCTCTTTTGTTGTTGTATAGGTCAGCTTTTGGGTTTTAATGACTACATAACACCGTATGCCTTCGCGAGAGGACAAGACATCCTCCGTGGAGTTAACTATGCTTCTGCTGCTGCCGGAATCCGAGAAGAAACCGGGAGACAATTGGTAAACCGAGTTAACTATTGAAACATTCCAGTTAGAGAGAGTTTCTTGAATTTTTTTAACCTTTTTTTTGTTGTTGTTCTTGTTTTCTCAGGGAGGTCGAATAGCATTTGCAGGACAAGTAGCTAACCACGTGAACACTGTGTCACAAGTAATGAACATACTCGGTAATCAAGGCCAAGCCTCGGATCACCTCAGCAAATGCATCTACTCCATCGGTTTAGGCAGTAACGACTACCTCAACAACTACTTCATGCCCGCTTTTTACTCTACCGGTAGCCAGTACTCGCCTGAAAACTTTAGCGACGATCTCATTGCCCGTTACACCGACCAACTCCGGGTCCGTACACTCCTCTGTTTCTACTTTTTAGTTGTTTTTTTTTTCTTTCTGTTTTTGGAAACCTCTGAGTGAGACTGAAGGGTTTTTCAATGGAGCAGATATTGTATAACAATGGAGCGAGGAAGTTTGCGTTGATAGGAGTCGGGGCAATCGGTTGCAGCCCGAACCAGCTAGCTCAAAATAGTGAAGACGGGACAACATGCGACGATAAGGTCAACTCGGCGAACAGAATCTTCAACAGCAAGCTCATAGCTATTGTGGACTACTTCAACCAAAACACTCCTGATGCCAAATTCACTTACATCAACGCATACGGAATCTTCCAAGACATTGTTACAAACCCTGCTCGCTACGGTAATAGCACCAATCAGTCTTCATAACTTGTGATCAAAGTAAACGTGAGGTCAAATCAAAAGTAATGATTTTGTATTTTTTATGAAATTGCTTGCAGGGTTTACAAACACAAATGCAGGATGTTGTGGAGTTGGGAGGAACAATGGACAGATAACTTGTCTGCCTGGTCAAGCTCCGTGTTTGAATAGGAATGAGTATGTATTTTGGGATGCGTTTCATCCAGGTGAAGCTGCGAATGTTGTTATCGGAACAAGGTCTTTTAGGCGAGCAGCTGCTTCTGATGCTCATCCTTATGATATTGAGCAGCTAGCAAATCTCTAAAGAGGAAAAAGAGAAACTTGGTGTTTTGCTTAATAGTTTTGATAGTTCTTCTTCAATGGCACAAGCTGAGTTTGGACTGAAGAACATGTCAACTTTGATTTGTGTTTGTGTGATGATGTGGAGTTACTGTGTTTTTTCAATCTCTTTTTCTACTCTTTTCTCAAGAGTCCCTAATATTATTTTTTTTCTTTAATAGATATGTATTAGTCTTTTGCCCATATGTTAAAACATAAGAAAAGTGAAACCAAATAAGAACCTAAATCAAGAAAGAGAAGGGAAAATCATGAATGCAAATGGTGAATTTCAAGCTTATCAACCTTTATCCAAATTTGAAAATAGTATATCACTTTATTGTATTAACAGAATAATCTAAACTCTAAATTTTAAATCTTCTAATAGTTAAAGTGTAATTCTTAACAAGTAAACTTAAACAAAATGGTATATTCAATTAATTCTTAACTAGCTAGAGAGACCTGATTCCATTCTTTTGAAGACTTGTATAGGATCTCAAAAGCAGCGGCTAAAAATCCATTTACAACATCGAAATACTCCTTTATCCTAAACACCACCATCAGCAGTAGATAACCGCTTATGCATAGTCCAATTGCATATGGTCTTTCTTCAAGCAGACCATCAACAACCGTGAACAGCGCTAAAGACAAGACTTGCATAGACACCATAGTAACTTAATATCGATGGAACCGTAATTAATCCCAGTGATAGAGCATACCTTTCGATTGCCACAAACATGCCAAAGAGAATGTTCCGTGAGCTCTTCGCATCACCAAGTTGATCTTAATTTCGTGTGGACTGATCAATATTTATAATACATAAATCGTTTAATATAGTAATAATCCAGAAAGAAGATGGGAATTAGCTCATTTTATTCCTCAATTATTTGTAATGAGAATTTTTATTCTTCAAACTATCACTTACTCACTTTAATTTATGAAGTGTGAATTGACTGCACAAAATTATGATTAAAAAGTCAAACTTTTGAAAATAAAAACTAATTTTTGTATAATAGACATAAAATGTTAAATAAATTTGTAAATGCATCATAATTTTCACCATTATACCTTAACACATTCTAAATAAATAGTTTAAGATATTTTTTTGCGTTTTTTATTGATCTTTATTTTGAATCCGGTGGATTCCGAGAATTAAATATGATCCTAATTTAATATTTATGTCAAATAATCTATCAAATTTTTAAATTTTATTTTATTAAAAACCATCAAAAATATTCACCGATTTTTTATTTTAATTTTTTATGTTTAACAATGAAAATTATGATGAATTTATTATTTTATTTAATATTATATGTTTATTATTAAAAGTTTGACTTTTAATCATAATTTTGTACAGTCAACTCACACTTCAAAAATTAAAGTGAGCAAGTGATAGTTGAGGAATAAAAGTTTTCATTGCAAATAGTTGAGGAATAAAATGAGCTAATTCCCGAAAGAAGATCCTACTTTCCGAGTGGGATTGGATCCCGAGAATGGTCAGGTATCATCTAAATAACTTCACTCAAATGTTATTGTTATATCTTGTTTTCTCAATCTTACTATATATAAAGTCGGATGTGCGACGTGACCGTGACACATATGATTTTTATAATTCACATGATAACTGTTGGACCTGGATTTCCCTCCAGAAATCCGGCCCATAAGGCCCATCACCTAAGTCCTAAGGTCAAGATAAGTCCACTCAGGCCCAGTAAAATGACCTCGAGCCCACCAAGTATCCTTGTCCAAAATCCAGCTGTTTACTGTCCGAGCTACTTGTGAAGACGAAGTCGAGCTCTAGCTCGACGGAGTCAAGTCCGCAAGCTGAGTTTGAACGAGTCAAACGAGAATCTCGCTTCGACTGTTCAGATCCGGAAATAGCGGGATCGGTAGTTGCACGTGGACGAGATACGCGGAGGAGGTTGCGATCTACTTCGGAGCTATAAAAAGAGGACGATTCTTGATCACAAGGCATAAATTTTTCCTTCTCACTTTCTGAGAAAACAATCTTGATCTTCTCACTTCTTTGTCTTGAGATATTCTAACATCCTTTTCTCTTCGATCTTATCCTTGGTCTTTGAGATAATCCCAGAAAGCCCTGATCTTTCTAGCCGGAAATCACTTCCGGCAGAAGTTGACACGTAATCTCTTACCTTCGGATCACTCCGATAACCTGAGATTTATCGTCATCTTCACACCCCTTTAGCTCTTTTCGTGGTCATTTCTCTTCAGAAAACGACTCGAAATAGAGAACAACTTACAATCGAACTACGTCCAGGCTTGATCCCTAAAACAGGGTACGTAGGCAGCTCGTTACACGAGCGCAGCCACCACCTCATTTCCATCTCTTTTGCTTAGTCGAATCCTAGTGTTTTACATGGTCTTTTAGGCCGGTTTTGTAACCACTTTATTCGATTAGCCTAAGTCCGATTTCGTCAAATATTTGTCTACGAATCATTCGACTTACATCAGAATCTAACCTCTGATTCCACAGGCAATTTCTCCCTACAAAATACACATAAATTTTGAGTGTGGTTTTCCGAACCCACATTTTGGCGCTAGAAGGAGGGGAGACAATAGCTTTCTCTTACACAAGGGTCGAACCTAGACCAGTTGAGAACGAAATGGACTCAGTCCTATCAAATTCTCAGGGAGCTCGCTCCCAATCTCAGATCCCATCGGATCAAATCACTTCGGATGTCAGCAGTGCCAAAACTGCAGACACATCGAAAAACCCGATCACCTCGCCAACTGGCAGCAGCCAAACTGCTAGTAGATCGAGCGTCCTGATCGATCCGGTTATCACCTCCGCGGCAGCGAACTCGAATGTTCCAGCCCGCGTGAAACCATCGGTGATCAACCTCGTCACTCCTGTGACAGCCGAGAACTCGATTCTACCGAATCAGATCTCGCACGCAATTGAGAAACCTCATTTGCGGATTCGGGTCAAATCTAAAGATTCCCGATTACCTCGACACCGATCAGTCGGAAACTCCGACACGAACTGTGTCGTCATCGTTTGCCTTGGCTCGACCGAATCCGGACGACCAAGCCCGAATCAAGCGAATGCTCACCGACCTGATTAACGTCAATACGACCAAAAAATCAGGTGGAAAAATATGAACGAAGTCTTGCTGAGCTACGGACGATCATAAGTCCTCCTCCGGGAACTCATCTTGACTCTTCACCAATCCACGAACCTAACAGCTCGTCGAAACGGGATGAGGCACCACCGCGTGCTCCTGTCATCCAGACTCTCATCCCACCGATGACCTCGTTAAAGAGCTCGTCGAAACGGGATGAGGCACCACCGCGTGCTCTTGTCATCCAGACTCTCATCCCACCGATGACCTCGTTAAACAGCTCGTCGAAACGGGATGAGGCGCCACTGCGCGCTCATGTCTTCCAGACTCTCGTCCCACCGATGAGCTCGCCAATGAGCAGCTTGAACATTCCAAATTCAAGCAAATCGGAGATAGGATCTCAGCCAACAGAGCGACTTCCATCTCCACCTCCAAAGCTATCAGGTGTCGAACCAACTATATTTAGATGGCCCGAAACTATGGCTTCCAACTCAAGCTTGCAGGCGATGACTCAGCTCAAAAATCAGTCTACTGAAATTTTGAGCTCGCAGCCTCCCGCAACAGCTCGAACTGTTGTGAACGGAAACTATCAACAGTTTCCCGCAACAAATGATCTAGTCGATCGAGCTCAATTTCATAGAGCAAACGATCCGACAGATCTAGCTCGATTGACAAAAGCAAACAACTCGTCAAATCGAGCTCTATCCCATCCGATTCCAGCTAATCGGATTCCTGTCGATCCGCGAAACCTTTTGGACTGCGAATCTTTCGAAAGATTCCAGGACCAAACAAACCTCGCATTCCGGCAAGCGAACTCAACGTTTAACCAAGCAATGAGTTCGATTCCGGATATCGACAAAGTAATCAGGGAGACACAACGAACTCCCTTCTCATCCAGGATGCTAACCGTCTGCGCGATACTACAAGCTATGTATCCCAGAATACTCGGTAATAGCGATCCACGAGCTTATATCCGAGCTCTTTATCTCGAAATTCTTCGAGCTCAATTTTCTCCTGAAGAGATAGAAGCAGCTTCCTGCCAACTCTTTGCTGAAAACCTAGCCGGACCAGCTAAAAATTGGTTCGCAACGCTGGATGAAAATTCAATCGATACTTTCGACCAGCTCCTTTCGGTATTCATAAACCAATATTCGATCTTCATCGAACCAGAAGTTTCTGAAGCCGATCTCTGGACGCTTTCTCAAGCTCCAAACGAATCACTTCGATCTTACGTCAACAGATTCAAAGCAATCATCGCTAAGATCGAAAACCCTAACGAGGCAGTAGCTCTACTAGCCTTCCGAAACAACCTGTGGTACAAATCGAAATTCAGAGAAGAACTAATCGTTCGACCTCCTGTATCACTCGATGATGCACTTCGCTGCGCGTTAACCTTTGCTACTCTCGAAGAGGAGATTACTCTCCTCCTAGAAAAATATCGCAAAGGAAACTACCACAACATTCTATCTCCATTGCGAGCTCAGTTCTGAAATCGAACTCGAGCTCTGAAGTCGAGAAATTCTGCAAAATACACAAAAAGCACGACCATTCCACAGAAGAATGTCGATCTTATGTTAAAAGGCAGAAAAAAAGGCCAGGTTAGCTAAACGCAACAAGATCTCATCCACGATAACGACAAAGCATCCCAAAAACGGGAACGCAAGGTCGGAATCAACCACAAGAGTCACCTCTTTTAAAAAGAAACGATCTGACTCGACCCAATACCTAGAGAGCTCAGCTCACGCAGCAGCTCAATGACCTCGCGGTCACCCACCCACCGCACCAAAAAAGATAGCGAGCTCTAGCTTACGCAGACCTCACAATCTCGCGGGGGAGTGGAGCGTCTTCTCAGACAGCTAACCAAAACCTCAACCCGAGTCCACAACTTTGTGAACTCATGCCTACACACTGATTCACAAGTTTTCGGGGGAGTGGAGCCCCCCACCCCCAAATGAATTGCATTCATTCGCGGAGGCTCTAACAAATGCTTAGACTCAAACAACTCGATCAAAGCATACAAAAAGGTCAAATCTTCAGGACGAACTCTTCCTCCAGACGGATCCGACCCAAAGCTCGTGATGTTTAACTTGGACTATAGCTTAATAACAGCTATTCCGAATTAATACACGTCACGACAAACACAAAGAGCCCGGTGTTAGGTAGTCCGGAACTAGCTGGGTAGATCCCTACCTCATCACTGGTGTAGCTCGCAACAGCGTCTACAAGCTCGCCAATCCAAAAAGGAATACATGGACTGAGTCATTTAAACGCAATGTACCTGAAACGGTACTTCGTTAAAACAATCTCATCTGAGGTATCTCCACCCCACGAACTACGTCCAGACTTGATCCTCCTTCCCTGGAGGTACGTAGGCAGCTCATCCATGAGTCCAGCCCCAATCAAATTCATTCCTAATATTCGAGACGACTTAAATGGCCAGCCCTTCAACAGGTTCGATTTGTATCATCTCAATATCAATACTTTTCTATTTTTCTTTTTACGAAATTGCTCGAACTCACCTTGCGAATCCTTAAGCGCCTCCTTAGACTCTTAAGCGTAATTAGATATATAGAAATAACCTGGTCCAGCCACGGAACAGAAAATCGCTTCCTTATTTCGCAGAAACCCATCAGAGTCAACCGCATCCAAGCATCTGGCATAAGTGTTACAGCCGAGTGCGAGTCGAACTCCTCAAGGCAGCTTGTAGTCTAACACGATATCGAGCTACTTTGACGGCACGTCCGAATCGCACTTGACCCGAACGTGAGCCGAGAGACCTCAGGCAGTTTGCATTATGATACGAAATCAAGCCGCTTCGACGGTCCCATCCGGACACGCTCGGAACACTATCCGTTGCGACAAGATCGTAGTCACTCCGCATGGTAAACCATCTCTCCCACAAAGCCGAATTAGGAACACCTCGTATCAACAACCGGGAAAACAACAAACTTTGGGCCCAGCTACCCAAAACAGCTAAAATTTCGAATTACTCCTAAGGACATCGAATACTTAGCAAAACGCCAGTCGAATCCGACTGAAGATCTGAAAGGTGATCAGCTCGACTCCGAGCTGTCCTCGAAGATTAAGCCCAAGTGCTGATCGTGTAGATCGATCTACGAAATCACAAACTGGCATCAGTCGAATCCGATTGATAATCTTAAAGGGAATCAGCTCAACCCCGAGCAGTCTTCCTTTAAGCAATCCAAACCGGCTAAACATTCGAATTACTCCTAAGGACATCGAATACTTAGCAAAACGCCAGTCGAATCCGACTGAAGATCTGAAAGGTGATCAGCTCGACTCCGAGCTGTCCTCGAAGATTAAGCCCAAGTGCTGATCGTGTAGATCGATCTACGAAATCACGCAACTGGCATCAATCAAATCCGATTGATAATCTTAAAGGGAATCAGCTCAACCCCAGCAGTCTTCCTTTAAACAACCCAAACCGGCTAAACATTCGAATTACTCCTAAGGACATCGAATACTTAGCAAAACGCCAGTCGAATCCGATTGAAGATCTGAAAGGTGATCAGCTCGATTCCGCGCTGTCCTCGAAGATTAAGTCCAAGTGCTGATCTGTAGAAATCTAGAATCACACAACTGGCAAAACTAGTCGAGCCCGACTAAACATCTGAAAGGTGATCAGCTCGATTCCGAGCAGTCCTCGAAGATCAAGTCCAAATGCTTACCATGTAGATCAATCTACTAATCCGCGCAATTGGCAAAACCCAGTCAAACCCGACTGAAAATTCAATAGGAGATTAGCTCACCTACGAGCAGTCTTTAACCATAAAGCTCCAGAGCTGATCATGTAGATCAATCTACAAAATCACACAACTGGATCCAATCGAATCCGATTGATAATCTTAAAGGAAATCAGCTCGGCCCCGAGCAGTCTTTCTTCAATCAAGCCCAACTGCTGATCATGTTGATTAATCTACAAAATCACGCAATTGGCAAACACCGGTGAATCCGACTAAAAGTCTGATAGGAAATCACCTCGACTTAAAGAAATCTTTAAAGATGAAGCTCGAGTGCTGATTGTGTAGAACCACCTACTGAATTCAGACGATCATCTAAAATCAGTCGTTTTCAACCGACAAAGGTTAGCTCAACCCGACGCAACCTTCCAAGTTGAAGCTCAACACGTTAAAAGCTCGAGCTGGAATTCAAAAAGAAACTAGCTCAACTTTATACGATTCTCAAAGAGATCAACTGAGCTTCATCCGGTCCGACCAGTTAGCTGACACGCTAGGTCAAATCTCCAATCAAACCAAAACGACTAATGTTCGAACAATCGAGCTAACAGTCAATTGATCTGGAAAACAAAGATAAACTCTAAGACATCAAACGTCTAAGAAAAATTATCAAACACCAAGCTCATTCCGAGCAAACAAGTTTGAACATAAAAGGATAAAAGCCTTCCAGGCACCAAATCCAAAAGGCAAAGCATAAAAACCTTGCTGGGCTAACTTGTTCGAAACTTAAACGAGAATAGAGCTCATCCTTAGCAAGCCGCTTTGACGAGCTACTCTATCTCTCATATTTGAGCTTAGTATCGAGCTCATCTACCACCTGTTTCATCTTATCAAGCTCATCTTGCCAAGACGCTTCATGTAACCTTTGTTCACAACGAGCAGAGAGCTTCATGTTCACCTTCAAAGCTTGATAAAGAAATCGCAAATATTAAGTCCGAAGATATCAAATCATCGGCAAAAACTTAGAAAAGGTAAAACCATACCTTCTCATCCGCCGCCATCGCTGCCGCATACAGCTCCCTCTCGAGCGTCATATCCAAAACTGGAGATTGATTTGCAGCAGGCCCGCATTGGCGCAACATGAATGTTCAAGGATTATCCAAAACTGGCACATCCTTCGAACAATCTATTATTAAAAGGGATGACGGACTCGCCGTCGAGTTAACTCGCTTTTTCAAGGAGCTCGACAAATTCGGAGTCCGATTATCATCTCTTGCTCATTTCGAGCTCCATCCTCATTGTTCGCTATTCGACTCAACGAGATAGTTCGTCTCAAATGAGTCACTTGGGTATTATCCCCATAGCAGCATGAAGAACCCGACCTACTACTTCATCACGAAGAGTAGATTCGACCGCAACATGGACAATCTCCACAACTCCATTAGCTCAGATTGGATTGCTTGCTCACAACGAGCGGCAGCCGACTTTGCAGATCGTTCACAAAACGTTAGCTCGCGAGAAATCTTCTCTCTTCCAAGAGGTGGGATACTCGAAGTCGGGCTCTAATCTGTAACAGATGGAACGCGGCGAAAAACAGTAACAAACAAAATTTTGTTGCTAAAAATGGATGAAGTCCGGTTGCCCAAGTCATTACAGCGAAAAACTTTCTCTATCGCAGCATCGAGCTCGATTCGAAGTTCGCTCGGGACATATACCATCTTGTCAAGCTCGATTCTAAATAGATTCTTGCTTGATCTTATATGATCCCAAGAAATCAACTAAGTCTCACCTAGTCTGATTTGAATGGCAGTCAAGCACTCAGCCAAATTCTCGAGCTAAAACTCGAGAACATCTTCAAGATCGAGCTAGATTCTCAATAGATTCTAACCCGACCTTAAGAATATCTTCAAAGATATTGACTAAGTCTTTGTTCAGCTTAGCTCAATGATAAGCTCGAACGTTTGGTCAAAATAACATTCGAACCAAAGACTAGTTTTATTTAGCTCGACCTAAATAAAACAAATACTTAGTCGAAATCATGCCAAGTTTGACTCGAAATTTCAAAAAGAAATCAGTTTAACTTGAAGCAACTTTCAGAAGAGTTGGCAAAGTCTTTTCTGCTAGATTTCACGGTCAGCCGAAAATCTTATGCGAGAATTAGTCAAACAAACCGACTAAAATTCATTTAGTCGTATCTTTTTCGAGTTCGAGTCGGAAAAACAATCCGACTTAAAGCGACCAAGTTCGATTAAAGAATTTAATCAACAATGGTCGAACTCGAAAAACAATCGATTAACTCAAAAAGAGCTCGCGCAATGTTTGAGTTAGTTAAACCAAAAGCCTTCTCGAGAAACAATCTGAAAGAGTTGATAATCGCAAATCTTCTCCTAAGGTTTTCATTACTCTCGAAAAGCTCGACTCTTAAGATCATAATAGCTCTTCGATCTATTTTCGATCTTGATTGTCGATCTAAAGAATAAGTTATTACCTTGTCTTTCAAGGTGAAACTATCATTCAACGGCAAGATCTTAAAGATCTTTCGCCTTCCCGTTTGCAAACCGTCGATCTCTAATGACTATTTAAAGTCATGATTTAGTTCGACGGGACTGCGGGACAATTTAAAACAACCTACCGCTCATTAAGTTGATTATACTCACTTAATGAGCTGGGGGGCTATTGTTGGACCTGGATTTCCCTCCAGAAATCCGGCCCATAAGGCCCATCACCTAAGTCCTAAGGTCAAGATAAGTCCACTCAGGCCCAGTAAAAGTGACCTCGAGCCCACCAAGTATCCTTGTCCAAAATCCAGCTGTTTACTGTCCGAGCTACTTGTGAAGACGAAGTCGAGCTCTAGCTCGACGGAGTCAAGTCCGCAAGCTGAGTTTGAACGAGTCAAACGAGAATCTCGCTTCGACGTTCAGATCCGGAAATAGCGGGATCGGTAGTTGCACGTGGACGAGATACGCGGAGGAGGTTGCGATCTACTTCGGAGCTATAAAAGGAGGACGATTCTTGATCACAAGGCATAAGTTTTTCCTTCTCACTTTCTGAAAAAACAATCTTGATCCTTCTCACTTCTTTATCTTGAGATATTCTACATCCTTTTCTCTTCGATCTTATCCTTGGTCTTTGAGATAATCCCAGAAAGCCCTGATCTTTCTAGCCGGAAATCACTTCCGGCAGAAGTTTGACATAATCTCTTACCTTCGGATCACTCCGATAACCTGAGATTTATCGTCATCTTCACACCCCTTTAGCTCTTTTCGTGGTCATTTCTCTTCAGAAAACGACTCGAAATAGAGAACAACTTACAATCGAACTACGTCTGGCTTGATCCCTAAAACAGGGTACGTAGGCAGCTCGTTACACGAGCGCAGCCACCACCTCATTTCCATCTCTTTTGCTTAGTCGAATCCTAGTGTTTTACATGGTCTTTTAGGCCGGTTTTGTAACCACTTTATTCGATTAGCCTAAGTCCGATTTCGTCAAATATTTGTCTACGAATCATTCGACTTACATCAGAATCTAACCTCTGATTCCACAGGCAATTTCTCCCTACAAAATACACATAAATTTTGAGTGTGGTTTTCCGAACCCATAATCACAACACGTATTTTTTCTAAATTCTGAAATACTTAAGATGAGATGTGTTATGGAATAAGAAAAAATAATATATATCAGAAAACAAACAATTAAAAAGAAAAAGTGTTACTTCCATTGAGAATAGGGAAAAAACATATTCTCATTACGAAAAGAAAAAAAAAAAAAAAAAAAATCAGAAAAAAATAATTAAAAGTGTTACCTCCATTAAAAAAAGTTATCGATTAGATTTAGACATATATAAATCTTTCTATATTAGATAAGAATAATAATAAAATACATTAATTCATTTTTGAATTAATAAAATAAATTATGATTTTTTAAAAATTGATTCTTAATCTTAGTTTACTTAGAGATTTCTTATTGGGTTATCCATATTATTTTAGTTACTTTTAAAACTGATCATGTTTTCTTTCATATTTCTATGTTATTTGTTTTAATAAAAAAAAAATTGCGTACACGCGAAATCTAATCTATAGTATCATAGAAACAGAAATAATTGTAATAATTAATTGTAATAATTGATGAAAACAGTGAAAATATATACAATTATGATAAATATATTAATATATCCAAACCAAAAAACTCGACTATAAGAGAAGGAAAATATTATCAAAATTTGACCTTAAGTAAGACATCTCAATGAAAGAGTTGTAGCTTCTCTATGGTTTCAGGGTTAACATGACAAAGTTCTACTAAATACTAAAATGATTCGTTGTTTTCAATTGTTCAAAAATATGCAGTCCCAAAATCGATCTTTATGATAAGATAAGATCCATATAAATAAAATATAATTAAGTGATTTTATCAAGAATATTAAGTCATATTATCTTTATGAGAGTAAATGAGAAAGCTCAATTCTCCAAAATCACTTCCCAATAGTATACATATTTTGAGCATATAGTCTTCCTAATTATTAAAACTTGAGGCATGATTTAAGCTTTAGAGCGAAGTTCATATATCCTGTATTTTCATTTCGAATCATCAAGAGTCAAGACTTTAGAATATGAAATCTAAAACTCCTCTGACACATTATTTATCATCAAATTGTAGATGAAACTTATGTGCCTTTTTGTCAATTCTCCTCATTTTTGGGTCTTCAAGTTTGAAAATGGGCTAAAAACGAGGCCCAATTTTGTGTGGTTCCTTTGTTTGCCAGCAAGGATGGCTGACTGATAAACCAAAGATGCCATTCTTACACAAACCTTTTATTATCTCTTTCAGATTATTTTCTGGATAGAAAGAGGATAATGAGGTCCTTGGGATTTTCAGTTGGGACTTGTTCTCCTCCAAATGAGCAAAGAAAATCCAGATTTCTCGTGAATAATACCTTAAGCAAAGCAGAGGCTATCATTAACTTGAGAAAGAAACAAAAAGTTTCTGATCCTGAGTTAAGTTTTGTTCAGTCAGCTTCATGTGGTAGAAGAGAAGCAATCATCGGTTTTGGTTTCTGTGTTGGCTTTGTTGACAATGTTTCAGCATTAGCTGCTGAAACAAGTTCTTGTGAATTCTCTGTGTCTCCTTCTGGTCTTGCTTTCTGTGATAAAGTAGTTGGTTATGGTCCTGAAGCTGTTAAAGGGCAACTAATCAAGGTGATTAATTATTAATTGTCATATCTCAACTTACAACAAAGTTTGTTTTCCATTTCTTTATGATATTTGAATATCTTTTGCAGGCACATTATGTAGGGAAGCTGGAGAATGGGAAGGTCTTTGATAGTAGTTATAACCGAGGAAAGCCTCTAACTTTCCGAATTGGTGTTGGTGAGGTAAATGAGTAAAAATTAATACTTTGCTAAACCTGTTTTTGGTTTACTATTAGAAACACATAAATTGAATCCATTGTTGACTTATTATACAGGTGATTAGAGGTTGGGACCAAGGAATCCTTGGCTCTGATGGGATTCCTCCTATGCTTACCGGTAATCTCAATGTATTTCGCACTGAACAAAGCGTGTGTTATTGCATGCATATGAAATCAAACTGTGATTATCTCGATAGTGATGGGAGAAGTATTATGTTGGAACACTCTTAGCATAATCTCTATAACTATCTACCGAAATAAACATTTTTATGGTATCTATCATTGTGGTTGCTCTAACTAGTTTTGGTTTGGTTTTATTTCGCCAGGTGGGAAACGAACATTGAAAATTCCTCCAGAACTCGCCTATGGTGATCGAGGCGCAGGTTGCAAAGGAGGTAAAAAGAAAAGCAAAACAAAAACATTATTCCTTTCTTGGTTAATGTAAATGACCACGAATTCTTAAGTTAAATGTTTCATTAATAGATAATTAATTAACGAATCCTGATATTGTTTTGTGCAGGCTCATGCCTTATTCCTCCAGCTTCGGTTCTTCTCTTTGACATTGAGTTCATAGGTAAAGCTTGAAAGAGCTTTTGCCTTACTTTTTCTGAGCCATCATCTTTTTCACTTTTGAGGAGAAAATATTCAGAGTATATTTTTTCTTCTTGCAATTGTAAACAAATGAATTCCTCTGCCTCTCTGGTTCACATACTTCTATCTTCATACATGTAACTGAAAATCGAATAGAATAATTAAAGCCATAAAATCCCTTGTTGGACTAGTGTACTAGTTAGCTATCTAAAATCACATCTTAATTTAGGATAAAATAGAAAATTAATACTCTTTAAAACAAAGAAAGACTAAAACAAAGAAACAAACCCATATTTCCAACATAGAACACCACATATACAACACCACACAGGATCATTATTGTTCTACTTATGGACCACATTAGACATACATAAAACTTTATATTTCCGTTCGTTACAAACAAAATGTTATTAAGGGAACGGAGCACATTTCTTCATATCAGTCTCGGTTATATCAACCGCTAATCCTTTTCCATGATGAACCCAATAATCAGCCATCGGATTCTTCCTCTGAGGTCCCACTATCCCAACTCGAGATCCCTTCAAAGACTCCGTTGAGATTCCATACTCGTCGTCACGTTTCTTCAACAGCCCTGGCTTGACCTTCCCCATGTTCACGTCTTGTGGTGACATCATAAGTGAGGGTGCACCTAGTGGCAACTTATCCCCTGCATTTCAACAAACAACAAAATAAATTATAAACTGAAACCACAATCGGATCTACTCCATCGATTCTACTAGATAAATTCTCTATCTTTCATGAAGAGTATTAAAAAACGATATCTAGTAAAGTTGTTAATCAGGTTTCAGTGTGGAGCGTCCCTTTGTTTTTCCAACCGTCATAACAATAGTAACAAATAAAACTCCATAATTCAAGAATTCAAAATATAAGTTAATTACCGCGATCGGTCTGCCAAGTGCACCAAAACTTTCCATAAGTTTTGGCAATATTTTGAAGCTCTGGCTTAGCTACAAGCTCAGGGACCCTTGGAGTTACCAGAAGACCTGTTTGGACCTACAGAAAAAAAAAAAAAAAAAAAAACAATTGTTGTTTATATATCAACATCAATTTTAACCTCAAACAACAACAACAATAATGTTTAGTTTCTCCAAAGTGTGTGTGTATATATAATCATTTAGGAATAGATTGGTTAGATTAAATCATATTGGAAGTTAACCTCATAGTCATGAGAGTGCCAAAGCTTTTGCTCCTCCGAGGAGAGACTCTCAAATAACCTCTCCGACACAATATACTCGATCCCTGAAACATTTACGCACGAAACGTGAAAATCACACACATGAATGTAGACTCAAAACTTAAAATCATATATTTCAATATTTGATTATGTAACTAAATGTAACAAAACCTTCAGTCTTTTTATTGCTAACAAAAACCTAACTTTGTATGTCGAAGAGACATTGGAAAATGTAAATATAAGAAACGGACCGATGAGGTGGGTTTTAGAGGAGTCGGAGTCATAAACAGCACACTGGAGAAAGTCTTCGTTGACTCGATGAACATAGAAATGGGCTTCGATTTGACGGCTAGGATCGTGGCCATAACAAGCAAAGGAACACAAATGAAGGCTCATCTGTTTGATCGGTTTCAACGATTGCATCATCGCTGCTCCTTTATCAAGCATCATCGTCTTCATCGTCGTTGGATCTCCCGGAGGTAAGGTATCTCCTCCGTCACGTGCCGGATACGGTCCCGGAAGCTTATCGCTCGACGCCATCAATTAACAGAAACGATATCGGTTTGTTTGTTATCTATGCAAATGTTATGTACCTTTCTCTTTGTTTTTTTATAATGGTGAATGTGAGTGTTGGTGTCATTTGTTGCATGAGCAAAACGCGATGTGGACAACTTGAGAGGGACACGTCATCGGAGTTTAGTGGGGATGTGGCGCGAAAGAGTGAGATCGTGATTGTAAATCTGACACGTGGAAAATGTTAGTGAAGGAGATTACATCTGGACACTTGGCAGTTTGAGTAATGAATATGACTTTTGTTTATAAAATGAGATTGCTTGAATTTGACTCAAGATATGTTGTATATCCAGGTTTCAAATATTATTTTTAAACATTAATGCAGTTTGATCTTCATGTATTTAATATGTTCTATTCTCTACTACATCTATTAATATATAACTTTTTTTTCCCATCTTAATTTGGGGGCATGAATCAAAGAGACGGACTAATATAGAATTTCCAACGGTAATAATTACAACGTTAACACCGTGTGTAGGTCCAAACTTAAAACACTGCTTTCCCAATCTAGCTTCGGATCCGAACCTATTAAAAAACCACATTACCGTTACACCAAGCCTAATTTAAATACCATCACTCTCTCTCTCCCAAATCTCACAAAGTCATTTCTCCCTCTCTCTGCTTTTCTCTCTGTTTCTTCTTCAATGGCGACGAAGCTCATAATTAAGAAGTCACCGAAAGCCATCAACCGTCATCAACGAAACTACCTTCGTCGTCACCGGAAATCTCATACCGGATGCACACCATCGCCGGCGGCGACCACCGTCATCGCCTCCATCAACAAATCGATCTACAGATGCCACCGAAGCATTCTCTGCTTATTTTCGCGCATCGACGGTCGTCATGGAACGAAAGGATTCAGAATCCTCAAAACTCGCCACGATTCCGAATCCGCGATCTTCCAAAATCCGCATTCGCTGATTCACGACAGATCTGGTAAATTCGACGAGACGAAGAAGACGATTGTGCTGGATCTAGACGAGACGCTCGTTCACTCGTCGATGGAGAAACCCGAAGTTCCGTACGATTTCGTGGTGAAGCCCAGAATCGACGGTCAGAATCTAACCTTCTTCGTGATCAAACGGCCAGGAGTGGACGAGTTTTTGAAGAAGATCGGAGAGAAGTACCAGATCGTTGTTTTCACGGCGGGTTTGAGAGAGTACGCTTCTCTCGTGCTCGATAGACTGGATCCAGAGCGGCGCGTGATCTCACGGAGCTATTACAGAGACTCGTGTAGCGAGATCGATGGGAGGTTAGTGAAGGATTTGGGTTCTGTGACGAGAGATCTGAGGCGCGTGGTGATTGTTGATGATAATCCCAACTCTTACGCGCTTCAGCCGGAGAATGCGTTTCCGATTAAACCGTTTCATGATGATTTGAACGATACCGAGCTGAAGAAACTCGGCGAGTTCTTTGATGGTGATTGTGTGAAGTCTGAAGATATGAGAGTTGCTTTGAAGGAGTTCGTTGGAAGAGATGAATGATTTTTTGGTTAATTTAGTTTTCTAATTTAGTTGATTTGATTAAATTTGTTTTAGAGGATTGATTATGAAGACAATGAACAAATAGCTTTGTTTGTTCAAATTGTCTTTTGTGTAAAACCTTCCTCATGAAAAAGCTATTTGTGTTAATTTGTTTTTGATTAGTGTTGCTGTGTGGCTTAATGAAAGGGTTTTTACTTTTTAATGAAGGTTTTGGATTTAGATTATGGGGATTTATGGGTCTTTATTGGGTTTATTTATTGTATCAATGAACGGAGATACAAAGAATAATAATCTTTTCTCTGCTATATGAATACCTTTTCTGAAGAAAAGGGTTGATCACTTGTCAAATTCAGACTCAAAGTCCAAATATATATATGCCCAAATATATAAACATGTAACATTCTCTACACAATCAACACAACACACATGCAGAAACAGAGAAAGATAAACCGGACAGACTACATGAAGGAAAAATAAAAAATAAACTAAAATGTTTTAGTTTTAGAATTAAAACCATTCAAAAACATTTGACGAGGGAAAAACTCAAAAAACTAACTGAAAACCTTAATTTTATTTCCACTGTTGAGAGACAGAAAATAACTTACAGCGATCACCATAATGGCATAGCTAAGAATCTGAAATGGCTCTTTGTCCTTCCTGTTTGTATCGTCACACGTTCTGCCAAAATCGCGTTTGGTTATTACAAAAATGTTTCTAAATTATTTAACTCTTAACAAAACTGAGACTTCTTTATCATTCCCTGAATATTAACACATTTTTTCTAAAAGTTAAAGACTAACCTAACTTGCATTAATGATTAAGAAGAAGAAACTCGTTGACATATATAAATGTATAGCTTGTTCCTCGCGACAAAACTGAAAGCACACATACTTACTATTCAACCTATATACCAATGGCAGATACGTCTCCAACAAATTGAACAAAACCAATAATCGTAACCAAAATCCGTAAATCAGAAGGCCACAGAATACTTAAGAAATGAATGAAGAGGAGAGGTTCGTAGCCGTTTGTGTTGTTGTGAGAAGAGAATGAAAGGATAATATTTATAAGCTTAATGGCCTTTTTGTATCCAACGGCCATCATATTAAAAGTTTCAAATTTTGATTATTCCACTCTTGTTCTTTCTTAGTTTTGATTAGAAGACTGAACTGAATGTTGCCGTTAACAATCACCCAACTCATTTATTAAAACAAAAATCTCTACAACTACTATTGAGACGTGCTTGCTAAGATACGACATATGCTTAATTAGTCGCATATTGTTACATTTGTTTGTAGAGATTTGTGATCTGTTCCTACTTCCTTGCTTGGTAAGTTTGCATAAAACTCCATGACAAGTTCAACAACAGATAATAAGAGTGTGTTTGTAGTTGGCGTTTATATTTACAACTAACAAACTAATTTTGCTTACAAATCCTTAATTTTGTGTGTTATTTGGAAAAAGAAAGTTTACAGTTTACACTTACTGCAAATACAAGCAATGAAACAAACTAGAGGCGATGAGAAATGATAAATGAGAGAATGTACGTAGATGTATCTTTACTGTGCATGTACCTAACATGGTATTGGATCAAAAGGCAGCTTGGGAACTTCCTCAATCATTAAAGACAAATCTACTGATGGTTACTTGGAAATGGACACTGATTCGTAGACTAGATGTTTCAGTACCAACCTCAAAACAAAACCATCGTTTTTATTATTGCATAACTTATTAGCTAACTTTTGGAACCTCTCTTGTGTCTAATAAACTTGTTTGTCAGAATAAGGAATCTCGTTGGGACTAGAGCTTATATATTCGTATATTACATTTCACCAATTTTCTTAGATTCAAAGCTCCACAGAATATCAATGATATGGACAGTTTTTGTATGATAACCAAGATATAAAATATTCTCTGTTTTATTAATAGCATAACATCTGATGTGATCACTCGTCAAATTCATACTCAAAGTCCAAACATATATGAGCTCCTTTGGTCTTATTGTGCTGAAAATTGCCAATGTGTGTCTTGAAATTTTTATTGAGATATCTTTGGATATACACATGTAACCTTCTCCACATAACCATCACAACACATGCAGAAACAGAGAACTTCCGGTTAAGATTAACCGGAAATGTTTTCATAGACCATAGCGGTGGCGATAGCCAGAGAAAAGGCAAAAAGAGTTCTGGTTCAATTTTCATTTACTTCCGGTTTGGTTTTGGATTATGTTTTATTCAGATCTGAAGTAAAGAAACATTGTTCATATTCAGATCTGAAGAAGAAATATTGTTCAGTTCTCTCTGTTTCCAATATGTCTACCGAATTGGAGTCTTCGATCCAACGCTTTCAAAATTACAAAACTCATCTTCTTCAACATTTTCCTGCAAAATCTTCAGCTGTCTTGGTTTGTCTATACCAAGAACAAAAAGAAGAAACCAAAACCGAGCTACGAGTAATCTTAACCAAACGCTCCTCTAATCTCTCTTCTCACCCTGGTAAAATCAAATATCTTTCTCAACAAAAGAAACTTTCATCTTCTTCAATCCCAAAGTGTCTAAAATGGTTAAAACAGGGGAAGTAGCATTGCCTGGTGGCAAGAGAGACGAAGAAGATTCAGATTATGTAGCCACAGCTTTGAGAGAAGCTCGTGAAGAAATCGGTTTAGATCCTTCTCTTGTTACAATCGTTTCTGTTCTTGAACCATTTGTTACCAAGGTAAAGATTTTACCAATTTAAGTTAAAAATTTGTGTTGTCTATTGTCTTATCCGGTTTACTGTATCGCAGAAGAAAATGTCGGTTGTACAGGTTATCGGTTTCTTGCCCGACAAGAAAGCATTTAAACCGTTTCAAAATCCAGCTGAAGTAGAAGAAATCTTTGATGTTCCGTTAGAGATGTTCCTCAAGGTTCTTGAAATCCACTGTTTTGAGGTCAAACTCAATAGTCAAATTTTGATCTTTAAATTAAAATGCCTTATCTCTGTCCGGGTTGTTTTACGCAGGACAAGAACAGGCGAGCAGAGGAACGAGAGCATGAAGGAGAAAGATATCTTCTTCATTACTTCGATTACTGTTGTGAAGATAAAGAGAAAAACTTTATCATATGGGCACTCACTGCTGGTATTCTGATCAGAGTTGCCTCCATTGTTTATCAGAGATCTCCAGAGTTTCAAGAACTCAAGCCAAGATTCTGGAATCAACCCAAACTGATTCTTGACTTGGATATGATTGGTAACATTAATGGAGAACAAACTTAGGGGGGTATTGATTTGTAGAATTAGGAAGAAATGAGAAGAATTGAAAATTAATGGATTTTGAAGTACTTTAATTTTAAAGTAATTGTTGGGAATTCAATCAATTCTATTAAAATCTCTGCAAAAACTGGAAGAATTGAGCCTTTACAAAAATTTCTTCAAATTCTATTAAATTCCTTCTAAATGACAATACCACCAAATACATCATGATATCGAATAACACCGGAATTTAATGAAATTGAAAAATTGATAAGTTGAATAACACCGGAATTTAAAAGAATTAGAAAGAATGACTACAAATCCTTCACCGAATAACACCGGAGTTTAAAAGAATCGAAAAAACATATACTGAAATAACACATGAATTGAATGGAATCGTCAATTCCTTGAAATTCCATGGAATTACTGTCACCAATAACTAATTAGTCCTTTTTTAATACGTGAAAAACAAAAATCAAGTTTTTTAGTGTGTAAAAGCATATTACAGTTTTTTTTAGACATACCATATCTTTCTTTTGATTGAACCAAGAAAAGAAACAACTCGTATTTATATATAAAAAAAATGATTGGATTATAGTGTGAGGAAAACATGAAGAATTATCGAAGCTTTAAGTAATAGAGAGTGTGTGTATATCAGCTCTTTTATTACAAATGTGATGTGAGGTTAACTGAAATTATTTAGGGCATTGATAAGCACAAAGACACGCGAATTGGTCTTCGACCTTATTGCAAATAGCAACCCCTTTCCTCTTCGATGCACACACGGAGCTACACTCTTTGGCATCACACGTTTTCTTTATAAACATAGTGTCCTGACAGTCATACTTCGGATTTCCCACCACTCCTGTTAGTTAAAGTTAATTTAAAGCATAAAAATTTAGTTCTTAAAACAAAAAATATAAAATTTCTTCCATTTCATGAGTATAATAATGTTTTGACATATATATATATATATATATGAGAATTGATATTTGAAAAAAAAAAATACCGTATGCATATCAATTTATTTTTAGATCGACTACTTTGTTAGTAATATATTAAGATGATTTTGAATGTGGATACAAACCTAGCACGAAGATGGTGAAAATGGTTAGAACGATGAAGGAGAGTTGAAAGTGTTTTCTCATATTAGATGGTAGAGATAAATAGAATGATGATGTTTAACACACTTCAAAAGAAAGAATATAGTGTGTTTGTGACTATGTGTGTATGTATTTAAGGAGTTAGATCTATTCTTATTTTTAAACAAATCTATTTTAAGACACGTAACTTCTAAAATTGTGGTTTGAACGGATCTCGTTTCACCTAACCTAGTACATACATACATAAAAAGCTTCAAATCCGCTCTTTTTTGCTACTTATTTGTAAAGTGTTTTTTTTCTTTCCATATTCAATAAAATTTCTTCCGTTTCATGAGTATAATAATACTTATTTGACATTTTAAAACTGTTGTAAGAAGTACTGGGTTTTGTCATGCCGTATGCAAACTGTTAGAATTCAAAAAAAAATGTTACCCCTGGAGAAAACTCTAAAAATTGACATATCATTATCTTATTTATTAATTTTTAAATTGTTTAATTAATTTATTATGTATGTATTGTTAACCTTTAAATTTCATAATAATTATTCTATCATATTAATTAAATAGGTTAAACTAGAATTTGAAAAGACATTTTTTTTATAAAAAATAATTTATATGTTTATTCATCTTAAGAAAACTATAATTCTATACGATAAAAGTTGCCCAACACTCTTCAGCTGCTTGACACGTCAGCACTGGAGAGGGGACACGTGGCTCTCCCAAAAAATTTAGCCTTCTGTTAATTTCCGCCTTATTTTCTTTTTCTCTTTCGTTTCAACTTTCAACCTTTCGATTCTCCCACCCAAACGACTCATCGTCTTCAACGAGTATCCGTTTCCTAAGTTTTACAATTAGCTTCTGAGAGTTTACGAAATAAGGAATTCTTTTAGTTGCCACTTCTCAGTTTTCTGCGATTAGGGTTCTAATTAGATGGAATCGTTTGGTTTTCATATGTGGTGAAAAGACGCACAACCACCAGATTTCGAACTGCGGACTCAGCATCAGCATCCTTCAATGGTTCCTTACCGGCGATGACCAACAACTCCAGACTCGAGCCGCCGATGAAACCTTGATGAATTCGTTCAAACTATAGATTATTCAATACATCGATTAGAGATGGGTTCTGATTCCTCTGTCCGTTATTATGGTTCTCATCGTTATTGTCCAGTACTTGGTCTTAAGGTAATGCGTCCTTCTCCAGCTCCCGATGCTAAGACAGTCAAATGCGTCTTCCCAGTCTATACTCTATAGTGATATATGCGAAGATTTACTGTGCATCTATGTGTTTTTTATTAGTTGATTCGATATGATTTGATTTGTATTGTTTTGTTTTTCTAGGCAAGTTATTATCATAGCTCAGAATATAAAAGTCCGTCCAGATTTCATCCCGCAGAAATCATTCCGCACTCGGAGTTTCTACTATAGCAACAAGGTATAGGTTTTCTGAACATTTTGCCTCTCTTGCTTTTTGTGGTTTATGATTGGAGAAATTCAGTTTGTAATTCTTTGAAGCTTGATTTAGTTGTTCATTATTCATGTATAGCTACTATCCTACCTACATGGTATTCTTTGTGATCTATTGTGTTGTTTCAGTAAACTTTTTGTTAAAATCAGTTTCCTTTCTTCGCATATTGTGTTGTGTAAAAAGGAAGGAAGAAGAACAAGACAGAGTATATAGCCTGCAAAAGCTCAACAAGTCAGCGAAACAGCAAGCTCCTTTAAGAGGTAATGAAGAGTGTTATTATCTTGGTGGTGACATGGAATCTGTTTCTGCGTTGCTTAGTCCTAACTCTAAAATATTCAACATTAAGTAATATTTTTGCAGATGAACTCCATTGTTTTGATGGAGTGTATGTAAACCAAAAGCAAGAACGTGGTGGCTGCTTAACAATTCGACGACATTGGTGAGCTCAATTTGAGGAAGATTACTAAGCCGGTTGCTGCTACATTTGAGCTCTGCAGATTACTAAGCTGGTCTTTACTGAGCAAGAAACTGGTTCCCTGGTATTAGACGTAGGGGAATTGAGGTAATTAGCTTCCTGATGATGTTGATATTCGCTCCGTTGTCTCAAGGTTAAAGATTCATTTACTTCCGTCGAGTTCCTTTGTTTATGGTGATTTCAGTGATGCAACCTTTTTTTGAGTGGGTTGTTTCTAATTAGCTTCCTGATAAGTGGGATGAAACAACCCGCATATGTTAAAATGATTTTAATATAAAATGATTTCAGTGATGCAACCTTTTTCAGTGATAAAAAATAGTTCGCGGGTTGTTTTGCATAAAATCATTTTAAATTTTGTCACAAATATAGAGATGTCTTATATTGCGGGGTTATTTTGACTTCAGAGGTTTGATTTGCACAGAGGGTTTGATTTGCAAAATGAATTTAGTTTGAGGGTTGTTATGCACAAAACCCTATTTGAAACTATTGAAATATGATCATTTATAATGCAAACACAGCAAAGTAGTACAATGTGAAAAATGTTTGAAAACAAACTATACCAAAATATAATAATAACCGGACAGGACCAGCCATTGAACTGTCTGTCAACGGATGAATGTCCGGTTGGAGTTATTGCTGAAAATTAGTTTTGACTAAAACCATAAAAATCAGTTAAAAACCACTGAATTGGATTGAATCAGGGGACCACTTAAACCTGGTTTTGGAAATTTTTAGTCTTTCACCATTGTTTTTGGTGATTTCTTACAATAAGACTTTCGGTTTTGTAGAATCGATCTAATTACAACAATAAAATGCGAAAAAACAAAGAAAATGTTTTCTAAAGAAACTTAGAATTTGAGAAGATACAATCATATAAATGAAGAAGAATTTAAAAGGAATGATATGAATGGGTGGCAAAGGGTTTTCAAAAGATTAATCTTCTTTTTGGATTCTCAATATAATTTCAATAAAAAACCTAAAAATGGTAATGTATATTGACGAGAAAATATTATATTCACCTAAATTGCCATATATGTCATAACAAATATTATAAATATAAATTATTACAAAATCCGCCGAATCAGTTGGATCGGATTAACCCACGACCCAACTAATAATATGGTTCATCATCCGGTCTGGTTTTTAAAACATTGTATATATAAATCTTCACTTAAAAAACAAAAATATATTTTCTCTTTTTTAAAGAAGAATTTGTAAGAGTTTTTATTCATATTAAGAAACTATATTAAATATAGACTATAAATGTATGATATGTGATTAAAAATTTCAAAAACATTTAACCATCAACATTTTACCATCAGCAATTCAATTTTCAAAAACATCTAACCATCAACAATTAAGAAACTATTTTAAATATAGACTATAAGTATTACTTAATGTTTTTTACATTTAATCAGTAATACTTAAAAAAATGCATTGAAAATTGAGAAGATTTATCTTCTAAAAAGAAAAAAGTTTAGAGTATGTAATATGAAAATGGTTTAAAAGCAAACTATATAAAAGAATTTAAAGATGATTTTTCTCAGTTTTCAATACATTTTTAAAAAAATCATAAAACTAATAACCACTAATAATCACTTGGAGAAAGTTAAATTTTAAAAACAAACACATCATTTTTTGGTGGCAAATGAATTATCAATATATTTGTAACTTTAACACATAAACAAAAATTTTGATCTATGGCAGATTCTCTAAGAAAATTTTAGTCTTATATAAAAATTCAGAGGATATGAATCCCATAATGAATTCGGCGCGTCATTTGAGTTGTGAAAAATAAACTCGAGAAACTATAAAAACAGTACGTTCATATACTATTATATTTTATTAAACAAATTTTAGAAACATGAAAAAAAAAAAAAAGTAACAATACTACCCGCGCATAGCGCGGACGTAAACCTAGTCTATATAATTGAAAGGTCTTGTGATGACACATCAGCACCCCTAGAGAGTGCCACGTCAGCCTTTTAAATTTTTTTTTGTTTGGCTACCAAAACGACGCCGTCTTGAAATTTTGTTTTTTCTTTTTATTTTATTTCGTCGCCAAAACGACGTCGTCTCGAAATTTTGTCTTTTCTTTTTTATTTTATTTCGTCGCCAAAACAACGTCCCGGACGTTATAGAGATCCCGTTTTGAGGCATTACAGTGCCATTATGGCTTTGAGGCATGGCACATAATGCTCTCCCCCTTCATTTCTCCTCTCCCACTATAAAAACTTCCACCCACAGATCCCGTTTCTCTCATCTCCAAATTTATTTGTAACCCCACAAAAATCAATTTCCGCAGCCGTGAAGCACCGCCGGTCTCTCATCATGAAGACAGTTGCCAGCCCTCGCCATGGTTCACGAGTTTGAAGGGATACAGAAGCGGTAGTGTTCGCATCTCCACGGATCGTATTTCAGATTCTGGATAATGTGTTAGCTTTTCTACTATCGGACTGATTTTTTTATTTTCGCTGGATCTGATTTCTTCATTGCTGCAATTTTTGTCTCCAAGTAGAATGATTAAACAAATGCAGCAATCAAGGTCTACTGTTGCTGTTTTTGGAACTGTAACTTTTTGGCTTTTAATAATAAAAATATCATCCAAGATCTTGGCCTTTGTGATCAATACATCAGCGTCTCTTCAATTTGTTCTCATCTTTAAATTTCGATCCACAGGTGCCCAAGGAAGCCATGGAACCAAATCAAGAAGTATTGTCACGTTTTTCTCTAGCCAAATCAAGAGTATCAAAATCATTTTACCTGTCTCATTGATCGTCCTTAAGGTGTACTCTCTTTGTTCAGGAGAAACAAGTAGAAGGAGATCCTGAACTTGTGGAGGATGCTGAATTATACCAGCAGTTGCTAAAGGAGTTCCTTGAGACCATCGATCCAGCTTCCTCTGGTATAGTTGAAAAAAAACATCTGTTAGATATGAAATGCCTAGCGATTCTTCTGGTTTCATGGTTTTCTGAATTCTCAGTTTTGGTATATTGCCGAGGCGGCTTTCTATGTGATGAAGAAATTTCAGACGAAGAAGAGTAGACTTGTGGATCGGCGTGCCTCTGAGTGCAGAAAGATCAGGTAAATAAAACGTTTCATCTCGCTGGATTGGATTTATCAAGCGCAATTCTATTTTTAAAAAATCATCGTGTAAAAAAACGAAACAGGTATAATGTTCATGAGAAGATGGTCAACTTCATGGCTCCACGACCTGTTAGGATTCCTCCAAACACTGCTGATTTGCTCAAGAATCTCTTCGGTCTCAAGACCAGAAACGTTCCGTCTGAAGCATAGTATTTGATCAAACCGCAATTTTGAAACGCAGAGAATAGTTTGCCTACTTTTTGTGTGGAGTGTTTGTATTATTCAAAGTTCGAACCGAAAAACTCATTTTATCTACAGACACCGTTACTTATGAAATTCTCAAATAACACAGGGATGTTAACCCAAATTTCGATTAATAGCCAATGATCTGATTGGATTTTTAAAGGGTTTATTAAAAGAAAAACAGAGAAATTGTTTACACAACACTCATCAACTCTGTGATGTCTTAAAAGATCATGAGTGATTGAGTGTTGTGCTGTTTGGAATATAGCTAAACGTAGTTAAGAGATTGTATGACTTTCTCCTCGAGCTAGACGTAGCGCCCAAGAACCTCACCAATCGGATTTATTTTCAATTTCTCGACTTATTTCGAAAACATAGATTTATCTGCCCTCCGATTATAGATAACAAATAAAAAATAATATCTCCTTGACCGTGACGCTAACAAAAACCTGAAGAAGAGGGAACACATCGCCAATATCACTCGAGTTCGAGAAGAAAGAAAAACTAAACAGATTAACAGAAAAAAAAACAGAGAGAGTCCAAGAAAACAAACAATGGCGACATGGTTTCTCATCGTCTTCGTCTCTCTCACACTCAGTCTCTTTCTCCATCTCTTACTCCGCCGTAACTCCTCCTCTCTTCCTCTAACTCCGTAAGATAGCGATGAATGGCAGCGAATATCTGACTTGCGAAAAAGGTATTTCAGACTAACTATTCAATTGTTATACATCTGTTTCCACTTGCAGGTTCATAATTCTGTAAAACCCAGCCCAAAGAAGAAACTTATGTGGAAAGTGTTTTTGATTCTCTTCTTCTTTTTCTTCTTACTTGGCGCCATACTTGAACATGAGGAACTCTTAGCTGCAAGAAAGAGAATTTCTCATATCAAAAAAAAAGAAAGAGAATTTCTGCTTTGGAGAAATTGTTGCAGAAAAAGTGATCACTGATCAGACCTGGAAGGTCTCGTTCAATGAAGTTGCTTGATCGATGCTCTTTTATTATTACTTATTAAGTTAGTTATTAGGCATTTTTGATATTTTTCGTTTATTCGTTTCCATCTTTTAAAACAAATACTAGTGCAGCGTTTTTCGACTGCATTAATTTGTTTCTCTTTCATGTTGCATGTTTTTAAATAAGTCAGATTTTGTACTCTAAAGAAAAGTTTTATGTAAAAACCTTATGTTCCAATGACATTAGCTTGGTCCAGGCTAACACAACTCCTGACCGAAGTATGGGTTGGCAAGCCTTAAACTTTGGTCAAGAGGGTCGAGTGGTCTCTCCCTAATAGGATTAAGTCTTCTTAGAGCTTATCTACGCCATCTCTCCTCCTTTATAAAAAAATAAAAATAAAAATGGAAGCTTGGTTTGACTAATAGCTTATAAAACAATATATCTTTGTTTATTTCATGTTATCGATTAGGGAGATTAGGGAGCCAACACCAGGGAACCAACAGTGTTGAATTAGGCATCATATGTTAAACACTTAAACTTAAACATTTTAGACTATAGTAAGTTGGTATCTTTATACGAAAGCTCACACAAATTGTTTAAAACAAGAAAAATATAACTATAAAAGTTTAAACATATAAAATCTGCAAATAAAAAATGAATTCAAACTTATAATCCAATGTCTTTTAAAAACAAAATCCATACGCGCATTGTGCGGGTTCACTCCTAGTATTTATGAAAATATTTATTTACATCAAATGGGTAAAGTAAAAATTGGATAAAATGTAACATAATATTCGAGTAAAAAATGAATAAAGTCCCATTCCAAATCGCCAATGGGATGTGCATTGTACTGTCACTTATATTACTCATATTGTACAACATATTTTACAAATCGACTCGCGTGATCATAGCAGTTAGGAGTAGTTCAGCTTAAGTTATTGAAGTAGTTTAGGGCTTCTATTTGCTTACATTTTGTTTATATTTTTCTTATATTTTGCTTATGTTTTGCTTATTTCTGTTAATTTTTTGTAAATGTAAATTTTAATAATATCATTTCAATAAAGTAAATGATATTAATTATACTTATTTTATTCTTTTTATTATATTTTAATTTTTCATAATAATTATCATGTATTAATATATTAATATACTTTAGTAATACCAATATGAAATTCCACGCGGATCATCCTTAGTATATGATAAATCTCTTAATGAAAATATCTATCGAGTATCGATAGTTATATCTTTGTGTAAGGATTATATTGTTTGACTCGGTCATTGGACTTGAATTCTAAGCGGTATGACATCTTTCACACGATCTTGACCAGATCAAAACATGCTCTGACTTGAATTCTAATCGGTGTGACTCAATCACTACAATCACCACCTATCGACTCCTGCTCTGATTTTCTTGGTCTTGTTCTTAGTTATCGCGACAATAATAACTTTTAGCTTTCTGTTTTATTTCCTTTACAGAAGATGCTGTAGAGTTCGTATCCCTACTGACCTTCCGTTTAGACGAGCAGAGGCATTCCACTTCCGCCATGGGAAGTGGATTGCCCTATATGCTTCGAACCCTTTGCATTGGACCAGTCGATTGCTGTGATTCCCTACCGCCACGCATTCCACTTGGAATGCTTGGCGCAGTGGAACTGCCGTAGCTGCCCAATGTGTCACAGGACGTTTTGAGATTAGAATCTCTTCGATTGCTAATTGATTTTTAAGTTTTTTTAATCACATCGTTACTATTGTGATTGTAGGGAGCCAAGCGAAGATCGTCGATTGTTTATCTATTGTAAGGTTTTTTACTTGTCTTTGGAAAAATTGGTTTGTAGCAAATTTGTGTGTGTGCGTGTGTTTGTGTGTGTTAACACTTTGGATGTTGAATTTGAAGTACACTTTTTGTCAATTGAAGTTTACAATTTGAAGTACACTTTTAATATATGTATACACACATTTTAGTGTCTAGGCAATTGATATATGCTAGTACCTATAAAGTTGATGCTCTTTTATTCTTATGTTGCCACCTCAGCAAATAAATGCTCTAAAAATTGACATATCATCATCTTATTTGTTAATTTTTAAATTGTTTAATTAATTTATTATGTATGTATTGTTAACCTTTAATTTTCATAATAATTACTCCATCATATTAATTAAATAGGTTAAGCTAGAATTTGAAAACACTTTAAAAAAAATATCATATATATTTATTCATCTTAAGAAAACTATAATATTTATGTAAATATATATTTACATCAAATGGGTAAAGTAAAAATTGGATAAAACGTAACATAACATTCGAGTAAAAAATGAATAAAGTCTCATTCCAGATCGCCAAAGGGATCTGCATTATACTGTCACTTATATTACTCATATTATACAACATATTCTACAAATTGACTCTCGTGATCATAGCAGTTTGGACTTAGGAGTAGTTCAGCTTAAGTTATTGAAGTGGTTTAGGACTTTTTTGCTTATATTTTGTTTATGTTTTGCTTATATTTCGCTTATGTTTTGCTTATTTTTGTTAATTTTTTGAAAAAGTAAATTTTAAGAATATCATTTCAATGAAGTAAATGATATTAATTTGACTTATTTTATTATTTTTATTATAATAATTATCATGTATTAATATACTTTAATAATTTTGATGTAAAATTCCGCGCTCATCCCTAGTATATATATACTAGATTAAGACCCGCGTATATGCGGGTTTATTTTAAGATTCTGTAATAAAATCACGGAAAAGTATTAAATAAAATTTGATCACTTTTTAAGTAAGCAGAATATTATTAAAAAACCCGATAGAAAATATTTAAATAAAATAACATCGGTAACCTTTTTACGTTTTTATTGTAATTGATATTTTTTTGAATTCATGATATGAAAAATGGATTAATTTGTTTTATTTTTATTTTTATCCAATATAGAAAGACTTGTATATGTTTAAATCTGATCAACTGATTAATTCAACAAAACTTTATTATTCCATTCAAGAAATTTCAATTGATGAAATCTTTATTTAATAATCATTTAGATAACAATATTGAAAATTAAACTATTTAAAATTAGAATATCGGTTCATTATATATTCTTAATATTAGTTAGTTGCTTGATAATTATTTTGTTAGTTTTTTATTTATATTGTCTCTTTCTCAATTTTGTTTTTGCCTCAGACCATTATAAACTTTCATTTTCATTATTAGTCAGTTTTTTATTATTATTTTGCTAGTTTAACTCTGTTTTTATAGGGATTCAGTTAACTTATTTCATGTACCTATACTACAAACAAAAGTGTGGATTGTATCACAAAACTGAGTGATACTGTTTTACATTACTTATTTATAAATGAAACAAATATACATAGTTAAGCATCAATTATAATAACTGATGTTGTAATTAACTACTTTGACATCAATTCAGCCAAACTGATTCAATTTATATTAGTTTGTATCACTTTAACAAAACTGATATTAAAATACAAATTTACATCAATTAGATAATCAATGTAATTAGTATTATTTGTTAACATCACTTAAAAAACGATCTAAAATATATATTTTGTTAAAAAAAAAACATTGTAATTTTAAAAGCAGTTAAAACACTAATTTCCTATAAAAAATCACCCAGCACTACCACTCTCCGTGGAACAGTTTCTTTTTCTAAAGAACAAGGGGTGTTCTTATTTCTCTCCCTTTGCTGTTTTAAGTTTATACCCTAAGTCCTACTTATCTTACCTACTCATCTACCAATTTGTTTAATCGTTGATCTCAACATCCATTTGTTTAAGGCTGTAACTTCTCATGTCTGAGTAATGAATAAAAGGTAACTCATTACTAAATCCTAATAGAAACATGATTGTTCTTATACAATTATGACAGAGAAACAAACAAATTTGTTTGTACTTTATTTCTATAATCAATTTCTGCAGAAAGTAACCTAACCTCCATGAGATAGTAGAATTGGAGAAGAAGACTATAGAAGGGAAGAAGAAAAGGAACAGACAAAGCTATTTACTAGGGATCGCATCTCACAACTTCAACAAGAAGATTTTTTTATTTATTTTATTTAATAAAATGTATAGAAGAAAACAAATCAAGAAGAAATATTTTTATCATTTTTATTCTTTATCATAGTGTTAAGATTTAATTTTTTATTGTAATTTATTTTTATTTCAATAGATTAATTAAATATTTTTCAATAATGTTAATTTTTATGACATTTTATAAATTACGTGAAAACAACAAAAATTAATGATTATAAAGTGATGCAAAAATATGATAATGTCAATTAAAGTATGGGGTACAAATATTACTTTTAAAATTACTTATTTTATTATTCATACAATTATAATATCAATTAGCAAAGCTGATACAAATATTTAACGTCATTTGTTTGCAACTGATATCTTATATATAATTAGGGAGTTGCTCTCTCCATCTAGAGTGTCCACATCAGCAAAAAAACAATAAATTATATTTACAATATTTATTAAATACTTGTCTTTTCATATTTCTTTACATATATTCCTATTTAAAAAGAAAACTAAGAAAAATACACAACTACATTAATTAATTAAAATAAAGTATGTGATAACTTAGTGTTAAAATTTAAAGAAACATTTCTAATTTAAAATGGAGATGAAATGAAGAAATATGCAACATAAAATAGTATTTTTCCTATTTAAAAAGTTGATAATGTGTTTACAAGTTCAAAAATATTGAATATAATTTTTTGATTAATATAGTAGAAAGCTCTTTTTTTTTTTTTTTTTTGTCAACAGCCTAAATTCCTATACCGGTCCGGGAAGCGGAATCGGGGGAACTGAGTTTATGTAATACACATCATGGGGCTGAGCTCGAGCACTCCGTGCTAGCTTGTCTGCCCTTGTGTTCTTCGTTCTGGGAATGTATGTGAGGGAGAACGCCTGGAACATCCCTCTACAATGCTCCACTTCTTCAAGCAAGATCGCAAAAGCTGGCCACTCGGCAGGTTTGGACACCATCTTCACCAACTGAGCGCTATCTGTTTGGAAATTCATCCGTCGTTTGTTATGGACTAGCATACTTTGCATAGCCCAAACCAATGCCTCCAATTCTGTTTGAAGAGGAGATAAACCCCGCCGTAGGTTGCTAGACCCCATCAGGACAGAGCCCGAATCCGGGTCAAAATTGTACCATCCAAGTCCAGCCCGACTGTCTGTCACTTTCCACGCTCCATCAATCTGACACCACTCTCCCGGTGGGACGTGGCCGGAGTTGATGGAGATATATTGGATACTCCGTCTGCTACCGTTTGTGCTGCTACCCATGCCCGGGATTCCGTTATCGCAGATTCCATTACTTCCTGCGGATTTTGATCATCATTTGAGAAAACTTTGTAATTACGAGCTTTCCAAATAAACCAGAGTAACCATGGATACATCAACATGTCATCATTGTCTGGGAGGTTCCAGAATAGATGTGCCATATTTGAGTACAGTGCTCCCGTAGGAAAAAACTGGGGAGGCGTAGGTATGGGAGAGAGTGCCCAGGCCTGTCGGGCCGGGGGACACTCAAAGAGCATATGATTGATAGTCTCATCTCCCATACCACATCTCACGCACAGTGGGTCCACACGCATTCCCCGACTACATAAACGTGCGCCAACCGATAAACATCCGGTAATAATTTGCCAGAGAAAATGTTGGAGTTTTGTGGTGCATTTAACCTTCCAGGATTGCGCTTGCAATCTCCGAGTGTCCGGTCCAAAGACTGGTAGTGTCCCCTCATCGAAAGCTCCTGTAGCACAGTATATCCCGATTTAACCGTATACCGACCCGTTGTTGTATAAAACCAGCCCCAGGTATCGGGTTTATATCCAGTAGCCACTGGTATACCCGTAATGCGAGTGATTTCCTCACTCTCAAAAAATTGTTGCAATAGTGGTCGATTCCACGTTGAGGTCTGGGAATTAATTAACTGATTCACCGTGAGGTGTGGGTAGTAATTAATTCCTTTACAGATAGCTGGCCTCGGGCAAGAATCGGAAATCCAGGGGTCATACCATACAGATATAGATGAACCTGAACCAACTCTTTTAATAAGTCCTTTGCATACCAGAGGTCGAGCTGAAACGATACTCTGCCATCCATAAGATGGAGAGTAAGAGCGAATTGGGTCCAAGGGGGTTGAGTTCCGAAAATATCTCCCCTTGAAAACTTTAGCAAACAGGGAATCCGGGTTATCCATTAGGCGCCATAACTGTTTTGCGAGTAGCGCTGTGTTAAAATCTTCTATTACCCTAAATCCCAGTCCCCCGTCAGTTTTATGTCGACACAGCTTCCGCCACGCGAGCCAATGCATACCCCGTGTTTGGGAATTTGTGCTCCACCAAAAATTTGCTACCGCACTTGTTAGTTTATTTGTTACTCCCTTTGGTAATCTAAAACATGACATGACATGTGTCGGCATCGCCGAAAGTACAGACTTGACCATTACTTCTTTTCCCCCTTTAGATAGAACCTTAGATGTCCAGCCGTTTATCCGCTTCTGCTGTCTATCGATCAAGAAACTAAAAATCTTTGTTTTGGCACCCCCCAAGCTCTCTGGGACACCTAAATAGTTACCAACTCCCCCGACCTTATGTATACCTAACATCTGATGAATCTCCGCACGTACCGTTGTCTCCACCGTATGGCCAAATTGGATAGATGATTTATCAAAATTTATTTTTTGGCCTGATGCCCGTTCGTAGTTCTGAAGAATTTGTAGTAAAACTGCACTCTCCTCAACCGATGCCTTGCAAAAAAATAAGCTATCATCCGCAAATAGTAAATGTGATACTGGTGGGCTTGCACGAGCCACCTTCAGACCCGTTAGAGATTTAACAGATTCTGCCCGTTTAAGATTTGATATCAAAACTTCTGTACAGAGAATAAAGATGTAGGGAGATAAAGGATCTCCCTGACGTAGGCCCCTATTCGGAGTTATTTTTCCCCGTGGTTGCCCGTTGATGAGTACTTTATACACAACCGACTTTATGCATTTCATGATCCACCCGATCCATCGTTCTCCGAATCCCATCTTCCGCATTGTGGCTTCAACAAATTGCCACTCAACTCGATCATACGCTTTGCTCATATCAGTTTTTACCGCCATATACTTTCCCTTACAAGACTTGTTTGTCCTTAGGCCATGAAACATTTCTTGTGCTATCAGAATATTGTCCGAGATCAGTCTCCCTGGGACAAAAGCTGACTGGGTCTCCGAAATTAGCTGGGATAGTACCGTTTTCAACCTCTCACATAATACTTTAGAGATAATTTTATAGCCCACATTACATAGACTAATTGGGCGCAGTTCCGTCATCCGGGTAGGACGCTCTGTCTTTGGGATTAAGCAGATGTTCGTCAAATTTAATCTGTCATCAAAGGCTCCCGTTATCAAGAAATCATTAATAAGCCCCAAAATATCCGTTTTTATTAACGGCCATGATTTTTGAAAAAATAAGGCCGTCATCCCGTCCGGTCCGGGAGCTTTCTCCGGGTTCATCAGAAACAGAGCCGCCCGCACTTCCTCTTCCGACTCTGGGCGCATTAGCAGTGCATTATCGGTTTCCGTGATCACCGCTGGAATACCTTCAAGTATGTCCGTGAAATCATCTGGGGAAGTAGTCGTAAATAAATCCGAGAAATAATCAACCGCCACCTTTTCCATCTCTTTTTCCCCGGTAACCCAGTTATCCGTCTTATCATGTAAACCGACCATCCTGTTTATCGCTCTTCTCTGTTTCGTGGTTGCATGATAAAATTTTGTATTTAAATCCCCATCCTTAAGCCAGAGATTACGGCTTTTTTGCTTCCAGTATTGTTCCTCATCTCGGTAAGCTTCCTTCAATTTTTGTGTGATTTCATCCAGATCTTCCTGGGTTCGAAGATCATCATTTTGAATTTCTTCAAGAGCTTTCTGTAGTTCCGCTATTTTTTCCTTTCCATATGGTTTATTTTCGTGCCGCCATCGAGAAATTTCATGACGGCATTTACGGATCATATCCACTACATTTGATTCCGCATTTGTTTGATTCTCCAACCAACCTCGTTTAATTGCCTCCGAAAATCCATCTTGTCCAATCCATCGTTTATCAAATCGGAATTGCCGCCGCGCTTTAGGGATCTTATTATCTATGGTTGCCAGGATCGGTCGGTGATCCGATCCTACCATTTTTAGATATTCCACATGTGACTTGGGAAAGAGGTCATGCCAATCCTCTGTGGCCAAAGCCCTATCTAAACGGCACCGTACAATTTTTCCCCATCTCTTTCCCCGCCATGATAATTTGTTGCCATGAGTTGGAAAATCAACTAGACCGCAGTCGTCTATCATCAGATTAAAAGACATAAATGTTGAAGCATATCTGATTGCACCTCCCTGTTTTCCGTGATTTCCCGTAATTTCGTTAAATCACCAATCAAAAACCAAGGATCATCCCGTGAGATACCGATTCTAGTTAACTTTTCCCATAAATAGTCTCTTTGTTTTGGGACTGGATTTCCATAAACAAAAGACATAAACATAGTTTTTCCTTCAATAGTGACTTGTGTATCAATTAAATTCTTGGAAGAAGTAATAATTGAAACATTAAAATTATTATTATAAAATAAGGCTAGACCGCCACTAGTGCCACATGGGTCAACCGTATACAAATGATCAAAACCAAAGTGAAATTGAAATTGTTGCAGAAAATTAAAATCTTGCTTAGTTTCAGAAAGAAATAAAAATTCCGACGGAACTTCCACCAGACTTCCCGAAGATAGCTTATTGTAAAGTGATTGCCAAGACCTTGGCAGTTCCAGCTGAGTACTCGCATTAACCGGCTTTAAAATCTGTCCTGGATCCCACCGATGGATCTTTCTCCGGTTCCTTGTCCCTTCCCGCCATTTTCTCATGAAAACAATTAGAGTTAGAATTTTTTATAGAAGATTTCTCCTATTTTTTAAATGTTATAATGTATTTACAAGTTAAAAAAATAGAATGTAATTTAGTTTATATAGTAGGAAGTTAATGATAAATTATATTTAGAGTTCTTTTTAAAAATCCAAATAAAATATGAAAATTTTAAGGATTATGACATGTTTGTTTCAAAAATACAATCTATATTTACAAAACTAATATTATAGAAATAATCAATAGGTCATTATACTCAAATGCTACAACAACAAAGCATATATGTAAACAGTAATACATCGAATGCAAATGCGATTCTACGAAAAGCTCGAGATGAAGTGTAGAGTTAACATCTTAATAAAATAAAACAAAACAAAACAATTTGATCATATCCTTAGTGTGAGTGATTGAGTTACCTCAAACATAATCAAAACATGAAGACTAACACAAAACTATTATTATTCAAATCAACAAATATAAATAAAATAATACAACAGAATTATCACAAACAACCACGCGCACGTGCGCAGGGCTTCAATCCCTAGTCTAGTGAACTCGATTGCAAAAACTGATGCAAATATTATATATATTTATATCGGTTCGTAATAAATCGATGTTAATTATTTGCATCACAGCAATTACAATCACTCGTATAAGTGCTGTAAATTTCTTGTGCATCATTTATAAGTAATACAAATAAATAGAATTTGATTTATTTCATTAATAGAAATTTTATATGTGTTTTGATAATATAAATTTGATGAATGAGAAACCTTTTTCTATTAGGATATGACAAAAAAAACTTTTGAACTAGTAAAAATTCGTTTTTTTTTTTTAATTTTCCTTGATCTAATTTTTTTTAATTATTACTTTTTTTCTAGACATGTGTCATGATCTTAACGGACGTAATATTAAAAGTGACACATGTCGCGATCCTATATTTTATAAAAATCATATGTGTCGCAACCACATCACGTGCATCGAGCTTTATATAATAAAATATTCAGATTCATTCAAAAAAAACATCAACCTTCCAACACAGATATCATTGATTACGTAAGTAAACAAAGAAGCATTGCAAATTTATCAAATTACGTTTTCAAATGTATATTTTTCCATATATTATTTAATCATATCAGTGAAACTGAAACTGATGAGATGTAAATAGTAGAAAAAAGAAAAGGGTAAGAAAAACATAAACAACTGTTGACGATTATTTTATCCAGAATTTTCAATAATAGTTTATTTTATAGTATTTAATTAATTAAAGAAAGAGTTTGACAAAAATAAGACCACCAAACCCCGTCTTTTGGAACAACTGTTGTTGTTGTTGTTGTTCGCCATTCATACGCGCTTCGATCTTTGAAACCCAAAGCAAAAGCCTCTCAAGATCAATCCTCAAATGTCGAAATTTCCCTTTTGCTTCACGTTCTCTCAATTCGTAATCCTCTGAAATTTCGTTCCTTTAAATAATCCCACCGTCCGTACTTCATCATCAATCAAACCCATCGTTTGAAGACTTTCCCAATCTGCGCCCATCGAGGGATCTGGTCAATCTCTAGTCATCTGGTACGTTTCGATCACAAAACATGAGAGGTTCCGAAATCAAAACCATCCATTGCTTGAATTGTCGATTGATTCTGTCAAAATTTAGATCATTTGGTTTGAGGGTTTTGTTTATTCGCTCGTTTTGGATTCGAGTTGAATTTTGGCTTAAATTAGGGTTTTTGGTTTTAGGGTTTTTGTTGATTCATCTGTAGATTAGTTTCGTCGAAATCCTAAACTGGAATGTTGAAAATTTTAATGTTTTATGCATTCGTTATCTGATCAAACGAGTCTCTAGTTCTGTTTCTTATTGATATCCAAATAGACAATAGATTGAATTAAGTTTTGTCGATTTTGTTTCAGGTTTGGTCACAAAACTGAGAGATGGATGAAAACAATGGAGCTTCAAGCTCACTTCCACCTTTCCTTACGAAAACATACGAAATGGTAGATGACTCTTCTTCCGATTCAGTCGTTTCTTGGAGCGAAAACAGCAAAAGCTTCATCGTCAAGAACCCGGCAGAGTTCTCAAGAGACCTTCTTCCGAGATTCTTCAAGCACAAGAACTTCTCAAGCTTCATCCGCCAGCTTAACACTTATGTAATAAAAATTGTCTCTTTGGTCATCTCTCATCTTCATACCTTTGCTTTTAACCTAACATTTTCGTTTTTATTTTTAGGGTTTTCGAAAAATCGATCCTGAGAAATGGGAATTCGCCAACGACGATTTCGTTAGAGGACAGCCTTACCTAATGAAGAACATTCACAGACGAAAACCTGTTCATAGCCACTCGCTGCAGAATCTAGCAGCGCATCATAGTCCGTTGACGGAGTCAGAGAGACGGAGCATGAAGGATCAGATCGAGAGACTGAGAAAGGAGAAAGAAGTTCTTGTCGCGGACTTACAGAGCCAAGAGCAAGAACGGAAAGCGTTCGAGGTGCAAGTAGCCGCGTTGAAAGATCGTTTGCAACACATGGAGCAGCGTCAGAGATCGATCGTGTCGTTTGTCTCACAGGTTCTTGAAAAGCCAGGACTTTCTCTGAATCTCGAGACCGGTCAAAGGAAGAGAAGATTGCAAGAGAGCTCTTCTCTTCCTCCTTCAAGCCGGTCACACGCAGAGCAGGTCGAGAAGTTGGAGTCTTCTTTAACGTTTTGGGAGGATCTTGTGACCGGTGTGGAGTCGTCGAGCATGGATCTTGATGTGAACGAGACGACGACTAGCTGTGCGGAGAGTTTGAGTGTTGGCGATAACAGACCGAAATCAACGAAGATTGATATGAATTCGGAGCCTGTCGCTGCTCCGAAAACAGGAGTTAACGATGTGTTTTGGGAACAGTGTTTGACTGAGAACCCGGGATCGATTGAGCAGCAAGAAGTTCAGTCGGAGAGGAGAGATCACGGTGGTGATAAGATTGGAGATCAGAGAACGTATTGGTGGAATTCGAAGAGTGTAAATAACATTGCAGAGAAAACTTGATGTGAATGAAACCTTTTGTAAAATAGTTTTTTTTTTTTGGTTTACTACTGAGATCAATGTCTCGTTTATGTACTTTGTTTTTTTTTTTTGAGAAAAGAGTAATAAATATAGATGCTTATTAGGCATTGTGCTCTGAATTGCTTTTTGACTGAGACAAGTACAGGCCTGTTTTGTTTATAGCATATGAACAAAGAGAAAGAGAGTCATCGAGTTTAGAAAAAGGAAACAGTATAGAATGTTTGTAAAAAAAATTACGAAGTTTAGAAAAATGGTTGTAAAAAACTTGATGTGAATGAAAGCTGTTGTAAAATAGTTTTTTTTTTTTGGACTACTGAGATCAATGTCTTGTTGTTCGTTTATATACTTTGTTTTTTTTTTTGAGAAAAGAGTAATAAATATAGATGCTTATTAGGCATTGTGCTCTGAATTGCTTTTTGGTTGAGACAAGTACATGCCTGTTTTGTTTATAGCATATGAACAAAGAGAAAGAGAGTCATCGAGTTTAGAAAAAGGAAACAGTATAAAATGTTTGTAAAAAAAATTACGAAGTTTATAAAAAGGCTCCGATGCCGGGAATCGAACCCGGGTCTCATAATATATTTATATTCGCATTTAAAATGGGTTTCATTCCAAGCAATCAATGACTTATTCACGCAATAGCTAAAAAGTATGCAAAAAAAAATACACTCAATCGGGTTAATGAACAATTACATACTTTTAGGAAAGTAACATGCTTGATGCTACTTATTCACGTAATGGAACTAGACAAATTGGTATATGAAAAAAAAACTAGAGGATTAACATGACTTATTATGATTATACAAAATGCGAAGACTAGTTGTCTAGTTTACTCCAAATGTTTTTAAAAAATAAACCTAAACACGTTTTAAATATAATTTTCTACCACTTATCACTTTATCAGCTATCATTTACCACAATAATAAATCAAAGTTCATAATTTTTAGTTAGTTCACTTCACCCTAAATGACGCTTAATTCTAATTCGGAATGTTGCATTTTACTTATGGAAAGAAATGAATAAAAGAAGAAAATTACATTCAAACCTATCAAAGAAGATAAAAAGAAACTTTCAAAGTAAGGAAAAATTAAAATAAAACCCTATCTATCTAGGAGGAGATCTCGTTGATAGACATCTCCCACAAGAGACGAGCTTCAACAAGGAATGTAGTCGCACCTTTCTCGTTCTCATCCTCAATCTCAATAGCTACAATTTTCAAAAGTTTCAATTTTTTCAGTTAGAAACTAAATAAAGATCAGAACACTTTCGTTTCTTAAAGTGAAAACAAAGGTTACAAACTGAAGGTTTTGTTTTACCTTGCGGCGTGTACTTCTTGACGGTTTCCAACATATCAAGCTTCTTGATTTAGGTTCAAGCCTCCTGTGAAAAAATCAACGAATCATCATCAACACCAAAACATCAAACAGAGTGAGACAAGATTTGGACAATTCATTCTTACAGATTCTCTTGTTCAAGCTTGTCTGCAATCGACACAGCTTTGCGTTTCGACCAACCGTTTCCTTCAGCTTGCTGAATCACTTGACCCAACGAAACTTTCCCTCTCACAATGCTTTGATTCTGATTCTGGTTATGGTTCTGGTACTGGCTCTGGCTCGCTTCCAAATGTTTCCTTCTAGCTCGACTCATTGCAGACTCAGACTCATCATCACCTAATTCAACGATCTCACTTCTTCCAACTGTTTTCTTCGGCTCTGTTCTGATCTCTAACGTCACCGGAGATCCAAGAACCGCCTCAAACGCTCTCAAAATGTGATCTTTGAAACTCTCAGCTGTTGATTCCGCTAACGCCGAATTGAACATCAACTGCACAGTAGGAGCTGCGACAAATCAAGAAAAGTTAGAATCTAAAACATTTTAGAAAAAAAAAGATCTGTTTTTTTTATACGACTGTTCTTACCATAACCAATACTAATCGAAAAGATCTTCCCTTCTCTATAAAGAAACTCTCTTAAACTGTTAGCTTCAACTTTCTCTATAACCGCTAACCAAATCTCTTCAACCGAAGGTCGGTTCTTGCTAATGTGAGCGTCGTTACGGTTAAAGCTAGCATCAGCGGAAGAAAGCAAGTATCGTTGATCAGGAGCTAGCTGAAGCAATGCAGCAGTGAGCCAAGTTAGTTTGTCGTTGGACACTCTCAACTGTTTTTCTGATTCTGATAGCGTTTTCAAAGCTTGTCTCAGCTTCTCCATATCTTCTTTAGACACTACAACAAACAAAAACAAAACGTAAATCAGTTATTACCGTTACAGATACTTCTCAATTACTGGTATTAGGATAAAACTCACGTGGTTGTCGCCGGAAAAACTTTCTTTTACGTAGATCTTTAGCGAAATCATAGCTTCCGGCGAGGATATCGGTTATGACGGTCGCGAGCTGCGACATTAGAGCTAACGGTTCTACGCCGGTTTCCATTATTACTCTCAGGTTCTTCACTGTGTTTACGGTATCTGCAGATAAGGCTAGATCAAGAAGATCAACTAATTTCTCATCAGAAATTAACCCAACCTGAAATAAACAACAACATTTAGAGAAAAATGTCCATGGAAATTGAAAACTAAAGAAAAAGTTTCCATCTTTACCATTTCAATGAGAACTATAGAAAAAGTTTCAATCTTTAAGATAAAGTTTGGATTTTTACCATTTCTTGGACTAAAGGAACAGAGATTCTTGTTCCGAGCAAGCTCAACTGTTCTAGAGTCATCTCTGCGTCTCTCAAAGAACCATCTGATTTCGAAGCAACAAGCTTTAAAGCATCTTTCTCGATATCAACCTCTTCCTTCGACGCAATCACTTGCAAAGAATCGACGATATCTGCGTCTTTGAGCTTTGGGAAGAAGAATTTCTGACACCTGGAGACGATAATGTGAGGCAAAACATCGAGACTCGAACAAACAAGAACGAAAACCACACGGCGAGGTGCTCTGTCAACGATCTTCGACAGCGAATTCCAACAATCCGTTGACATGGTATCGCAATCATCGAAGATGAACACATTGTGCTGCTGCTGCTCCCTTTTCTTCTGAGAGATCTTATCAGACAGACTCTCAAAGTCGAAGCTTTTCACAGGACCCATTTCCCGAATGTTCTTGTTCTTGCCCTGATCATAATCAACGCAAGAACTGCATCTCCCGCAAGGCTTCGATTGCTCCATAGAGTGACAGTTCAAAGCTCTAGCGAAAACCCGAGCGCACGAGGTTTTTCCGGTTCCGTTCGGTCCGTGGAACACGTAAAGAAGCCCCACTCTCCGTTTAGCAACAGCGTTGGTAAGAGCTTGTACAACAAGACTCTGCCCCACAAGATCCTTGAACGTTCTTGGAGCATACCTCTGCGTGAAGCTTTGATGCCGCCGCCGCCGCAGAGCATTTCTATGCCCAAAGTCTGAATCTTTCCCGTTCTTGAGCAGATCGTCTGCGAATAAACCCAATTCTCCAGAGTAATCATGCTCCCAGGCTTCACTGTCCGATAAAGGCAACGCCTTTCTGCGATCAGAGGAGCTTGAATCAGACAGCATCGGCGTAAAGGTTTCGCCTTTCTTTCCTTTTGAATCAGACATCCCGCAAGATAAACTCCGGCCGGCGATATCGAGGAAAGTCTTGCCTCGGTGATGAATTCTCGACCAGTTAAAAGGAATTCCGCAACCGTTTCTTGGATCAGCTCTGCTCATGATGCTCTGTTCTCCGTCTTCCTGCGCTTGCTTCTCGTGTCTAGGCACTGAGTTAGAAGCAATAGACATCTCACTCTTGTCACCAACATTGTCTCTAACATCAACGGCCTTTCCCGCTCTCCTAGTTCCTCGAAATTTCCGTCTTTTACGTGCAACACCGCGCGGTCTGACATTGCAGGAAGCCAGATCATCATCACTATCACCTAAAACCTCGTTTAACTGATCAGACAGAGTCTTGACAATATTAGCATCATAACTCTTCCTACTCGACTTTTCAAACTTTTCATCAGAAGGAGTGACTTTAGACGTTCCAAAGTTCATCATAATCGGAGACGAACCAGAGAACCGAAGACCAGATGATTTCTTAACCGCGTTTTGATCAACAGATGTTCTTCTTCTTCTACTTCTTCTACCTTCCTTATGATGGTCTCCTCTGGAATCGGCGATCAAAGGAGGTGAATTGGGGCTAGCTGATGGGTCTCTGAGCGATCTTGATCTTTGGAGAGCGACGAGATCTCTCATGAGAAGAGACCGGTCTGTTAAAACCGGACTCTGTTTGTTGTTGTTGTGCATATGGTTCTTCAAGTGGATACAGTTGGTTAAGTGAATATGGTTACGAAGATGCTCACCGATGTCTCCATTTGCGTCTTTTAGAATCCGTGAAGAAGCCATTGATCAGAAGAAATGTTCTGTTTTCTTCGAGAGAAGCTTGTCTAAGTATCTATAGAAGAACCAAATCGACATTCTCTTGATTTGAAAAATCTTAACTTTCCTAATTTGAAATCTATTTCAGCGACTTTGGTAATGATATCACTAAGATTCACTGAACTTACCAAAATCCAAAACAAATTACAGCTCTGAAAATCTCTAAGGAGAGATATCGAAATCAATCGAAGATTCAAGGACCCATTTGAACAAAAATGCAAACCTTTATAGCTCTGTGAGTTGAAAAACCACTTGAAAGTCGAAATGAGAAATCAAAACCAAACCAATAATGCTAAAATCTTGAAAAGCTCTGTTTCTTTGGTACAAAAAGATTCAAACTTTTCTATTAAGAAGAACCAGATAATAAAAAAAAAAACTGAAGGGTCCGTTTCAAAGAGTGAAGAAGATATGGAAAGGAAAGAGAGAGAGAGACTGAAAGTGGGAATCCACCACACCAATAAACAGCAAAAGAAGGGAGAAAAAGAGAACGACACCGTTTTTTGAAAGAAGTCACAGATGTCTCTCGGTCTCTCTTCTTTAACCAAACTAACTTTCACATGAAGAGCATGAGAGGTTTCTCAGGAGAAAGCGACGGTTTTTGGCAGGATAAAGCAAGTAAATACACTGTTTACGAGATGGGGTTTTCAATTTTTAGAGAGAGAAAGAGTGGGAATCTTGAGAGAGAGAAAGTGAAAGGGTTTTTGAGATCTGTTTTACAGACACGAACAAAGTGGAGTCATTCGAGAGGAAGCAGAGCACATTGCCAATAAAGCGGTTTGTCCGTTTGCGGGAAATGAACATTAAAATAATCTATATAATATAATGTGTGAACAAATAAACTACACATTTAAAATTAAAATAAAGAAAAATGTTTAGTTTTTGAATAATGGAAACCAAAATGTTTGATAAAGAGGTTGAGAACCAAATCGAATCTTTAGTACTAGGCAAAAGTTCCAAAGTGAAAATGATAAGAATTATGTTAGGCTGTTTGACCAACATTTATAAACTACTTAATTTTATGGAACCTATATCGATTTTTGTATGTGATTAACCAACTTATAAGGCTCTAACCAATGTGCTTGATGGGTTTTTTTTTGTTAAAAAGAAGAATGTTAAAAATCACAGATTAATATTCCCTATCCCAAATATTCACAGATTAAGGCTCTAACCAATGTGCTTGATGATGGGTTTTTTTTGTTAAAAAGAAGAATGTTAAAAATCACAGATTAATATTCCCCTCCCCCCCCCCCCCTAAAACTAATAGATGAGTGATTTGGCTAAAACAGTAAATAGATATCAAAATGATGGAAAACAAGAGACTTCTAGGAAAAGAAAACAATAAATTAGACTATAGTAAGAAAGGTAACAAACTATAGATATAACACACAGGACGATAGTAATTGGTACCATGGTCAATGTCACTGTCACGTGAGTATATTTAGTGATGATTCGATATTCAACTTGGGGAGTTTGTTGATTCTATTTATCGCAAAAGTCTCAAACAAATGCATATACTGTATGTTCTCGATCGAAAACGGTTTGACAAAATCAATACGAGATACAATCATACAATCCAGTAATATGTAAATTTATCATTGCATTTGTATATGTAACTATTTTATCAAGAAACTCGTTGAGATTTGTCACAACTATTACTATGGCTTTTTGAGGTCATTTTAACATCACCCACTTAAATCACTTTTATGAGTTTAACTTTTTTTATAATAAGGACAATAATCGTCTTTTTTTGGGACCCAATATATAAACACATTAGTAATTATGTAGGTAAACCCATTTACATAGGCAATCAGCCTAGTCATTTCATTTGTGCTACCTTGTATAGTTACTTTGCTACTATCCAATTTTTATCCACATATACCAAAAAACTATTGAAGCACTGTAACCTTAAAATCATAAAACTGATTACTAAAAATAGAAACATAAGAAAACTAATCAAATGCCTAAGATTAGGATCACTTTCGTTTTGACAGTTATATTACGGACAACTGTACAAGACTACATCGAATTAATCTGGTTACATTTAACTATCAATAATTGACCTAAGAAAATTAGGGACTACTCAATTAAACATCAATTATTGACTAAATTAATCGTTAATCATGTACACTAGCATGCATTATATATCCAAGAAAAAACAGAGACTTGATCGTATACCTCAACTAACTGGCTAGTTAATAGCTCCAAAATCCAATGAACAAAAAGACACGATGACTTGAGAGATGAAGACCATTTCTGACACATTGTTTTTGAGAGTTTTTTTTAATTTAAATTTAAATGAAAGCGGAGGGAATCATGTTGTATCAAACCTAGGGAAATGTATATATATATATATATAATAATATAAGCCAAAAAACTATGTTATTCTTGTATCAATTTTAGATTGAATCCTATCCCTGTTCTGTAAACTTGCAGTTGATCAAGAATTAGCAAAAAATACTTGGAAGTTGTTGTTAACTGTCAGATTCATTAGATCATTTCAACCAAAAAGAGAGTTTAGGAAATCCTGACTGTACATCTGTACCTCAACCAACACGTGTGGCCAGCTCCAAATTCAAATTTCAGAAACTATACAAAGAGTGTGTAGTGTACTACTAACATATCGTTTCTATTGTTAAAAGTAAAGAACGTACTTCAGATCCTAGTCTTCTCTTGCTTCTTCTTCTACTACTGCTTACTATAAAGCTTTGCGTTTCTGAGTCATTGTGTCAACGTTCTTAGAAAGGTCACTGTCCCTGCTCTCGAATCAGATTTGTTGGCTCACTTAGAACATACCTAGGAAGCTCATATCTAGCACCTGCATCGAGTAACAAACAAGCCAGTAAAGTTACTAAACAAGAACCGGAAGAAACAAACGAATCAAATTCTTGTGTGCAAACCTCTTTCATCCCAACACAATGTTAGGTCACGGTTCTGAACAATCACGCCTGCACTGTCAATAATTGTTTGTGCCAGTGTCACTTCAGCTTCAGCAGCAGCTCGTAGAGCTTCCCATATCTCTGATCATTATCAGCAATTCACTCAGTCTCCAAACGTTCATAGTACAAGTGCAGATTATAAGAAAGAGATCTACATTATACCTCTTTGACCACCATAGTGTGGAGAAGTGTCCCAAAACTCCTCACGCATTTTCGTAAGCTGTGCTCTTGTGATTGGCTCAGTATGCGCCCACGGCTTTGGTTTCCGGATTTTCTTTCTTTTCACTGTCAAAATCACAATTCACACACAAACCTCATCAAGAAAATGATAACAATATATATATATAAACTATACCACCAGTTCTAATCATTTCTCTCGATATACAACACCAATGTTCAAGAAGATCATCAGATCACAAGAAGACCAAAACCAATATGAAGCGCAACAGATCTTGTGTATAACGTTTCAGTCACACCATTGATAACAGCCTTCTCTCATCGTATTTCTACACATTCTGATCAAAGAAAAGCAGAGAGCTATTAGGATATAAGCAATGTTCAATCTAATTCTGCGGATTGGGACTAAATGACACGAATCTGGTTCGCTTTCACACTATTGCAATCGTTACGAATTTTCCATGCGAGATAGCAAATCCCTAAATTGTTTATGTCTACATCTCGAAATCGTGATTTCATTCTCAATCTATCCAGGAATCACAACATTAGATCGGAGCCAAAACTCAGCGAAGCGATACTAAAATCAGATAGATTCAACGAGATCGCCGGAAAATTCAGACGAACAACAGAAACAACCGGAAAGAGCATCAATTCGATTCCACTAACCTCCGCTTTCATTTCTGGCCTGTGACGATCCGATGCAACCCATTCTGGAACCGTACTTGAGCCGAGTTTGAATTAAAAGTCGCTGCGAACAAACTTATCAGTGCCGGTACAAAATCGATCGGAGGCGTCGAAACGGAGAAATGTCAATTATCCGATGAAGAGCTTCACGGCGATTATCGGCGGGAGAAGCGCCGGGAGACTTCAAGAGTCGTCGTCGTCTATTCCGTTTTGACTCCGGATAAAGTTTGTTAGGGAGAAAGCGAAACAGACCTCTCCGATATTTATAGTCACTTCATTTACTTCCCACGTCATATTATTTAGCATTAAATATATAGAAATGAATCTACATAGAATGATAGAAAAGAGAATGACCAACGTTTTTTAAACTAATATAAACCTTCGTTTTAACGTCTAGAGTAATAGCGTCTGTAGTCCAACGGTTAGGATAATTGCCTTCCAAGCAATAGACCCGGGTTCGACTCCCGGCAGACGCATCAATAGGTTTTGTTATTTTGTTTGGAAAAATAAAGGATAATGTAACAAAAATAAAATTGTTACCACGATAATATCAATCTGTGTTCTAAAACTCGGACGTTTTGCCGATTACACGGCCGGCAGACGCATCAATAGGTTTTGTTATTTTGTTTGGAAAAATAAAGGATAATGTAACAAAAATAAAATTGTTACCACGATAATATCAATCTGTGTTCTAAAACTCGGACGTTTTGCCGATTACACGGCCGGGAAGTCGGTGGACGGTGGGTTGCCGTGCAATTTTCATATATTCGGGAGAAAACTCGGATTTGTCACAAAAACTCTTAATTACTTTCGTTTAAAGTCAGAATTCTTAAGTATAAATGTTAAATATACACGAATTTGAGTACAAAAGCAAGAAAAACCGATGAATATAGTGAAGAAAAAAAAGCGGCCGTCGGAAATTAGGGTTGCAGAGTTGTTCACAGAAAGAAGACAAAAGGTAAACTACTATTTTACCCCTCGTTTATTGAAAAACGAAAAAAAAACATGTGTTTTGCTATGTCGAGGGTTTGAACTCGCGAGACCGACGATATCTCAATGATACATAGCCACTTGACTAGCTTACACTTAATCGTTTAATCTTCCATTACCAGTATATATTATATATTGATAAAAATCCTAAAATAAATCCCCGAGTACTCTCCGACTTATTTCCGATTTTTACAAAACTCGCTAGGCCCGGACCGACCGCCCTGGTACCGCCCAACGAGTTTTTGAACACAGATATCAATAGGTTTTGTTATTTTGTTTGGAAAAATAAAGGATAATGTAACAAAAATAAAATTGTTAATACCATTTTGCACAGAGGCACTTTTATCGAGACAGATCTAAAATACTTTCAGCTTGGCGGAGGTTGCTCCGGTGGCCGGCTTTCATGGCTGGTCCAGTGAGCGATCTCCTCCCTTCCCTAATTTCGGTTTCCTAGTTTGGTACCTGGTAGATCTGGATCTAGTTTGGGTTGGGTCTAGTATTTGCGTGTGCGGCGGAGTGTTGGACAGAACGTCGACAGAGCTGGAGCTAGAAGATGAGGAAGATGGTCTAACGGTGCTTTGAGGACGGCAACCACAGATCCAGACTCCCCTCTGTTCAGCAAGGCTCGACAGATCTTCGGATTCGCTCAAAGCTTCCCTTGAAAATTAAGCTTCTCAACACCAGATTCTTTAAACTACAGTCACGCAGCACCGGCTTGGTTTTAGATACCTTGGCGGGATGGCTCCGGGACTAAGACCGTGACTGCTTCCAGAATGCGCTCCGGTCTTCTCCTCTCCCTCAGCGTGGGTCGCCGTGTTTCTCTTACCCGTCCTTCCGGCGCCAAAATTGAACAGATCCCGACCGGCTGTGGGTTCTCCGAGTTTTGTTACAAGGTATGAACTACTCCAGTCTTTGGGATTGGATTGTTGGTTTTGTGTTTCTGGTTCTCTGATCTATGAAAGGATCATTGGGATTATAGAGTTTGGATTTTGCTTGTTTTGGAAAATTGGGCAAGTTTCTTCGATCGTGTGCTTTGTCTATGGAGGTGTTAGTACAGCTTCTGCGTTACAGATGGTCTCGCTCCGTGTCATAGTAGCGGCAGTGTCTTCAACTTAATGTCTTGGCTCGTTGAGGTTCCATCCAAATAGTTTCCCACAGAAGTTTATTTGGTCCTTGCTGCTGTGGACCACAACTTCAACGAGAAACAATCCGGGTTCGGGCCTCCACAGAAGGGACTTTCATCTTTTAAGCATTCAGTTTGGAGTTCTTAGTTTCTTTTCCTTCTTGCTTGTCTGCTATTCTTTTCCTTCCTAGGAACTTAGCTACTAGCTAATTTTGTCCATGAAGATTCACCGCAACCACGAGATTGCAGTTGTAGTTTTACCGACTAGTTTGCTTCCATGTGTTTTCCAATTTTTTTTACCATGGGACCAAAGTGTAATAAGGTTATACAATTGTATGACCTAATATGTTTCTTTTGAATAATATTTACATTTTATAAAAATAAAATAAAATTGTTACCACGATAATATCAACAAGAGCGTCTGTAGTCCAACGGTTAGGATAATTGCCTTCCAAGCAATAGACCCGGGTTCGACTCCCGGCAGACGCAAATGTTTTAAATTTTTGAGAAAGAGAAACATAAAAAGATAAGACAACGTCAAATGACGAAAGTAACCTCACTTCTGACCAAGCAAGCTGCAAGCTGGTGACAGATACAAACGCGTTAGCAGGGCGTTTTAGTAACTCCAATGACAGAAGCTCCCAAATGCTAATATTTTCTGTGATAAAGACAACAGCACAAGTCTTTTCTCTTTCTTCGTTTTTGATAATTTCAATTCCGCGTCTCTCTCTGTAGAAATCAAAAATATCTTTGTGAACAAAAATCTCAGAAAAAAGAGGAAAAAAGCAAAAACAAAAACCCCGTAAATCTCATTCAGGGTTTTTGAAATTTCGAAAGAAAAACATCAAGCGCAAAAGCATTTTCGTCTTCCTCTAATTTCGCATCCTCGAATTAAAGCTTTGAAAGGAGAATCAATGGCGGGTTACAGAGCAGACGACGAGTACGATTACCTATTCAAGGTGGTTCTGATCGGCGATTCCGGTGTGGGAAAGTCCAATTTGCTCTCCCGATTCACCAAGAACGAGTTTAGCCTCGAGTCTAAATCCACGATCGGCGTCGAGTTCGCGACTCGGAGCTTGAACGTTGATGAGAAAGTCATCAAAGCTCAGATTTGGGATACTGCTGGTCAGGAAAGGTCTCTTCTCTCTCCATTTTCTCTCTCTACATTGTTCAATTTCTCTCGATCTAAGTCTTTTGGGTCTTCCTTCGTAGATTTGTTTCCGTAGATCGTTCGAGATTTAAGTGTTTCGATTAGATCTGTGTGCAATTGATTTTCAAATTCCATTCGCTATAGATCTGGATCTGTATTCGAATTTTGAAAATGCAGCTAGAGAAAGCAATCGATTTATTGAATCTCTTTTGTTGTTTTGGCTAATTAGCTTCGAAAAGCTTTTCTTCTTCGTTCTGTGTTAGTTTCATTGACAAAGGATTCGTTTTTGAATAGGTACCGAGCCATCACGAGCGCGTACTATCGAGGAGCTGTTGGAGCGCTTCTCGTCTACGACGTAACACGACACTCCACGTTCGAGAACGTCGAGACGTGGCTAAAAGAGCTCAGGAACCACACCGATCCAAACATCGTAGTCATGCTCGTCGGGAACAAATCCGATCTCCGCCATCTCATCGCCGTTCAGACGGAAGACGCGAAGTCGTTCGCGGAGAAAGAGTCTCTCTACTTCATGGAGACATCGGCTCTCGAATCCACCAACGTTGAGAACGCTTTCGCGGAGGTCCTCACTCAGATCCACTGCATTGTGAGCAAGAAGGCGATGGAGGCAGCGAGCGAGTCTGCGAATGTGCCAACCAAAGGAGATAAGATCGATATCGGTAAAGATGTCTCCGATGTGAAGAAACCAGGATGCTGCTCAAACTAATCAAGAGAGAGAGAGAGAGAGACTTGAGGATGTTTATTTTGTTAACAGTTATTATCATTCAAAGTGGTGAGAATATGGAAGATTGGTTTAGGTTGATTAATGCCAACATTTGATGTGTTTCTCTGTTGATTATATAATTTCGTGCTTGAAAATGCTTTTGATTCTCTCATGTGTTGTCAATTTTACAGAACTTATATCATATCCTGCTTATATTAATCGAGAAGATAAAAAGAGCACTTATGTTTGTAACCTATGTTGTTGCACGGACGGAAAAAGAAACGTTTCGAATGTCTTTTTCAGAAAAATATACTCATTCCGTTTCAGAATATATGATGTTTTAGATTTTTTTCTTGTTTTATAATATAAGATGTTTTAGATTTGTTTAAGGTACTTTTTTTTCAATTAATGTTAACAAATTGCAAATTTCAAGAATAATTTATTAAAAGTAATTTAATTCTTGAATTTTTATTGGTTAATACTTATGAAAAGTGGTCTATGTGAGAGACAAAATACATTAATTATTGAATAATAAATATTTCTTAATTTGTGTGAAATCTCTAAAACATCATACATTCTGAAACAGAGGGAGTAAGAATTAGAAACATTCTGCAAAATATATACATGTGTATATATGAAAATTCATACGTATATCTTATTATATAAAGCTGGATGCGCACGACGTGGTTGCGACACGTAGGATTTTTATAAAATTCAGGATCGCGACATGTGTCACTTTTAAGTTTATGTCCGTTAAGATCGTGACACGTGTCTTAGGAAAAAAAAGAACTTAAAAAAGAAAAATGTTAAAAAAAAAAACGAAATTTAATTTAATCTATTATATCAAAAAGGAAAAAATAATATTTGCCAAATCCAAACAGAAAAAGGTTTCTCATTCATCAATTTTTTATTATATAAAGTTGGATGCGCACGACGTGGTTGCGACACATAGGATTTTTATAATTTATAAGATCGCGACATGTGTCACTTTTAATGTTACGTCCGTTAAGATCGTGACACATGTCTTAGAGAAAAAAAATAATAATAAAAATTTAGATAAAGGAAATTTTTTTAAAAAATAATCCATTACAGTTAAAAGAAATAAAAATATATTTGTCATATCCTAATAGAGAAAGGTTTCCCATTCATCAAATTAATATTATCCAAACAAATAATAAAATCAAAATAATGTAATAAATAAAATCCTATTTGTACATGGAATATGTTATGTAAACTAAATTTCCTATAACTGCATGTAATAGGTTACTTGAACCCCTATAAAAGAGAGTCAAGTTTCTCAATCATAAATTCATCAAAACAAATTCATCAAATCCCTTTGATTCTATTTCTCCAATTTAAAAATCATGTTTTTGAAAGTTTTGCGATACATAGGATTTTTATAACTGACAAAATTGCGACATGTGTTTTAGAAAAAAAAAATTCTGGAAGTATGAAGATCGTAACATGTGTCATGGAATAAAAAAAATTAATATGTATAAGACTAACTAAAAATTAGAAAAACAGATAACAAATAATTAAAATGAAAAAAATAATACATCCATTAAAAGTAATAAAAAAACAGGAAACAAATAATTTAAATTCTTTTGTTACATCTATTAAGAAAAGGAAAAAAAATCCATTTCGAAAAGGAAAAATACCAATATATAGTATTTATAATGGTCTGAGGCAAAAACAAAATTGAGAAAGAAAAAATATAAATAGAAAACTAACAAAATAATTATCAAGCAATTAACTAATATTAAAAAATTATAATTGATATTCTAATTTTAAATAGTTTGATTTTCAATTTTTGTTAGGTAAAAAAATTGAAATAAAGATTTCATCAATTAAAATCTCTTGAATGGAATAATAAAAGTTTGATTAATTAATCAGTTGATCAGATTTAGACATGTGTAAGTCTTTCTGTATTGGATAAAAATAATAGTAAAACAAATTAATTCATTTTGTCATATCATAAATTCAAAAGAAAAATCAATTACAATAAAAATGTAAAAGTATTACCAATCTTATTTTATTTAAATATTTTTATCGGGTTTTCAATATTATTTTGTTTACGTTTAAAAATGATCAAATTTTGTTTAATATTTTCCATGCTTTTATTATAAAATCTTAAAATATACCCGCGTATACGCGGGCCTTAATCTAGTAATAAATATTAAACATCTAAATCATATTAAATGTTTGGGTTTTGTGCAAAAAAACCATTGAACTAAATTAAATTTGCAAAATAAACCCTCATCTTTTTCTGTGCAAGTCAATCCCCTAAACTTAAAAGTCACCCGCTAAACAACCCTCGTGTGTATAGTCGACGTGTCTTTTTCTGGGCCGCTTAAAAATCTCAAAACACTGCGTTTTGGTCATAAAAACGGCACACAGTTTTGTTCGTTTTCGTAAAAACACCAAAACACATGTAATCAAAAATTGTCTGGATTTCATTTGGGGAGAGCTAAAATCGATTTGGGGGAAATCCTAAATTAGGTTCTTGACGATTTTCTTAACCCTGGATAAAGAAAAACGCCAAAAACCGTAATTTAGCAAAATCGATTAAGCTTATTTACCTTGAAGAGCTATCTTATTGGGATTTTGAATCTAAAGAATGATGCAGGATCTAGGAAAAGCTTATAATGAACTGAAACAAGGAGAGCCAGCGGTAGAGCATTTGTTTGATTTAACATCTAAGGTATCGTCTCTTCAGTTTATACTCCCAATAAGAGGTTTGTTTTCTTTGTCTTTTCCAAAATCTGAATGCAAAGTGCTTTTGGCCATGTCTTGATAACTAGGTGGTCGAGAGAGTTGGACGTCATTCAATTGGAAAAAGTTGCAGGCGAGGTTGAATTATGTAATATTTCATTTAAATATGAGGAAGAGATGCTTCCCATTTTGGATGGGTTGAATCATCATATTAAAGCAGGAGAGACTATGGCTCTTGTTGGGCAATAGAATGGAAGACCATATGGTAACAACAAGCATCCCAGCTATTCTGTTTATACATGACTCGCAGATGTTTGCATTTTCAGGTAATATTGATTGCACATAGACTGGAGACAGTGATGATGGGGCAGAGAGTGTTCTTGATGCACAAGGGAAAGCTGAAGGAGTTAAGTCGCTCTTCTCTGTTAAGTACTCACAAGGACTCACTTTATCAGCTGGACTTGTGATTTGAGATCTATGTATGTAGTATATGATCAACTGTTTTGTAGATAAAGAGAAGACGCAATATTGCTCTTGTTTAAACTCAGTCAATTATGATTATTGTTTAAAAATAGGATAAAAAAAATCATTTGTTAAGCTATAGAAGCTTGTTTCTTTCCCTAGTTTGCCTTTTCATACATATCAAAACTTCTGATATTATACATGTAATAACAAATGATCAAATGGGGTTTCTACTCATTTATAAAGAAGAATGATTCAACGATTCCCTATTTCACCATGAAGGAGCTTTTACAAGTGCACCCACCCACAGCCGCCGGGTTTCAGCTACCTGGAAATAGACAAACATGTTGTTTTAAAGATTTATCTTGTCACCATTTCAAAGACAGAGAACACAAGGAAGACATGTTACAAATGGTTAGGGATGTGATTTCGGGTCAGCCCGACCCATTTAGGCCCGTCCCGAATAAACCCGACCCATTTAGACCCGTCCCGTTTAGACCCTTTAAATTTTTGAACCCGTTTGGGCCTGCTTGTTTAGGCCCGGCTAAATTGTTCAACCCCGTATAGGCCCATTTAGTATTTTTTTCAGAAAAAAAAAAATTAAAGATTTGAAGTAATAAAACAGAGGATTTTTCAAAAATCATATAAAAGTTTAGTACAACTATTAATCTCAGCAAATCTTTAACTTTGAGACAAAATAAATATAAAATCCATAGCAAATTCTCTACTTCATCAATCATTCATCAATCACCAATTCACCATCATCCTGAAGCAAATAACTCTGCAAACAGACGGTCACAAAAGTTTTCAGACTTTAAACCATTTGTACTAGTACATAATCATGTAAACCTCTTTGTATCAATTCATAACAGAGGATGCTAACAATCTGTACTTATGCAATGGTTTGAAAACTATGAAACAGAATAGTGAAAACAAAATTTACCCGATTCATGGCATGCTTGATTCTCCTGCTCTTAAACCGCTTATAGCATTTTCATTAGGTTGATTGTTGTTTTCGTCTGAGGTATACAAGGCTCACACAGTCACACATCAGAGCAAAACCTTCATATTTCAAAACAATCAAACAAGTGAAACAAGTAAAGTTTACCTTCTTCAGATTCAGCAAAACCTCTTAACCAATTTCGGGTACAAAGTAGAGCTTGCACATTGTCAGGAAGTAACCGGTTTCTATATGGAGTCAATACTCTAGAACCAATGCTGAAGGCAGATTCTGAAGCTACAGTAGTAATTGGTATGCTCAGCAAATCACGAGCCATCTTTGCTAACTCACCAAATCGATGTTGATTGTCCTTCCAATAGCCTAAGACATCATAACTTGGAAAAGATGCTCTATCAAGTCTTGGTTCCTCCAAATAAATATCCAAATGTGTCTTTGTGTTGCTCACACCAGTTCCGATGCTTCTTTCAAGATCAAAAATATCCTGAGATTATGAAATCAAATCTGAATAACCATAATGACTTAATGAGCATGTCGCATAATACAAGTTGACAAGAAATCACCATAAGTTAAAAAAAAACAGGAACATATACTTACAATGTCAAAGTCATCATCTTCAAGTGGAGATTCAGTGATTAACTCTTGTGGAGTTGGTATTGTTGTAACTCTTGAACTAGGACGAGCTCTTGCAACATAATCATTGTAGAGCAAAATCAAATTGTCTTTAAGCTCTTTGACTTTCACCTTTGCAGTAAGAGGATCCACTGCTTCATAAGCTTTCTCAAGCAAATACAACTTCATTCTAGGATCTAAAACAGCTCCCATGGCCAAAACAAGGCTGTAATCTTCCCAATACTTGTCAAACTTCACT